CAGTTGAGAATATATTATTTTGTGAATAAGATATATTCACTCTCAAGAAATAAGAAGATTAGAAAAACTTAGAAATGGTAAATGCTGAAAGATTTAGTTGTAGAATATACTTTATAAATCTTATACAATTCACATTCGAAATATAAATTGATAGAAAATGCTTGGTTATGATAAGAATAATACCAAAAAAACAGTATACAAAGAATTAAGATATTATTGCATTCATGCAACTAATAATTATTATTGTAATTTTTAAATGTGCTAAATTAATTTCCATTTTAGTAATGCTTCAAGATTGTTAAAAAAGAAAAATACTAAAAAATAGAACTCTATCAACAAATATTGGACACATGAAGTATATTATAATAGATTTAAATTAAGGGTTAATATAGGTTAGTTTTTAAATTAACCAAGTTTTATAGTATACTCTTATAATTCTCCTAAAAGGAAACGGTTTTTTATAAACAACTCTCTTTTGAAGTCTGGGTAAACCATAATATTAAATTTATCTTGTATTTTTAACCTAAATTTCTTTAAATCTATAATCTGAACAATACTTGTTTTTGATTTCCCATAGACGGATAGAGTTATCACCACTACCAGAAGCTAATGTATTTCCATCAGGAGAAATACAGACTGATTAGACAAAACTAGTATGACCATCTAATTTGGCTTTTTATTATCCTGTTTTGACATCCCATAGACGGATAGACTTATCTTATAAAATCGAAACTCTCTTATTGGTTGAGGAGTCAAATTGACTAGTTCTCCATGGCGTGTTAGACCTAGGAGCAGGAGAGTACACCTTAACTGTAGAGAATTGAAATGGAGTAACATCATATCAAAGAAGAATAAAAATTTAAAGATCTTCCCAAGGATAAAAAGACTTTTAAGGGGAAGAAGAATTCCAAAAAATTAGGAAAGAGGAAAGAATGAGTATCAAAAATTGCTTAACAGTTTTCCTTTACTAAGCTTGAAAATTCAGTTGATTTACTTCAGAAATTTACAATGTTTTCTGAATTTTGATATCAAAAATCTTAAAAAATTCAGTTTAAATATCTAGTGTATCAACAGAAATAGAATTTATAGAATTGGCTAATAAATTAAAAGGAGTATCAAATTCTACTATTTATCCTTCACTTATGACCATAGTTTTATCGTAATCTGAAATAGTATTTAATCTATGAGAAATAGTTATTATTGTGCAATCTGAAAACTTATATTTTAAAGTTTCTTAAATAAAATCATCTGTTTTCATATCAACATTTGCGGTAGCTTCATCTAATACTATGATTTTCTTTTCATCTAATATCATTTTGGCCTAGCAAATTAATTATTTTTAACCCACAGAAAAAACAGAATTTACATCACTCTTGTCTGTCAAAAGACCTTTTATAAATTTTTTACTTGGCTGAGAAGGTCTGTTTATTCTAAAACTTTCCATAATTTTTCATCTTAATGAATATCAAATGGTACTAAATTTCTTCTTATTGTCCCAGTAAATAAGAAAGGAGATTATTCCAATATTACTTCTTACTTTTTGTATTCCTAATTTTCTAATATCTTAATCAGAAATTAATAATTTTGATTCCTAAAAATTTCTTATTTCTGAAATATTAAAAATGGCTTGTATAATAGTAGATGTTCCAGCGCCTGTTCTTCCAACACAACCAACTTTTTCATTACTTTAAATTTCAAATGACAATCCTTTTAATACTAAATCACAATTTTGACCTGTATCTCGTGGAAAAATTTTCAAATTTAACTCTACCATCCTTTGGAAAATCAAGATGTTTATCATCTTCTTTAACATTGTGAAGAGGTTATGGCAGTAAATTATCTAAAACATTCTGTTACAAGAGTTCATTTGTGTATCAGTTATTCTCTGTCTTAATCCCAAATGTAGTAAGCCATTATATGCAGATAATATTAATAATCCTAGCAATATTGTCATAATTTAATTTTTAAAATATTAAAATTCCAACTGATAAATTAATCAATCCCAAAACATCTAAATTGAACCAAAATGAATTGTAATAAGTTAAAGCACAATGATTGCATTTATTTGAAACCTCTAAAAATTGTATTCGAAACCAGTCTTGCTAATGATACAATCTTATTTGAATAACTCTTCCTAACGTTTTATTAAAAAACTCAAATAAGGGGGTTTTTTACAATAATCCAACTTCTTTTAATTTACTAATAATTTTTTTAGCAGAACTAAACTAATGTGCCTTTATTGTGATAATAAAAATAATCATTATCAAAAAATATGGTTGTAATATTGGTTAGGTTATTAGAGCATATGAGAAATTGCCAATTATTTCTAACACATTCAAGGTAACATAATTTATTTGACTATCACACAAAGATAAATCATTAGAGAATCTATTGAATATTCTGCCAGATAGATTTACATCAAAATATCAAACAGGTGTTAATATTAAAGATTTAAGCATTTCTTAATGTATCTTCTGAGTAGAATTTTATACTTAATATGTATTCAAAGAATATTTTATTAAATTTCAAAGAAACAGTCCTAAAGTAAGCATTCCTAATGTCTAATTTGCAGTATCAAAATCATTTTCTTATTGATATTCTTGAAAAATTGAAAAAATTCTTTTATAATAATTTATTCGAAAGTCAGATCAAGAACAAAAAGAATTATTATTACATTCCAATATTAATAATATCTAAAATACATTCTTAAAGTTATCAACTACTGTTAATCAGCTTCATTTCCAACTAACATATTGGCAACTAAATTTTAGATTATCTTTTTTTTAAAGAATGTCGAATTCACTACCTATTTTTTTTTGCTTACTAACTGTTTTTTAATTATTATACTAACCCTTCATTGATCATATATAAACTCGATTTAATATTTTAATATTAGCCTTGAGTTATTAACACTCTGTCATTTAAAATACCCTTTTTTCACATTAGATAGCATATTAGATTTAACGAGTAACTGAAATAACGATTGCTTTCTTTTTTCAGAATTTCTCTCTATTTAATATTCAAGAATAAATTCTTTGAATGCCATCTGAAAAATCCTTTTAGCAATATTTGCATCAAAAGAAGATAATAGATGCATAAAACACTTTTGATATAAGACTTTATCATATGATCTACCGAACAAAATATTGTGTTTATAGTTTCAGGAAAAATAAATAGTTCTTATTCAACATATACTACTGAGAAAATATTTTTATTTGCCTCTTGACCATCAATTTTGAAAGGGCCATTATATACAGGAATCTCATGCAATAAAGATCTAAAAAAAGTGGTTTTCCACAACCAACTTTACCTTCATTGATTTTTATCCAAATTATTCATTTCTTAATTTTCTATTTAAAATAATTGCTACTCTATTAAAAGATATATTGATATGACTTACAGATTAATTTCCATATGAAACCATGAAGATCCAACTTAACTTTATAAATGTCAGTAATTGAATGATAGAAATAATTTCAGTAACTTTCATTGTTTCTCTGTATCCTCAATAATAAAAAATCTCAAACTTGATTTATAAAATTAAACTAAATAATCTGTCTAAAGCTGATCTATAATTGATTTTTAATAGGCAAATATATTCCTTTTGTCTAATTATTGAAATCATTTTTTAAAAATGCCTGCCCCATGCATAAATTTTAACTAATCTTATTCCTTCAATAAGTTCGTTTGTCAATTTTAATCGTTTATCTTAATTTTTTTTAAAGATTTTTAGTTTCTGAGTTAAACCATTAAAGTATGACTTAATAATACAAAGTGCCTTTAGCCAATAGGCCCATAAAATCTTTCCTATAATTTATGGCATCAAAAAAAATGATGGACAAAAAAATCATTACTATAAAATATAGTAATAAAACATATTCAAGATAATTGATAGAATAAGCACTTAATTCAGTTTACTTTAGATAAACTAAATATTAAGTGCCATTCTTGCTATTGTTGAGAAATAATTGCCAAATTATAACCATGGTCCATTTTTAAAAACTGATTTAGAGCAAACAGCAAAACAGTAAATAGATATGCATCATCTTTTTCCTCTATTTTAGCACTTATAATTATTCATTGAAATGATTACTCCATTCTTTGGAAGAGATTCAAAGACATGATAAAAAAAAAAATCTTAATTCAATATCAATTTAAATAATATTTATAATAGAATTATTTTATAATTAAGATAACAAAGAGCTGGAGAAGAAAAAACTCTAATGATCGAAATTTTATTTTCAAAAAGATTAATTAAACTTTGACATTTTTACATCTCTCCAGTCTTGGAGATTAGGAATACTCAAGAGCTATTTATTATCAATTAATTTCAGTATTGGTTATTAAGTAAATGAATCAATAAACAACCAAGAAAAGATATCAAAATTTTCTAAAACTCAAGTTATATATAAGGAAATCCTCATAGTTTATCTCCTGATATACTAGGACTTAAATAATTTGGAATTAGGAATTATGAATAAAGGGAGGCAGATAATAAGGTGATGCTATACTAATTGATGGAAATAGAAATAAGACGTGATTAAACGATTCCAGAATGCTTGATTTAAAGAATTCTTAAGTTGATCTGTAATGAAATTTGTAAAGAAGAACCAAATCAAATTGAGCTATAATAGCTTTGAATCGTGTGTAAAGATTTATATTTATGGCATTAAATAAATTAAAATATCTTATTTAAACATTACGAGGTTTAATTACAAGTAGTGAAATGATATCTCTAATCCTAAAATAATTTTCTAATCAATATTTAGATTCATAATCGTATCTACCAATGAAAAAATCATATTCAAAATTTTTCGTTGAAACTGAATATTGAGGGATAAAAGCTAGATATTACAATTACATTTAAATCATTTTCTTCTTTGATGGAATAGTGTTAAAAAGTGCATAATTAATGAATGATTATCTTTGAAAGCCTTAGATGATTTAAAAAATGGAGATATATTTGCAAATGTGAAAAGAAATCAAACATTAGTTATAAATAAAAAATAATTCTTCCTTTAATAATTAAAAATCTCTAAAAAAATTGTATTAAAAATATAACCGTATTTCTTTAACTTATAACTAAATTTTAGGGATGGTAAATGTAATTTTCTTTATGTAGATAGAAAATAATTACCAACTATATTCAATAATTTTGATTACAAAATTGTAATCATTTCATCAAAAAAATAGAATTCCTTTGATATACCCTGCGTATTGTCATATGTCTTTGATTATAAATAAAAAAATTATTAATTCTGATTATTTTTATAATTCAATAACAATAGAAATGTATTTTTATATAATAATTTATCATCATCTTCTCCTATGCCCTTTTCTATTTCATATTGATAGAAATCATTATATTTTATTCGTATGCTTTTCGCTGTCGATTATGATTAAAACTCAGAATTTCTAATTTCTATTGATATCTAATCAATTTCTTATTTACTTTATTACTTATATTCTTCAATCTACTTATTTCATCTTCTTACAATTCCTTAACCTTCATCAATATTTTCTTAATATTAGTTTTTTACTTGAAATATTTTTTTCTAACTCTCCTATTAATAATTCTAATTGTTATTATCTAATTTAATAATCCAATAGTTTTTATTATTCTGATGATAAAGAATCATTTTGAATTTTATCTGCATTTTCATAAAATTATTTTCAGAATAAAATAGAAGAGGGTCCAAAAATTGTATTTTTAAATGATGATTCTAATGATAATTGATTATTCACCTTCATTTTTATGAGAGCAATCTCCCATAGAATTATTTAAAATTATGATTAATCTCATCTAAGATCTCTTAACATTAGGTAAATATTTGATTATCCTTATTGCTCTATCTTTCATAAAACTCAGTCTCTAGTATTTAAGGCATAAAAATATAATGAATAGCATTTTATCTAAGATACCCAGTGTATAATTATTCTTATTAATTTTTATCTTTTTCAAAATCCAAAAGTGGAGCTTCAACTATATTATTAATAATATTCCCTGTTACAAAATTTTTATCTTTATTTACTCTTGAACAAAAAATATTTTATCAAATATTTTTATTTTTCCTCATTACATAGCGATAAAATTTGTAATATTTCTCTGCAATGTGGTTTTAGTTTATATGGATTTAGCAAAATATCTATAATTGTAAAATAAATTAAAGTAAGAGAAAATATATATTAACAAGATAACAGTATTCAATTCAGAAGCTGGTAATGCTTAAGTTACATTTAGCAGTTATTAATGTTTTTTCTACTTTATGTTACTTCTACCCGAAAAATATTGAGTTAAAAACTTGGAATATTCGAGGCATAATATTAAGGTCATCAATAAGCTTAAGGTAATAAACCTTTTCCAAAAATTCAAGTATATTACATAAATATTAGCATAAATAGGACTAATTTAAAAATTTAGAACATTTGGAGAAGGTCTGAATTATCAGATGTTCTTTTTAAAGTAGAAAATCCTATTGAATATTGTACCAGCGAATTGTCTTTTTAATCATAAATAATTTAGCAATTATACTACTATTGAAATTTAAATCACATCAGCTTTATATACACTATAACTCTTACTCAAAAGAAGTTTTTAGAAGATATAAATAACACATAAATTTATGTGAAAAAGATATTTTTATTATTTTCATATTAAGGCATGGATAAATTTAATTTTCTTTGATAATTATAGTTTATTAAACAATACAATCTTTCTGGCTAAAATCAAAGACGAATAGATTTAGTTATTATCAAAACCCTAGATTTTTATTAAAAAGTATTAAAATTGTGAAAAGCGATTAAAAAAGTCATATTAAATAAATCATCTAAGTTATCTATAAATATAAGAAACTAGCATCTCATAAATTTCAAATAATGAATCTTCTATTTAAGCATTATAGACAGCAATAATATAAAGTTTCTAATTTAAAATTTTGAGAACTTTAAATAGAAATCATCTAATCTTTTTTTTAAATGAAATGAAGTAAATCGTAATAAAACTCTGAAATTTTAACATAAGATGAATACTCATTGTTATTTGAATATTCTCAAAATTTGTTTTCAATTCCTCATTATTTCTCTACAAAATAAATGCAAGATTTTTTTCTCTTGATAACTATTTTCCAAAAGTTATTTAAATTAAGATTTAAGTTCATTAACAATTTATAATATTAAGTTTACATTATTTGTCTAATATTTTTTAGGCTATTATATTAACTCTAATTATTATAATATTGTTAAGAGAATAATATGTTATTAATTAATTCTATATTTTCTTGCTATAAATTTTTCACTGATTTTAAGTATTGAATATTTGAATCATTATTCATCTATAAATTGGGAGAGTTATTTACAAAAAATTACATTAATTTTGTTTCTGTGTAATTAAATGAATTAAAAACTTTTTTCATCAATTTTTCAATTACTTATTTAATTTATTTTCGATATTCTAAGCCAAATGTTTAGATAAAGTAAATAATTATATAATGCAGAATCAATATCTTCTAATTCATCGAATTTTATTAATATCATATCTTTACTAGTGATACATCAAATAATTGTTTTATTTATATTTATCCAAATACAGTGAGAGAATGAGCTTTAATTCTAATATATGCTTATAATTCTTGCGATTTATCAAATCAAATATCAAATTTTTGTCTGATCCCTATTCTCCGATATACAAAGTTAATGACTTCATCAGATATTTATTTAAATACTTCCAATTTTTAGTTTCTAAAAGAATGCAAAATAAGTTGCTGATAGAAATATGATTATGCCTTAATCAAAATGTTCACAAATGAATAAAAGAATTTGTCATACAGAAGTCTATTTTTAACCTATGAACTATGAACGATTTCTTTTTGGCAAAAAAAAACGTTCCTTCATCTCTGATCTTCCACCTTTATAATCAAGCGTGCAGTCAATATAATCTGCATAAAAGGTAAAATTTGGAACTTCTTGTGTCGTTATCCAATAAATTTGGTGATTATTAGAATCACTTCCGTTTGAGCAGCAGGAGTCCTCCCTAATTAAACTTTGATGAGGCCGTATTAAGTACAGTCTTACCTTACGATTGGCAGCTGCCTCTCTTCAACCTCTACTTAGTAACAGAAAAGAAAGTAAATTTTAAAAATAGATGTGTTAAATGAACTATGTTGATTTGTTACTTATTTTTTACTATAAAAATAGTGATGTTTAATCTTTTTCTCATCCACTAATTATAATGTTAACAAAAATTCCACATATTAATATCAGTCAGTTCTAATTGTTTCAAAATCTAGTTATTTTTCTAATTTTATTTTGATTTGTCAACGATATATATTTTTTGCAAGGATTACTCAATTAATCATGTTTGATCGTTTCCACATTGTTTCTCCTTTTTATTATATTTTATGGAATTATTTATAATTGATTTAGAATTCATTAAAATAAAAAACAACTTAAATTACAATATTAATTCAGATCACAATCATTCCTTTCAAAATTTCTAATTCTCTTTGAATTTATAACTCCTCTTTTACTTATTCATAAATATCGCCAATGTTGTATAAATCTAAAATTTTGCTTAATATACTACCAACTAATTTATCTAATAAATGTAACATGGAATGAGAGTATTTAGGATTTGACATCTTTTACAAAATAAATTGTAAAATCATCTATAATTCTTCATCATCGATATCCTTTAATGCCACTTCTAAAGCTCCTCTTTCAGATAATTCTTCTACAAGACTGAGTATTATTGAAGTTTTCTTTTCTTTAAATGCCTATATTGTATTTGAAATTTACCTTTAAAATTGCTTCCTTATACTTAAAAGTGACTAATAATTTATCATAACCTGAAAATTTTTAAATTTGCGTTGTTGGAACTTTAAAATCATAATCAGCTAGTTTAGAATAGATGCCTCTATTATAAAATTTATAATTTTTTATTCTTCTTTATAAATGTGGATTAGACTTTAAATATTCAGGAATGTAATCTTCTTCTTCTTCTATGTCTTCATCATTTTTTGAAGGTTTTAATTGATTTATTTGCAATTAACCATCACTTCCTCCAATAGCTATATTAAATCCATCTTAAGAGACATCCAAGGTCATTACGGGACTTTTCCATTTTAATTAATGAGTAACAGTTAAAATATCAGGTCTTATAAATTTAACCTAATGATCTAAAGATCCTGTAATAATTCTAATTTAATCATGATAATAAGCTAAGGATAAAGAAGTAACAGTCTACTGATTAGTATGTAATTCTTAAATAAAATTGTCTTTTCTGAAATCCCACAGTGTTGTAAATTAATCTTATGCAGAAATAAAATTCAACTTATTTGGTAATATCAAAATAGATTCGATTGGATAATTTGTTAAGTAGGACTTAATTGGGTCATTGCTGCTACTTCTCAAATCATACAATTTAATAGATTTATCATAGGATGAAGACAATAATTATTATTCTTCATATCCAGCTATGCATCTAATAAAATCATTATGAGCATTGGGTATGCTTCTAATCACCATATCATTTGGTATATCAAAAAGTTTTATTGTCTAAAATTATAATAATAATTACTCCATCATCTCCAGCTGCGTATAATTAATCTGTATTGTTAAAGCTGATTGTATGCACTGGTTTCTTGAAATTCTTGAATTGCCTTAGAGATGTTTTTGTCTTAAGGTTCATAATATTTACTAATCCGTCTTCATGTGAGGTTGCTAATAATTGAGAATCACATCTTAATTAAAGCGAAAGAACTTAAGTTTTGAATCTACTCAAAGTTTATGTGATTTAATTTTTATTTGTACTAAAAATTTCTACTGTATTGCCATTTGCTATAGCTATTCTTTATTTGATATTATTAGAGGCACTAATAGCTTTTATTGATTAATTATGTTATTTTTCTAACACTTAATTAAAGCTATTCCAATATCTGTTTTCAGCATTATCACTAACAGGCTTTTTAAATAATCTAAACAATATATGGCTTTATTTTACAATTTTTCTTTTAGTTTTATGTAATTGTCCATTAATATAAAAATTAATTTTATTATGTAAAGTTAAATTAAGTGTGATTTTTGAATTCTTATTTTAGAGTAGTTCTTGGAATAATAAAGATTTATTTTGCCATCTAATTCTGAAATCAAGCCTTTTGTCATAGACTCATTTAAATAAAATTTAAATGAGATTCTTTATGCAATACTCCTAGATTGCTATTTAATTGAGGTAAATAGATCAATACATATTATTTATTACAATAATGGATTAAAATTATATTGATAAATAAGTAAAATAAGGAAAAATCATTGTTGTAATCAAGAAATTAGTATATGATTTGACAGATTTCAAAATCAGACATCCTGGAGGCTTTAAAATTTTAGAAAAATATAATGGATATGATGTTACAAGGCAGTTTGAAGTTGTAATTCGACACAGCGAAAAGGCCAAGGAAATGATGAAAGAATTTTTCATAGGGTCCTTTCAAGATCGCAAATAAAAGGTTTCATGGGAGCATATAAGATCGAATTAAGAAAAACTATACATTGTGATCTAAAATAATCTATATGATTGCACAGAGGTATTAAAAGAATTTATTTGTTAGTTTGCAGATAATCATCCAGGAGGAAAAGAAATATTGTTATTATATAAGAATTAAAATGCCACAGAAGCATTTAAAAGACTTGGCCACAGTTAAGAAGCAAAAGAGAAAATGGATTTGTATAAAATTGGTGAATTAGAACATAAAGTAATAAAAATCATATAATAGAAAGCTGAGGGGAATTCCTAAAGATGGCTTTTGTTTTTTATAGGACTAGTAATTGCTTATATTTACAAGAGTATTGCTTATTGAAATATCCTTAAATTTTAATGCATAAATATTTATTAATAGTTATATAATCCTTATTAATTAAAGAAATGAATGAAAGAAGAGAAGAAACTACTATACCAGTTGCAATGGAGTATGACAAGAAGAAAGATGATATTGAGAAAAAATTAAATTCGTACATTTGATAAACTAATAAAGATTATTTGAAGCCGATAAGGCAGCTGAGGAGTAATTGTATTAAGTGTAATAAATACTTGCTATTTAAGGAGCAGTATTAGAAACTGCTTCAGAGTCATCATTAAGGATTCTAGCAATTTAATATTTTATTACAAGTCTTTTAACAATGTTTATTTTGTAATTAAATCGTTTTGGATGGATTTTAACATGGCTTCCTTTTTTAGAATAATTTGTTGGAACTATTTACATTATAACATTATTACTCTCTGAATTTTGTCCGAATGCAGTCTCAAAAGTAAATTAATTAATATTTCTAGTTACCTTATAACTTTTTGATTTTTATTTTTCATTCTTGTTCCAAAATTTTACTCCTTGTTTTTTTGTCACTTTGGAATTCAGAGTATCAATGCGAATTAATTACTCTATCTTTAGGAATTTCTATATTATACTTGATATATTTAATAAAGAGTTCTGTAGGTATATTTCATCATAATATTTAAGCTGAGAAGTAATATTAAGGTATGAAAGTAAAAAAATAATTCTGTAATGTTGTTGTAATGGTGGCTTTTATATCTGGTGTCTTATGTTTGCTAACTAGATCACATCTAGTAATTATCGCCATATTAGCATGTTTTGGTCTGATTTATATCTGCTTCCTATAATTAGCTCTTTAGAGATTTGAATAGATGGAATTTATTTTTGAGAATTCAAATGACATTTATTTGGGACCTGCAATATTGGATGCTGATTTGGTATTCTTTTGCAAATTATGTTTTTTCCATTGTTTTAGTAAGAAAAATAACTACAATCCAAAAAAAAAGGAAGAAGAATCAGATTAAAATGAGAATTGAAAATGAAATTTATCATCAATATATATAGATATTCACTTTTATATTTATATATTATTTACATATTCTTCAAATAATACTAATCTCCCTCTAAATACCATGATCAATTTAATATAAATGCACAGCATTTTCATAACCTTTACTTTTTACAAATTTATTTATTTAATCAATTTCTTCTTTTGTGACTTTCTTACACAATATTGCTATAGCATCATACCCTCCTGCTCCAGGACATATTCCCCATAATGCTGAAGGCTAAGAAAGTGAAAAATCAATAATTTCAGTTGAAATTTTTGGCTCAATATCATAATTAGCTAATTAACTTAATTCTCTTAGTAAAGAGCGATATTCTTAATTCAATTTTAAGAACTTTTCTCTAACCTATTGTTGTTGTTGGAGAAGATAAAACAATTCCATAACACATTTCTCACTTGTTTCTAAAAAATGTTTATTATATTTTTCGTTTTCAGATAAGCATTTTTATATAGTATTTATACCTTTAATAGTACTTTATCCTTATTTTAAATCAATTAATAAAATTTGATAATTTTTATCAAGGCCATCTAATGTTTTCACTTCTTTTTTGCTAAATAATTAGCTTCCATATATCGCAGTTGAAATATCAAAACCAGAACCTTTGTTTTGTTGAGCTATCATGTTAGCTTAAGAAGCAAACTAGTACAACTTTTCATTATCATTGATAAATTAACCTAAACAAGAAACAATTAATCCAGCAGAACTTCCTAAACCTAATTTTGTGATTTTATTTTTTTAATTTAATGAATAAAAAGCTGAATCTGGCTTTGTTTCAATCAACCAAGAATCAGTAATCAGCTAGTTCTCAAATAAAATTTAGAAGATAGCATCAAAATATATATTTTCGCTCTAGCTTATCTAATGAAGAGAATATTTGATTTCTTGAGAAAATTATTCACTCCTAAAGACTATTTAGTTTTTTTCTTATAATTTAATTTTTTCTGTCCTAAATCTAGCATTGATTGCAATAGAGACTCCATGATTATTGGGATTCAAAATAGCATATCCTCCTGCTAATAATACTTTACCAGGACATGAACAAATAAATTTTTACATTTTATAATAACTTTTTTTAAAAAATGAATAACAACAAAGAAATGATTAAATCATAAAGTAATGACCTTGAAGATTAAGAAGGAAATAATAAAAAATACAATCTACTTTCTTCCGGATATCAATCTCCTAAATTAAACTTAACCTCAAGATGTAGGCTATATATGACTTAATATGAGAGACAAATAATAAGATCTTTATTGAGTTCAAATATTTAGAGAATTCCTTTTGAAAATAGTTATTTATATTTAGTGAATTATGATTCAGAGTTGTCAATATTTAAAATTTAAGGAGATTAAATAACAAAATCAATCTAAACAAATACTTTTGCCGCATTTGTTAAAATTCATTCATCATCAACAAATTCTAAGAGAATAAAGAGTTATTTGATAGATAGAAATAATATCATATATCTCTATGAAATAGATTTTAAAAAAGATGAAAGTCCTTTATTTAGAAAAGAAGAACTAGAAATAAATTAATTTTTAAAGTTAGAAAATTTTATTTTCTTATCAGTAATAAATTAACTCGTATTTAGTGTTTTGTAAATCAAAATGGTTCCCTACTAGCGATGGTTTCAGATACTAAAATTTTCTTTTTATAAGATGATGTAATTAGGGAAATAGAAAACCCTCTTTAAATTAAATCCTTCCCCTATTACTTTAATTTTGAATAAAAAGTAAATTTAGAATTTAGCGCAGATAAGAAGTGTTTTATTATTGCTTATGATTCTTTGGTTTTTATTTATGAGAATTTTTAACAATTTAAAAAGTTTGAACTTAAAAATAAGTAAAAAATATTGAATGTATTTTATTTAATTATATTAGATTAAATTATTCTATAACTAACTTATAATACTAACAAACATAGCAATAATAAAAATTGATAATATATTTAATGAATATATTTAATTGAAAGATTAAGATTACTTTAATCCATTAGATCCTGAAAGGACAATAAAATATGGAACTTTTGAAATAGAAAATTAAGAAATAAAATCAGTAATTATTTATGATAGCTGTCAAACATTATATTTAATTGAAATGAATAGTATTTAATAGGGGTAAATGTTGATTAAGGAAATAAAAGCATAATTTAAAGAAGATGAAAAAATTTAAATGATAGAAGTAGAAAGAAAAACATTACAATTTATTGTATTGAGAATTTTTTTTTTCAAAAAGAATCATGAACTAGGTTATTTTGAATATTAAGGAAATTTTTGATTCTCATTGATTTATTTTTATGATATCATTACTTTCCGTATTCCTTTTAAGTCATTAGATTGTAGAAATCATCAAAGGTGACAAAGCCATCATCATCTAAATCGGCTTTCTTAAACATGTGCTAGATTTCTTCATCAGTCATTTCTTCTCCCAAATCTTATGCTACTCTTTTTAATTCATCCCATGTAATGCGACCTTTGATAAATAAATAAATTACCCTCCTTATTCCAATCATAAAGATTAAAGACTTTTTAGATTTACTCTCTAGTATCTTTATCACTAACCTTGGCTGTTGCAAGATGCAAAAACTCTTCAAAATCAATTCCTCCACTATTGTCAGTATCTAATTCACCCAATACTTAATATATAAATTTATTGTGGTAGGTTTTAATTCCTGATGCTTCAAAAGCTTCTCTCAATTCTTATGGATCGATAGATCCAGATCCATCATTATCAAAAATGTCAAAGGCTTACTTGACTTCTAATACCTCTTCTTTTGTAAGATGTGGAGGTTTAGCGTAATCTTCGGCATTAAAAGGTTTAGGGCCCTTCTAAGGAGGGGGAGGAGGAGGAGCCTTTTTATCATTCTTTTATGCAGACGATGGTGCCTATCTTGACATTTAATTAATATTTATTTATATTTATATTTAGATACTAGTGAATAACATTTAATATCAAATGTTGAACCATTAATTATCAATTAAAGTAGTAGCTGTTGGTCTATTGTCTGCTTAGGCATCCAACATTAATAAGATCATATTAGCCAACTCCTTTGAAACAAACTTTTTGAGAATTAATCGATTGGTTCTTGAATTATCTTCAGGTAATTGACAAGTACACATTTGAAATATAACTACTCCTAAACAAAATATATCAAAAGAAGGTTAAACTAAATAATTAAGATCTGCTAATTCAGGAGGTATATGAGGAATTGTTTTCATCAGATATTTCCTAAGATCAGGATTTAATTTAGTTTTGATTTCTGATAATGTCTCGAATCGACTTATTTTTAACTAGAATTAAGGAAAAATTACTTATCTGTACTCTTCTTTGTGACACTCTATATTTTGGAGGATGATGCACATATGAACACAATTGTTTTGATGAATGTATTTTAGTCCTTCTAAAATACTGTAAAGATATGATCTTAACTTAATTTCATTTGATAATATTCTGGATTCGGTTTAAACACGTTCCTACAAATAGTTGTACTAATTAGCGTAGGAAGTGTATATCTGTAGAGTAGTTTTATTTTCAATGACGTATTAATGAACCTAAACATTCAATATGAATGTACTTATGATAAATTATCATCGTTGAATTATTGAGCTCTTCTTAAGGAACTTATAATCAATTCTGTGTTATAAGGATTAGATATGGTATATCTGATCCTCTAGTCATTATTTATATATTTACTTTAACAAATTTTGAACTGATCACAATCTGAATGTCTTATTGAATTTCAGAAACAATTAGAAAAGTCTCTTCAGGTTCTTCATAGTCTCTCAAGGATGATAGGAACAAACTGTCATTAATAATTAGTAGATGCTGTGGACATTTGTATGGAGAGGTGACAGCTTTTTAAAATTCAATTGAATCATCATCCTAAGTGAGATTTGTATTCATTGTTATTAATTATTATAAATTCGATCTAAATAATATAAGCATAGTAATAAATAATAATGCGTATTATTATTTTAATATTATAACTTAACTTTTAAGTTAAAATCAATATTTTCTTAAATGGAGAAACTATAGAGCATACCCAATTATGAGATAGTTAGGATAATAGGATCAGGGGCATTTGGTAAATTTTATAAATAATATCAAGGTTATGTGTTTGAAGCCTTTGATTAATAAAGACGCTAAAAAGTAGCCTTAAAAAGAATGCAAAAAGTTGGTAAATTATAGAGTAGAGAATGCGAAATATTGATGTAGTTAAAGCAGTGTAGTTATGTAGTGAAAATGCTAGTATAAGATTATATTATATAGGATGTATTCTACAGTAGAAGTGAAGATAATAAAATGATTTAAAATATTATACTAGAATTTATGGATCAAAATTTAGAAGATATCATTGGCGATCACAGAAAAAGAAAAACCTATTTGGAATCCAAAGAGCTTAAGAACTACCTCTATTAAATGCTTAAAGGTCTTGATTAGATTCACAGAAAGCATATAGCTCATAGAGATTTAAAACCGTAATTGTATAATATAATTAAAAAGAGAAAATATATTAGTTAAAGATGGGAAAATTAAATTATGTGATTTTGGTAGTGCAAAGTAACTTAAACCATCTACTATAAATACACCTTATATTGTATCGAGATTTTATAGAGCTCCAGAATTACTTTTGGGAGTAACAGAATATGATGTATCAATTGATATGTGGGCAACTGGGTGCATAATGGCTGAATTAGCTTTACTTGAACCATTGTTTATTGGGAAATCAGAAGGGGATTAGTTTTTTCAAATTCTCAGAATTTTAGGATCTTTTTCCAAATAGGATCTCAAATATTATTAAAAAGTTGTTCCTTTTGATGTAAAATTATTCAAAGAGTTTCCAAATTATGAACCAATTGATTTAGATGATAAATTTGATCATGTAGATGATAAAGATTTATTTATTGATTTGCTGAGGTAACATTATTGATTTGAGTAATTAAATAGCAAATTATTAAAATACATACCAGAGGAAAGAATTACAGCAAGCTAAGCATTAAAACATTAATATTTTTAAGAAATTCTAGACTAGTGATTTATTCAAAATTGTTTTTAACTAAAACATCATCAAGATATTCTCTTTTATAATCGTTTATTTAATATTTCTTTCCAATTTCTCATATCGTCTATTTTCTCATGTGGAATTATAACTTCATTTGATTTGATTTCTGTTTGATTATATTAGTAGGGTTATTTCCAGTCAGAAATTAAAATTGTATTCATTTAAGAGATTGTTCTAAGATGAATAGTAATTATACCGATATTCAGTGATTGCAATTTAATCAGACTGAATATATTATTAATATTTTTAGTTTATTAAATCGATCCATTAATTTCTTTTGGTTAATTACAAATTTGATCTATAGCTAGTTTTAGGAGAGGATGCTAAATTAGTTATTTTTAATTTTGACTCTTAGTTTCTCTTACTTGCTGTTGTATGCAAAGATGTACTTGGTGTTTTCTTTTATTATTTTGATAGTTCTTTCAGAATATTTTTGAGAGAATACAGATTTTGGACTTTTAGTTTATTTTCAATCTTATTGGCCTCTCTAATTATTAGTTAGTTATAGTAATGCTTACTGATATATATTCATTAGCTTATTTTTCTTCTACTCCTAATCCATTTATTAATTATTAATATATATATAAAATATAATATATAGTATCACAAGACACTCCAGGCATTTTATCCATGTTTATTAAAAATATGAGTGCTTCCTCCAGCTTCCATTAACATATCTGCAATTTTATAGTGTCCGTGGGCTAGAGCTAGATGAACTGCTGTATTGCCATCATCCTTGCTTAGTAATACAATACATTTTAAATGTTTATGTCTGCTCCTCTTTTGACTAATTCATGGACAATTTCTTTGCAACCACATTAGGCAGCTAAAATCAGAAAAGTATTTCCATCTTATAAAGGAACATCTATTTACATTTCAGGAATAAATTAAATATTATCCATAAACTAAATACAAGTATATAGGATACCTCTATAAAATTATTATTATAAATAGCTAATTTAATTAATTAATTTGTATCTAATTTTTATCTTCGTTAAGATTCTTTAATTTGGGTTCTCATTCTTAATGAATTCATGTACATACTTAAAGCATTCTAAATCTTTATAAAAACAATACTTTTCCTTCCTGTAAAAGATGATATTTATCTTCTTAATCTTAAATTGTTTCAAAACTATCTTCCTATTAACTTTGCATTTTTAATTGTGAAACTTACTATTATGGAGGTTAAGTATATTAAGTTTGAGATGATTATTGATGTTATATCTATTCAATTTTACTTGAACGTCTAGATTCCCCATTTTAAGAAGAATGAAAAGATGAACTAAGATCCTATTAAGAACTATTAAGGTCTATGTGTTTAGAACTAACTACTCTAAAGACAGATTGTTGAGATGCAATAGTAGGTTTAGTAATAAGAACAGTTGAAGTTTATGTAAAAACATTTGAGTTTTACTGATTTGTTTATTAAATTGTAATTGTAAGTGGATTAGATAGCTCTCCTGATAACATCGCTCTTCTGTTCCATTATTATGGTTAAGTAACCTATAAAGAATCTTATTTTGTTAATCCTTATAAATTCTACTTTTTTATATTTATTGTTTATCTTTTATTAATCGATTCTTTCAATTCTTTAGATTATCTTCTCATAGAATTTCTTATATATGTTTATAATAAAGGTTAGTTTTCAAATTTATCGTATTTACTTTCCTATTTTTCTAATATAGCTGTATTTGAAACTGGATCTTAATGTTCAACATCTATCATTCTGGTTTAGCAATTATATCTTCCAACTAAAATAATTGGATATCTAAATTCAATAGCTTAACAGATTGCTTTATTGAGTGTTGGGTTTCTTTAATATTTAAGCATTTCTTCAAATACTGTCTGATGTTTATCTATCAATACTCCCATTTCATAATCGTCACACATTTTTACATGAAGAGTTAAAAGATGATTTTTTGTTTTTTGTTCTAAGACACTAAGTATTGGCTAAAGATAGAGAGGCATTTAAAAAGCCATTCTTATTTTTTTAATTAAAATTAAAGCCCCTGTTGATAATTCTATAAAATGACTTTAAATTAATTACATTTTTCATCGATTGGGTCATCTGTTATAAAATATGTTAATGTCTACTCTTTAAGTTAATTTTGATCATTTAGAGTTTATTAACTCTTCAAAGTTATATTCTTTCTTATTACTGGTTCTAAGCTTTTTTTTATATAATATATTACTGTTATTAGCTGGACTTTCTAAAAAATTATCTAAAGAAACAGTATCATCAGAATCTTCACTTGATATTACTGCAGACTCATTAAAATATTCATCATAATTATAAATTGTATTTTCTTTATCTATACTATATTTTGGTAATAGGATTCCTGAAAATTAAATTTTATCAGTTAAATTTTCATTTGTGACTTTTCTTTATCTAACACCTTATTCAGATGTAGACATTACAGTATATACATTTGTTAAAATAGTACTACTAGTGAGGGCTACTTTTGGACGAAAGCTCTCTTCTACTTCTTATAAATTCTATTTTGTATAATTTGTTTTTTGCATCATTTTATAGAGTTTATTTTAATAGTAAACTCTAACAAATAGATTAGGCTTATTTAATTAAAAAATTTATTTACTTTACTAAAGTCAAATTTAAGATCAGCACTATTTGTTGCCTCTTCTGAAAATACACTAGATTGAATGGATAATCTAGAGAATCGATTAGCTCCTAAATTTCTTGAAGATTAAATATAATCAAGTTTTCTACTTGATTGAAGATTCTTTGAAGAAATCAAAGCTAACGGCACTATTTATCTAGGTGATTAAGGAGGTTTTAGTGGTGTAATTTCTTCAGTTGTATCCTTTTATTAATTCAAATGCTTAGGTCTATTAAATTAAAAGGTCAATTTTTCAACATTTTCATAAGTAATTATAACATTAAATTTATTTTTTTCAAAGTCTTTTAGATTATCTTTTTCTTTACTCTTTTCTTTTATATTTTATGTATTTTTATCAGAACTAACAATCAATAAATTATTTTATATTTATGAACAAACACTAGTAATTGATTTTCTTTATGATTTTGGTAATAATGAAAATTATTCTTAATGCATAAGACTTCTTGAGGATGTTTAATGAATTAAATTAACCTTTCTTTAAAATGCTTTAGTTGAGACATTAAATTATTCAATATTTATTAATCCAAATCCTTTTTTAAGATGAATGTCTTTTATATATTTCTCTTTTTTTAGAATATTTTGTTTTTTCTTCATAAGTAACTTCAATGCTAAAATCTAATTTCCAGGTTCAAATCTTTTTTAAATTTATGGTCTCTCTACTTCTTGTAAGGCATTAAATTCATGAGATATGATTACATTAAATAAGGACTAAATATATAAAATTATACTTTCCTTGCTGGAGAATGAAAGGAATTTTACACAGCTTTTTTAAATCTGGATCTTATGGAAAGTTTACTGTTTGATAATTAGTCATCTTGATTATTTGATAATTAAGAGACTTATAATAAATTATTAGATTTATTTAAGAGTAATTGTTAATCTTTTCTTTATTCGAATCTTTATTCGAAATTACTTCTTTCTTATTCTCCTTATTCTTCTATTGTAATTGTAGGTTCAGTCATAATATTTATGAATGGAACTCTAGAACTTTCAATTTTAGGTTCAGGAGATAGCTTTGGTAATAAAGGAATATGAATATCATGCTTTTTTTTTTGGATGTACAAATAAGGAGTGGAGCTATGTTCAGAAACATATTTAATTCTTTCAGTAGTCTTTTTCTAAAATTTCTTATTATCATTCTAAGAAACAAATTGAGATTTTGGTGATATTTATTCAGTCCTTAGCATTTTTTATTATGGAAGAAAATTCATCTTAGGAGACACAGATTTGTTTGATCTAATGGAGTGATTTTAAGATAGGAAACTAGTTAGTCTACTGCGTTAATCTTTGGGACTTAAAAAACTAGTTTAAGATGTTAATGAAAATGGGTTTGCATAATTCATTTATAATATATATTTATGCAACTATAAAAATCCAAAATCAAGCCCCCTTTTTTACTTGATGGTATAGCAGCTGCAAAAAAAGGGAAAGTGCTCAATTATAAGCCTGAGAAAGATGTTCATCTTGAATAATACTTTTACAATTTACATATGCATCAAATGATGAATAAATTGAAATAGGATAGATTGAGTTAGCGTAATTTACCTCATTCGTTATCCAAGTCTTTTGATTAGACTATTGTAATTATTTGATTTGTATATTGAGTAGAACCAATCAAAAGGCAATATTAAATCTGGATTACATAAAGCTTCATCACCTTCACATAAATCTTTTGTTAAAGCTCCAAATAATACACAAATATCTGAAGTATCTAGATCACTTTCCAAAGAACATTTTGTCACATTTCTTGATTCTCTTATAACAACAGTTTAGAATGTTTAACAGTTAGTAATTACTTATCTTCCAAAAGAATAAATTGATGGAGCAATTATTAAATAACAAAAAGAATTAAAAAAAATTAATCAAGCAACATAACTATTAACAAGGTAATTAAGAGCAAATTCATTGAATTAAAAGAAGGAAGTAGAAAATGTAAAAACATAGAAGAACTTTTCTAAATTACCATAAATTAAAAAAGTTGATATATCTGTTAACTCATAAACTGAAAGAGGAAGGGATTAATCTACAAGATATCGTAAAACTCCAGGAGCAACTGTTGCTATTTTAACTTAAAAAACTTTGGAAAAAAATAATTAAAAAATTCAAGATGAATATGACAATAATGGTTTTGAACCTTATGAATCCAATTAGGAAATGTAACCTAAATAATAATTATAATCTCCAAATGAATATTCTGAAAATAACAATTAATCTATTAAATAATAATAATAATACAATAAATAAGCTTAAACAGGATAATTACCATCTCTTAGAACATCTTTACAATAATAAACATAAAAAAAATACTAAAAAGAAATTTAATTAGTACTTACAAAACCAAAATAAAATAAATATGAAAATGCCTCTAATAGTACTTCTTAATCTCCAATTCAATTAAAATGTAAGAGTGTTGGTATGAGAGAAGCACCTCCATTTAAAAATTAATAATAGAGTATTAAATCTGAGTTTAAGAAAATATCATCAGTGAAAATGGAGAGTATAGAAAAACAGAAATCAAAATTATAACTTAATTCTAAAAGTAAAATTAATGGTAATGGAAAGAAGGAAAACATTCCTATTTAGATTAAAATTATAGATGTAGATGCTCAAACTGAAAAAACAGAATTTAATTCAAAAACTGCTAAAACAAATACTTAAGTGCCTGTAGAAATTGTTGAAGAAGTAGTCTAAAATTTTACAAATGAATCTGGATTATTTTAAACATAAATAGAAACTGAATAAAACAAAATTGAATAAGATAAAACATAACTTTAAGGAACTGCTTTTTTTTAAATTTAAGAGGAAGAGGAACATAAAGAATCTATAGAAAAACTAGATGAAAGTAATGATTTCAAAAATGAAAGTAAAAAAATATAAAATGAACAGTAAAATGATAACAATTTTATTAAGATGATCTAGGATTAAGTTAAATAAAATGATGAAAGATTGTTGAAATAATAATAAACTGATTAATCTATTAATCTATTAGAAAGTATGAATCAAAAAAACTTGATTAAAGTTATAGAATCTATTGAAGCAAAGGATGAAGATAATATAATCAATCCATTAGATGATAGTGAGGATTAAAAATAAAAAGAATAGCCAAATTCTTTATTTGTAACTTTAGAACCTACAGAACAAAAAAATTAGTAAGACTCTTATCAAAATGAAGAGTTTGAGTAAGATGCATGATTTAGAAATTTTTGTTAATTAATTGTATAACATACTCATATTAATATAAGAGAAATAAATTATTATAAAATTAATAATTTATATTAGAATTATCATTTCATATAGTAATATATATTAAAAAGCCCTCCAAATATTATTTTTAATGAAAACTAACTAATACACTCTTATTTCAATTGAAGGAAATATTGGATCTGGAAAAAGTACTTTACTAAAATTGATATAATAAAAATATCCTGATGTAAGTCATACTAATATTTTTAGTTACGATTTATACCTGAACCTGTTAATGAATGGCAATGTATTAATGGTGATCCATCTATGAATTTATTGGGTTCATTTTATGAAGACCCTACAAGATGGGCTTATACTATGCAGGTTTATGCCTTTTATAGCAGATTAAAACATTGGAAAGAAGTTCTCTCAGATCCAATTAATCCAGAGGAGAAACATTTAATATTAAGTGAGAGAAGCATAGAGGCAGATAAAGAAATATTTGCTGTAAATGGACATAAAAATGGTTTAATTAACAATTTGGAATTTGCTTTATATGAAAAATTCTATGATTGGTTATGTGAAGAAGTTTTCGGAAAGAAAATTTAAAAGCAAATGATCATTTATCTATAAGTGGATCCAGAAGTATGTCATTTAAGAATGTAAAAGCGAGCAAGAGATGAAGAAAAAGTATTACCGCCATTTTTATTATTTAAAGAATACAATTTCTAAGGAATATCTGACATAAATACATAATAGACATGAAGAATGGTTATTAAGAGAAACACATAAAAATACATCAATATTAGTTCTAAATGGAGATAAAGAATTTGAAAGTGATCTAAATTAATAATAAAAGATGTTTAATAGTATAGATAACTTTTTAAAAGGATTATTATGAACTTTAATTTATTTATAGTTTTTTTTTATTATTTGTATTAAAAATAAAAAGATAAAATACTACACAAAATTGAATTAATTATAGAATCATTATTAGCTAATGAATTATTCTGTAAGGCTTTAGGCTAGATTTAATCCAGTAACTATTGTAATTGGTAAAAAATTATTTAAATCTGGTTATTAATGTAATTTGGGTGGTTCTGATTTTGTTTTCTTTAATAATAATGAATTCTTTTTAGAATTGCTAGCTGATTTTTATTTAATCAATTATTTTAGAGTTTCAATATCAATGAGTTCATCATAAGAGATTAGATGTTCCTCAAATGTTTCTGATTATGTTCTATATAGAATCATAGCATCTCTAATTTAAACACTTTCAGTTGAAACTACATCTAAATCAGCTAATTTAGAGATTTCTTCATAGAGTTCAGCATGATAATCTTTTATGTATGTAGATAATTTATCATAAGTATTTTTTTAATAGTTAATTGTCAATCTAATAGTCTATGATAGCAAAGGTTCACTATTGATAATTGATTTAATTTTGTAAAATACTTTATTGATGTTGAGTAATTGAAATGAATAATCTGTTTGTTAAGTAATGAATTAATTTTCATCATTGTATTTTTAAATTCTTCTTGAAAATTCTGGACTTTATTTTATTTGTTCAATATGAGCTTAAATTTTAGCATATTTTTATTCTAAGAGATGAGGAATTAATTTATTTTCTAAGATATGTTTTTAAAAAATATATCCTAGAACATTGATATCTTTGGAAAAATTAATATTATGTTCTTAATAAAGATTTCCAGTTTATTCTATTAAAATAATGAATAGGTTTTCTAAATCTTTCATATATTTAAATTTTGAATGACCTGCCATTCTCACATTAGATTATGTAGTTGATAAATCAATTAATGATTTGACATAATCTTTTAATAAATATTATTCATATTTAAGTGTAGGACTTATTCTAACTGCATATAATTATTATAAGAAAATTGATCTTAAAGCATGTTTGCATTTTGAATATATGTATTGATTCCACATTTTCATCATTATCCATTAAATATTTAAGGGTGGGAAATGATATGAAGGAATTTATTCTTTTAAAATGATATCAAAAAGATGCAGATAAGGTGTTACATGTTAGTCTATTTATTGCATCCAAATCAAGTACATTTAGAAATTATATAGATAAAAATCTAATTATCCTATTGAATCATTAGTAGCTCCTGCACATTCTAATGTTAATGCTACTATTTGTAAAAGGGATTTAATAGTTGAAGTAATTAAAATTATAATATTGAATAATTATGGTAATCTAAAAATAAATAAAATGTTATTACTTCTGATCTACTTGAAATTCTCTTAAAGTTCTGATTTCTAACATCTTTGTGATCATTTATTATCTTGAATTTTATGACTTTTTGAAAAAAGCTCTTGTTTAATTAAGTATTTGTATTTCAGTAATAGATTGACATTCTTAACAACTCTGAAGCTTTTACATTATTTGTTTCTAAAAATCAGAATTTAAGCCTTCTTTAGTCACTTCATCCATTAACAATGGTGGATAGATGATATGTTATTAATAAGCTTATTGAAGTGATTCTTTGAGATTTTATGGGAGATTCTTCATTTGGTTTCTAATCAAGCTCATATACACAAAATTATACTTATTATGTATGAAAACTTCTAAGACTTGAGGCCATGATGCATGCTTAGTCTCAGTTGCAAATTTGACAATGCCTCTTCGATCCTCATACAACTTGTACAATAGATCCCCACATTTAATGGAGTATGGAAGTGATGTGTAAAATCTTTCATAAACAAATTTGCTGGTGCAGTATAGATTTGTAAGATCATTAATTGTGAGAAATTTGCAAATTCCATCAACTACTGGATTTGGTAATCGATTGAAATATGTCTCTACACCCCCAAACATTGAAGAACTCATACTCCCATCAGTAGTAAATCTTAGCATCCCTGATTCATTGGTTGGTGCAGTTGAAACAGACCTACCATAACTTACCATGCTTAAATTGCTATCTCTTTACTTGGCTTATTATTATTTATTTCCCATTATTCTATATTTATTAATTTAAACTAATTATGATCAGATTTGCCACCCGTTTAGTGAGATAATTCTCTTCTAAAATTGTAAACTTCATTTATCATCTTAGGATGAAATTATTGATATTGGTAAACCTTCTCTTTCCAAAGGAATTCTTACTATATGTCCAACTCCTATTGGAAATTTGTAGGATTGGACTCCAAGACAAGATAAGGCACTTTTTGAAGCAGATGTTATAGCTTGTGAAGACACTAGAATAACTGGATTTCTAATAAAAATGATAAAGAATAAGAAATTATCAAATGAACAATTGGCAATTCCAGAAAATCCTAAGGAATATGATTTAGATGATGATGATTTCTCAATTTAAGATGTTATATTTGATTCAACCAAATAACTATAACTGTATATATATATAAAATAAATTTTAGTAAATTACCAGAATTAAATCAATAAGAAATCACTGCTGCAGATTTTAATTTTTATAAATAAAAAAAGATAGAAGAAATGAAAGAACGTGTTACTTAAGAAGTCAAAAAACAAAAAGAATATTTATCTGAATAAGACCCATTAAATTTTATGGGTAAATAAGATTATGAAGAAGAAATGAATCCATCTGAATTTGAAGTATATGGATTAACTGCTCCATTTATGGTTTATCTTAAAACAAAAATAGCTGTAGCAAAAAAAAGAAAAGGAAGAGGTATCTTAATAAGTTGTCATAAATTTAATGAAGAAAAAAGAATTGATAGAATTATTGCTATGCTTAAAATGGGTTTAAATATAACATTAGTTTGTGATGCAGGAACTCCTGCCATCTCAGATCCAGGTTATTAATTAGTAAATAAATGTATTGAAAGAAATGTTAAAATTGAAGTAATACCTGGACCTAGTGCTATATCTGTTGCATTAAGCACTTGTGGATTTCCTACAGAGAATTTTTCTTTTTTAGGATTTCTTTCAAAAGAATAACATGATAGAGATGAAAATTTAAGATTTTTTATAAAATAACCTCGTACTTTAGTTTTATTTGAATCACCATCAAGAGTTCATTAAACATTATTGACTATTGAGAAAATATTTGGAGAAACATAATAATTATGGATAGGATTTGAATTAACTAAGAAATTTGAAAAAAAAATCAGAGGAAAATGTAGGGAAGTATATGAAATGTTGACAGATCCTAAAATTATTAGACCATCTCATTTAAAAGGAGAAGTAACAATTATTATTGCTCCTTATACTACTACTTATAATGATGAATTAAAAGCAGAATAATTCTCTACAGGAAACAAATAAAATGAATTTTATGAAGAAGAAGAAGAAAATATTGAAAATTTAATTAAAAATGTTGAGGCTTTACAAGTTGCATAAGCTTTTGGAGAAAAATTTCATGGGACTGATAGAGAATTTAATGAAGTTTTGTAGAAAGCCTTAAGAATATCTAAGACAAAGGCTACTAAATTAATTGTAGAAGTTAGACATATGTAAAGAATAGAATAGAATTTAAAAAAAATAAAAGAAAGGGTAGGAGAATAAGAAGAGTATTTTAAATGATATACTTTGGTTATTATAATTGTACATTAGAGTTTATGTTTAAATTTATAATCAAAATAATCCTTCTGGTTCACTATGGTGTAATTTTTCTTAAATTTTCTTAAGTCTCTTTTGCATGGCATCTGTGTCATTCAAAACAAATTGTGTAATTTATAAAGAAGAACTTTATTAAGTCTAATGTTATTATTAATCATCATGTTATTTTTTATCTGATTAATAATTTTCATGTTCTTCATCTAATTCCATTATAATTCCACCTAATTTAGGAGGTTCAGGGGGTTTTTTATTTATATTGACTACAACTAATTAATTAGTTAATGGAGGACTATGATTATTTTTTTCATTCTTTTTCTATTTATCATTTACATGATTTAATAATCTACTATATGACATTTTTTGATTTTAATTTTAATTATGAAATACTGCATACACTTCTTATGTATCTCCTATTTTCTCTGAATTTTCATTTTTAGGACTATCTGATCGTCTAATTTTTTATAGTTTGATTCTAGGTAAACTTTTCTTATTTTTCAAAGAAGATGATTAAGGTAAGGATTGAGATTCTTAGTTTTATTCTTCATCTGATGTATCTTCTGCTTATGGTTTTCCTTTCATTTTTTCAAATTATTCTGCTTACCAATTTAATAATCTCTTTTTGAATTCTTCATCTTAAGGATCTTTTACTTTTTTGACAGCTTTTAATTATTTATTTGGAAATTAACTATGAATTTAGTATGGTTATTAAGATAATTAAAATATTGGATCCTCTACAAAGTAATATAATTAATACCTTTATTAGATATCTATTTCAAAGACTTCTTTTTTGGTAAGGCAAATCTTTTCGAGATAACTGCTAATTCTCCATCTTTAATTCCTACTACTTTTACAGTATAGGTTTTCTTTAACTTTTATTCGCATTCTTACATGATCTATTAAACAGGTTTATCTTAAAATTCTTGAACATTCATTCCTACCTACTATAATGAAGATAATAGAGTTTATTTTGAATGAGCAACTTTTGCTTAATGAAAATATGTTTGATATGGAGGATATAATAATTTAGCTAAATGTTCTGCTTATCCATCTTCAACTTGTGTAACTATTTTGCTTTTTATAGACATTACTATTATTATTATTATTATTATTATTATTATTATATTATATATATTATTTATATATATATATATATTATTATTATTCTCATGGATTCACAACATTTAATTTAAATATAATCTTCTACTTTATCAATCCTGTATGATTGTCATGTGCATCTACTGTTAAGGATATTTAATGTTCTTAACAATTGCTAGGAACTAAAATTCTAATTCTTAAAAAATCAAGACCTAAACATATAAAATTTTAGATACCTTTAGGAGGAATCTTTACAATTTTCTCATTTGCAGTACAATATTATGATTATTCACATTCAAATTTAATTTCAATTTCTTCATCATCATAATTATGGTATTTCACTTTCTTTTTTGTTAAGACACCTTTTTAAACATCAAAGATAGGGTATTCCTAAGTTTTTAAAAGGTTTAAATACTTTCACTTATATAGAACCTAACATTGAAGACACTTCTTCAATAGGAAGACAATCAAACTATTCTGTCGCAATCATAAAATTTAGAAATATAATAAATATAAAAAAAGTTTGGAGTGTGAGGGCTTCGATCTCTCCGCCTCTTGAATGCGAATCAAGCGCTCTACCAAATGAGCTAACACCCCACTCAAGATATTTTCCTATGATATCTGCTATATACTAGTTCCCACTTTAAATAAACTAATTAAAATTATTCAAATTTTAGAGCTTTCTAAAAATTGGCCTTTAGGAACTATATCAATTTTAAATAAAACCATACTAATTTTAAAATTTTATGAATGATCTCAATATATACAATATACTAAACTATGAGAATGTAAGTATAATTCCTAATAAAAAAGTATGATCAATTAGTCCAACTATTTAATGAGAATGGAGCTTGTTAATTTTATTCCTCAATCTTCTTACATTCTTTAGATATTACACTTTACAAAGAGGAGCCAATAAAATATTTAAACAAAAAGAATCAAAATTAATTTGGGATTATCAAAGAAATAGTGTGTTTGAATCTAAAAAACAAGAACTAATTACCATTGATAAAAATTTAGGTTTTATTGACTACATAATTTGTTTCATAATATGTAAATACAAAAATAGCAGATTGGTTAGAATCTAGAGAACTCTTCTCTTGTCAAGATACATAATGGATTTGCTGGAGTGGTACAACTATAGTTATTTACTTTTAGATATATAAGGCAAAATCATTCTAGTTAAGCATGATGAAATTCCATCTTATGCTAACAAAAAATAGATGGTTTATTTTATGAGAGCCTCATTTAATCATTATACTAAATAGTTTAATCCCCCTTATGATTAATGGTAGAGATAGTATTGTGTATGTGGAAATCCTGATAATCATGAAAAAAGATATGTGTAATGTGATATCTGTGATATTTGGTATCACATGGAATGTGAAGGATTAACTTAACAATAATGTGATAGACTAGATAAAAATAAACGATTAACATATTCCTGTAATTCATGTAAAATTGGAAAGAAAAAGAAAAGATGATTACTATATTATTATAAACTATTTTTGAAGTAATTTAATAATTAAAATTTTTAATAAATAGAGAATATGATTATTGATTTGATAAATCTAAATAGATTAAAGATGAGTAGAAAAGAAATAAGTATTTCTAATAATAATTATAAAATTATTAATATATATTTTTAGAAACTTCCTTATATTTCTTAGGAAATCCAGAAATTGTTTAAGTATCAAAAGTATGATTTCAGTTTAGATTTAGGGAATGTATTTTTCAATTTTCAAAGTAGAGGATCTTTTTACAGAAACATTTTAATAATAACTTTACAAATTTGATATATTTAAATGCAAATACATAAGGCAATTGCATATATAATAATTATGTTTTTAATAGTCTAATAAACAAATATCTCAAGATGGTGACAATACATTATCTTTATTTTGAATGATCTCTTTTTAACCAATTCTTAAATCTCTTTTGGATAATTTATAGCCATGATAACTCAATAATAAAGCAGTAGATATAAATACACCATTTCTAAATCTAAAAATAAGTGTATTACATTTAATTACCTCATTTATTTTTATCTGCTTGACATAGGTATATACATCATAAGTTAACCTCCAAGTGCACCTGATATATTTGCTACAGCTACCCAATATATAAACTTCATCAAACATTAAGACTCCAATTCTTTATGTTTTTAAGTACCTTAAGGAGATAACTTTACATATAAATTAGAATCCATTAATATTAATTATAAAAACAAAATAATAATTACAATTATGATTGTTTTGTTCAAAGTAAATGTTTTAAGGATTCTGCTGTCCCTAAAACAATAGCTAAAATTGAAACAATCAAAATGATTGCATATTGAATAACAAGTCTAATTGATTTAGAGTTCTTGAAATAAATCATATGAACTAGTACAGGGAAACAAAACTAAATAATAAAATTAAAACATTACTTGTAATAAGGATCCAAAAATACTTCCAATCAAATTCAAAAAATGTGATAAATGAGGTACACAATAAGCAATAAAATAAATAGTTATCATTAATGTACTTCTTATAATGATTTAAAAGAATCTATCTTCAAATACTTCATCATCTTTTTCACATGTAATATTCTCAATCTTATTGCAAATTGAATCAGCATTCTTTAAAATAGGAGAATCATCATTAGAATTTTCTTCTATATCATGGAAACTGGTATATTGAAATATGTTCTTTTAAAACATTGATTCTACAATTTGAACAGCTGGAAAAAGTTGAAGTGGAAAGGTCAATAATAAACTAATAGAGTATAAGATCAATGAAACAACTTCTAAGATTGGATTCTTTATTAATATAACAAAGTACTTACTTATATACTAAATAAAACAATAGATTATGTGTCTTATTAATATGTAGATGAACTAATTAGTGATAAAAATATTGAAATTCCAAATGCAGTCATTAAACTTTATGCAGCAACAGATTTAAATTCAAATTTATTCTTCATACTATCTCTAATAGGTAATACTGTAAATATCCCTTCACAACAAAGAATAGCTACTCCTACATAATTAAAAGTATCTAATTAATTTATTATTATAATAATATTACTTTTGAAATTCATTAAATTAGAAAAATGGAAATTGTCAATTATTGAGAGTCTATTTTGGCAATCATATAATATGATACAGAATGAAGCCAAAGCAGAATAAAAGCCATATTTACTGGTTGAATGAAAAAAATGAATTTTTCTTACAAATGATAAGGGAATCACTATAATTAATGTGATTAACAAGCATTATAATTTGGTCATTTAAATATCTATTTGAAGCAATGATTAAGCCAAGGATTCAGTTAGAAATATCAAATAAGCTATACAAAGTCCAATCAATTATAATATTATGGCAATATCTAAAATATGTGCCCATAGAATTCCCAAAGTCTATTTTATGATATCTGAATAGAGAATATTGTCTGTATTCAAATCATCTGCAATTTCTATCATAAATTAACTTGATCTAAGAAATAAAATGATTATTTTACTTAACACAACTGAAAGCTATTGGAACGAATAAGAAAATAGACCATAATAATCCAACTTGATAAGTGACAACAGGAAGAACAATAACACCTATAAAAAAATGAAATAAATTGGATACCTATTCCTAAATTTGATTTAATAAAATTGAAATAAGCCTGTCTAGCTGTAGATTTATATTATTTAATTGTTGGATGTTTAAGTTTATTAGAATCTTCAATTTCTCTGTTCTCCATAATTCGTTTTTAAAAATCAAATATAATTAATTTAAAATTGGAATTACTCTGAATTAACAGAAATTATACTAATACTTTTGATAACATAGTTTTAATTGTAAAGTAATATGAAAATGATTAAATTAGAATGTATAATATATATATAAATTATTTTATAAAAAGAATAATGTAAAATTAATCACTTGATGAAGTCTTAAAATAAAATTAGGAATTAAAAGAATTATTGCTTAAACTAAATTAAGATAAACAAATGTTTGAAAAGAAAGTCTAAAGAAAAACATAAGAATTATAAAAATTAAAATAATCATATGAATTTCTTAGTGACAAAATATTGACATAAAAGCACTTATTAGGAAATGTAGAAGCTGAATAAGATTAATTATTACAATTAATAGTAGAATAATTGATTTCAATGATTGGATAAAAATAAGAAGGAACATCTAATAGTCCATGTACAAATGATATTTGTAAAGTGATGCAAGTTTAATTACAATAAAATCAAGAATAATAAAAATAAGATTTTTTATATTATTCTAAAAAGATTAGATAAAATGAAGAAGTATTATAAGAAATTAAATAAAAATATGAAAATCAAATAAAAGAATTGAATGAATAGAATTAGATTTTAAAGCATAAGTTAGATTTTTTGATAGGCAAAACTGTATATTATCATGAGGCAATATTAGATTTAAATTAATAAGTGAGTGAAGTTCATTATTTAAGGATTTCATTATAAGAGAATTAAAAGAAAGTAGAAGAAGATTTAATGGCTAAAAGTTAATAGAAAATAGCTTAATTGGAAGTTCGAAATAATTTTCTAATTGATTAAGTAAAGAGTATGGAATAAGAATTAGTAATGGTAGAAAAATTAGTAACAAACATTGAATAGTAAACAATGTAAACAAAGAAAAGAGGGAAATGAAATCGTATTTTAAAAATTTTCATCATAATTATTGTATTCATATAATCTTATGCGATCTTATTGAATTATTTTAGAATTTTTATTGAATTATTAATTATAAAAATAACTAACCTAAAATTGATATGGAAGATTAATGGTTTCTAAATGGAAAGAAAGTAATAAAGCAATAAATGTTATCAAAATCATCACATTAAATAATTAATGGTGTATCAATAACATTAGAAGCTTCATTTGGATGTTTGTAAAATCCAATAAGAAAGAATTGTATGTTTGTTAATGATGATACTCTTATGTTTATAAGTGGAAAACATATAGTGCTTTATGATATAATAAGAAAACGATAAACTTATATAATGAAGAGTGCTGAAGATGAAGTAGTCTAAGCATTGAGTTTTCATGTTTCACATGGATAAAAATTGTTTATTGCAATAGCATTTAAATCAACAAGCAAGATTCTTCCAACAGTTAAAGTGTACAATAGAAAAAAGAAACGATTTTATTAATGTGTTCATTCTCATTTATTACCTAATAGTAATATTCATGAAATATTATTTATAAATGATGGAAAGGTATCATATAAAATATTAATTAGCATCTAATATCATTGTCTACATAAGAGGATGGTTATGGAATGAGTTTATTTGCAGTTAGTAAAGAAGTTTCACTTTCTTATACTCTTATCAAATAAAAAATTAATATGTTAGAATCAATTAATGAGTTTGAATTTTTTTTGATTGGACCATAATTTCTTACATCATATAAATATTAAGCTGATATTAGTGGATTAGAAATTTAAAATAATTTAATTACTATCTTAGAATTATAATAAGATGAAGTTATTGTAGGGGTATGTTATAATACTGAAAGGAAATATACAATTGTTGCAACTAGTAAAAACAATCTTATTATGATTAAAGGAGATAAGAAAGTTGCAAAATTTGAATTATAAACTCAATAAAAAGAATCAAATCATTTATTATGTAAAATAGATTATTAATTAAATAATAGAATAAATTAATAAGGATAAAAATAAACCAACAGAACAAGAAAAATTAGTGAATGTTAGAATATCTACTATAGCAAAAACAAATAAAGGATTCATAATTGGTTTAATAGGAAAACCAGCTTTATAGGTTTATGAAATTGAAGAGATTTCAGAATAAGAATAATATGCCTTAAATTTGGTTGGTACTTACTTTATTAAGGATGAACATATATATGGAATTCATTAAATTCATTTGGCTACAGATGAAATGTATGCAGCATTAACAGTAATTTATTTTAATCGTTCTGCATATCAAGTAGCTTTAGGATCATAATAAGTATTAAATAATATTGTAACATGTGAATAAATTTTGGAAAATTATTAAGGAAAATTAGAATTATTTACATTTAATTTAGCTATAGTAGAAGCATTAAAGTCTGTATAAAAAGATCCATTTGAACCATTATTTGAGAAGGGTGTTCATAAAGGTACAATTTTCAATATTGCTACAACTCCTATGAGATCTATAATAGCATCAGTTTGTGATGATAAGAATATCAAATTTTGGGATTATTCAAATGATTTTAAAGAAATGTTCTCTCATTAATTTCATGAAACTCCATTATCAGTGGCTATACATCCATTAAGTTATTAATGTGCAATTGGATTTAAAGATGGGTATTTAAATATATAATATTAATTAATTAGTCTTCGATTCTATTTTATATTAGATGATGATCTTAAATTAGTTCATAATGAAACTACTAAAGTATGTAATGCACTTACATATAGTGAAGGAGGACATATATTAGCTGCTGCTAATGGAAATCAAATTCAATTGTATAATCCATTAACATATAAAATGATTAATGTCTTGCCAAATCATCAAACAAATCTAAAGGATTTATTATTCATAGATAGAGTATTAAAATTCATTAAATAAATATAAGGATAATCTGTTAATTTCTTAATGTCAATTTGGAATTTTATATGTTTGGAATCTACTCTCAGGTGAAAGAATTTTAGAACATGCATAAAAGCAAAATAAATATTAAAGTTTATGTTATGATTTTGAATATGATCTTGTTATTGGTGTTTCAGATCAGAAATTAAAAGTATATCATGAAAAAGGTTAGAATATGGTCTTAGAAGTGGATACATCTCCTACTTAATTTAGTGCCATATGTATTAGTCATAGATATAATGCAATCTTTTTTGGAACTACATAAGGATCTATTAGAGTGTATTCTTATCCATTTTATCATTTCAATCCTAAAATGATGGAATCTATAGAAATTCCTGTACATTAATTAGCAGTGACTGCAATTAAAGTATCTCCTGATAATAGTTATTTAATAAGTTCATCAATAGATGGTAGTATATTTTTTAGTAAAATAAAATAATTCATAAATGGAGAAGAAGTATTTATAAATATTTAATTAATATTAGATAACATAATTGGATTTGATAACAAGAGGTGATATAGAGAATAAGATTACTAATACATTTGCACTTAATAGTTTATGTTTGTGTTCAACAACTGCTTAAGAAATAAGATAAGAATAGTTGAAAGAATTGGAATATAGATTATAAAATTTTAAGAGTGATATTGATGATGCTAAGGAAGTTTAATTGAATAATAATGATTATAAATTAAAGAAAATAAGAGATGAACATGTTAAAGAGATTTAAAAGGTTTAAGATTAATTATCATAAACTATTTAATAATCTGATGCTAAAAATAATAAAATAAAAGAAGATAAAAAGAATTTAATTTCAACTTCTAAGAAAACTATTGAAGAAATGAATGAATAAAATTCAAAGAAATTATTGTAAATTTATGATATAAGAGATAAATTAAATGAAAAATTATAAAATATTATTAAATAATAAGATGAAGAAAGACGTTTAATTAATTAAGAATATTAATAATCAATTTCTTAGGTTGATGATGAATACTGTTAAAAATATTAAGATTTATTTAATAGATTTAGTTAAGCTATGTCTAATATGAAATTAGATCAAAGAAAATTTAAAGAGGTCTTACAATAAAGTGAAAAAGATTATGAAACCTTTTATAAAGAATCTTAATAGTCTTTAAAAGCAAAATTAGAAGAATTTAACACTTAAACAGAAATATTAAGATCTAGTATTTCTAGATTTAAAAAAGAAATTGTTAGATATTAAAATAGAAAAGAAATTTTGCATAATTTAAAAAAAGGTAAAGAATATATCAAATTCATATAGAAACTGATGAATCTTTGTAAAGTTTACGTTAAGAATTGAAAGGTTATGAGGAAAAACATAAGATGATGTTAGCAGATTTAAGAGAGAAAGAGAAACTAATAAATTAAAGGGAATAACAAATAAAAGATTTTAGAATGAAAAATGTTCATTTATAAAATTTCTAAAAAGTTTATGATTATAGAGTTAATACTCTTAAAGATGAAAGAGAACCTTTGATGGATCATCTAAAAAATATGGAAGTAAATTATTCATTTTTATTTATATAGAAACATGTTAAGAATCTTTATAATGAATTGATAGAAGAATCAGGATTAAAGTAATCTAGAATTGAAGAAGAAAGAAAATTAATTACAGATTTAAATATATTTAAAAACTAACTTAAATCTGCCTTAACTGTTTTATCTTTATCTAAAAGAAATATGGATAACTTTAAATCTTCTATTTAAACATTAATTAATAGTGACACTGGTGATTGGCCAGAAAAATTAGAAGAATTGTATCATATGGTCTAAAAAGAAAATAGTAAAGCAATTACTATTAAAAATCCTGTGTTTTAAGAAACTTTAAAAGATATGTAAAAGGATCCTTTATAATAACAAATTGATCAAAGTTAATAGAATGCCATTTATAAAGCATTGTCTAGCCAAAAACAATATTTATAATCAAGTCTTTCAGAAGTTGAGGCTTCTGTAAAATATTAATTGGGTTAAAGAGTAGTTGCTTATGATACTATTTAAGACTAAAACAAACATCTTATAAAATAATGCAAAGAATTGAGAGAAATAAAATAGGAATTGAAATCATAATTAGATAGCATGAATAAGGAATATAGAGAAAAAAAAAGAGAATTAAATAGTTAAGGTATTGAAATTCCAGAAGAAAATGAAGATGATAATTAATTTGCCAGGACTTATGCCACAACTTTTACTTCAATAACTAGAACACCTGGAACAAAGTCATAATAAAATTTTAGAACTAAAATTATTAAAAATATAGGATGAAAATTTATTAATTATTTATTTCATTTGATAATAATAAATACTCTATCATATCTCAATATCATTATAATAAATATTGAAAATATAATTAGATATTTAATATCTATCCATTTATATTTTCAATATCAATAAAATATTATGTCTTTTTGTTGTTTACTTTAATGTATTATATATTATTTCTAGTAAATTATAATTTACAGTTATATTCAGAATTAAAGAATTCAAACAAACAGTATCTTATATTAAAGTTTTTCCTTTCTATTTATAATGAAATATGATTAAATTTGAGAAATTTAAATCCCCTTTAAGTTATCAAATAGTCCTTATATTGCAATTAACTTTATTACTTACAAAATTCAGACTAAAAAACTTTGAGATAACAAAAAAATTATATTGATTATTTATGATTCAGAATGCTTACTAAAGTATTGAATACATAACCAATAAACATTGTAAATTAAATTTAACTAGACTTAAACGAAATTATCACTGATAAATCATTAATTATATAGTTTAAGAATTTAAATATTTCACTATGTATGGATTATGAATAGAAATATTATATATCAAATATCATTTATATTGATGTTTAAGGCTTAATGAATACATAATTTTAGGTTTTAGATCTTGATAAAGTTTAGAAAAATAATTACAATATTTTTTGTTTTTCTACAAAATATTGGAACTTAAGGATCAAAATAATGTATAAATTTAATTTTACTTTAGGAGTATTTCATAATAAAACTAGTCTTAACTTTGAATTTTAATAAATAATAATCAATTATCTAATCAATTAAAGCTAATAGTACACAATTAAAATGACGTATGTCTCTTTTGATGAAGATATTTAATCACAGCAAAAAATCTTATTTTCATATATATATTTATATAAGCAATATAATAAATGGGTTGTGCTGCATCTAAAAAGTTAACTAAGAAAGGAACAGCCTTTGATGATTATATTTCAAAATTAGATTCTGATGATCAAACCAATTTAGGAATGATCGCCTTCAAAAGCCTTGAGAAGAAACACATGGTAATTAACTTAGAGATGTTATCAAGTATGACTTATATATATAAAAATAGAAACATGTTCCCCTGAACATAAGTGCAGATTAGGTGAAATACTTGAAGACATTTGAAATGACTAAATTATACTCAACTGATTAATATTATTCATCTTCACTTCATATATAAATGTTCTAAACTGTATTTTATGATTCAAAAAGATTTTATGACTGATTATTTTTTTTATATTCTTTTCAAGCAATATTATTTGTAAATAACAAGAATCTATTGTATTTTATTTGAAAATTCATTATAATTATAAGAATTCCTTTTTATTAATTAATACAAGATTTTGTTGGAACTTTATTTAATATTGGCATTACACCTAACATAAGATTTTCTAATTTTTATGAGATGTTTTATGAATATAATATAACTAAAAGAAAGCCAGCTTTACTTGAAAAGTTGAAAGCAATATCTTACATTCTTCCTTATCATTAAATATAATAAGTTAAACATTAATTCAAATAATTAGTATTATAATAAGAAAGCTAGAGTTTATAATGGATTTAAGTGATTTAAAATCAATTTAATATGACTATAAATAATATAGATGTTGATCAAATGGAATAATAAGAAAACTTATTCTAATTAGAGATAATAAAAAGACATATTAAATGTATATATATATATATAATTAATTAATTAAGAGTTATACTAGAGAATTAAAATAAAATCACTTAAGAATTATAAAATATAATATAATATAGTAATGAATAATTAATTAGGATATATAGCATCAAATGAATCTTCATTATCATATTTATAATTTTTTAGATTTTATAATTATTTTTTTAAATCTTAATTGAAAACGAATAACTAAACAATAACATCAATGTAGATTATATTTGTATAGATTATATATTTTATTTAATAATCTTTATTTTAGAATAGAATAAAGATTATTAACCTTTATTTTTATAATAAGATAATAAAAATGAAATGATTTTGTTATATTAAATAGAGCAATTACATTTTCTAAACAAAAATAAATGAATTAGGGATTAATATAATTTCATATATTTAACTTGAAGGATTCATAAACATAATTAATATCTGGTTAATTAGTTATCAGATTCTTTTGAGGATTAAATTGAAATAATTATTAAATTTATCAAACATATTTAAGAATATAAGTTGATTTGTTCATTGTAAATTTATATCATTTATAATATATGTTAAGTGAAAATTCAACTTTATGTTTATAGATTTTATATGAGTTTTATAAATTTTAATGAATGATTCAAAAAAATATAGTTAACAAATAGGAATGATTGCATAAATTATAAATAAAAATAAAGTATGGAGGTAGCGAAAAAGCTCAAATTATAATCACAAAGGTTTCATGAGAAGGAAATGAGTTGGAAAGTGTAAGAGTAGGTTGAGGAGATTAAGCTGAAGGATCGTGGTCATCTGAGGTTAAAAGAGTGGATCAAAAGAAATCATTATGAAAAAAACATGAAAGATTTGAGAAAATAATATGAAAAGTATATAGTTAAGTGATTGTAGGTATTTTACAATCACTAGGGTAGATGGAAGAACACTCACATCTGAGTAATTTGTGAATTAATTTGAGATTCCTGATATTCCGTGTATAATTGCAAATACAGTTGATGATTGGAATATTGAGAAATATTGGACTTTCGAGAAGTTATATCAATTATATAAGGAAACTTCGTTTAAGGTTGGTGAAGATGATAAAGGGAAGAAGTTGAGAATGCCTTTCAAAAATTTCCTTGAGTACCTTGTATATAATAAAGATGATTCTCCACTTTATTTATTTGAAAGGTATTTCTTTTGTAAGTAACATATAGTTCATTAGAAGACATGAAAGATGGTGGGGCTGATATAATAAATAGATTTAAGTTACATAAATATTTTTCAGAAGACCTTTTAGCTATGGTAGGAGAAAAGCATCGTCCTCCTTATCGATGGTTCTTAGTAGGGTAATTTAAGTTAATGTTAATAGCATATAGTCCATAGCGATCAGGTACAACAGTACATATAGATCCTTTGATGACAAGTGCATGGAATACATCATTGTAAGGTCATAAACTTTGGGTTCTTTTTCCACCTGATATTCCAAAATGTGTAGTAAAAGCTAAAGGATTAGCAGCTAAAAGAATAATAGATCCTGTAGATTTGGATGAATCAATTGATTATTTTATGCATGCATTACCTAAATTGATTGAGTAAGAAGGAGCAGATAATTTAAAAATTATTATGGGTATATAAGGTCCTGGAGATACTATATTTGTACCTGGTGGATGGTGGCATGCTGTTTTGAATTTAGATAATACAATTGCAATAACTTAAAATTTTATGTCAATTAATAATTTTGATAAAAGCTGGAGGTAATTATAATAATAGATATATAATTAGATCGGTGAGAGATGAGAGACCCAAGTTTAGTAAGCGTTTATTGCAGGTTTTCTAGGATTAGAGGTCTGATTTGTATGAAAGAGCACTTAAATTAGATGAAATCGATAAGAACCAATTTAGAGTGCTGAGACAAGCCAATCCATTGAGTTCCGATGAATCCACTGGTAGTTCATCATCTAGTAGTTCAAGTAGCTCATCTAGTAGTTCCAGTTCCGATGAAGATAATTGATTAAGTGTATATTCAATATAATAATTTTAAATCAATGATTCATTTATGCTTCTTAATTTTCAATAGAACGATTAATTTATCCATCTTGATTTTCAATTGAACTTAAATTTTGATATGATTCATCTTATTAAACTCTCATTTTCTTTGGTACCCAATATTTAAAATAGAATACTGTCATTGAACAAATTAGAAATATGAATGCTATAACATAAAATATAATTGCCAAAGTCCATCTTAATTTTAAACCTGATTTAAGTTCTCCAAAAGTTTCATCAACTTAATCACTTGTCCAATTAGCTCCTCTCATTAAAGACATAACTGGCAAAATAGCATAATTATCACAAGGAAATAATACATCTTTCTTGTATTCTACACTTACCATTAGATTAAGTAAAGCTGATAAAGCAACTCCAGTAAATGGTTCATAAATTACATAAGAATCATCCCAAACACTTGCCCATTATCTATCAGTCAAATTATCATGTTTATAGACTTCAATCATTTCTTATAATTTTATATCACCATTATAAAAATGAGTTGGACTATTCATAATTGGTGCATTTTAAATAGTTGTCATGTTTTCTAGTCCATCCCATTTATAATTATGATAATCTGGATTTTTATCAAATGTATTTTTATTATTTCTAAATCTATAAGCTTTTAAACCATGGAAATCAATTGTTTCATTGTAATCTAAATATATATTCTTAACAATATCAGTAATAATAGTTCCAATATGACCCTTTGCTGGTAATTAAGGTTCATATGAGAATGCATCTGTACCTAAATCACAAGCTACTTCAATATTCCATGGATTAAATTATTTAAAAGTTGTTTAGTTTCCATCAAAATAAGGAACTTTTACATTTAAATAATTTACTCCATCAATTAAAGCATATTTCCTAACTTTTGAAATATCCTTCTTACCAGTATAAACACTTTATAATTAACTTAATTCACTTGGTATATTTAAATTTAATCCAGTAATTGGAGTAGATGGATCTCCACCCATTGCAGGATTCATTTCTTTTATTGCAACTGTAAGTTATGGCCAATATCCAAATAATATTTCATTAACTGTTCTTGTATCAGCAAATCCTTCCAATCCTAATTCAATCATAACATATCTTAAATAATGTAATATATTGTAATCATCAAAAGGTAGAATTTTCTAAAAAGATGTCTTATCATCATTTACAAAATGAATGAAAGCATTACTAATCATTTAACCATTATATAAACATTCAAAAGATAATAAATATCTTGCTAAATCATAATCTAATTATTTATCTGTAAAAATATCTTTAAATTAAACTTAAAACCATGTATATTCAAATTTCTTAAATATTGGATAAATATCACCCATAGTTTTACTTGCTTTATATATTTCATCTATTGGATTATCTGAAATCATTGAAAAAGCCCATTATTTAACACCAATCTCAAACTTTGTACATCTTTCCAATTTACAATCGTATTTTGTTTTCATTTTATTATTTGCCAATTTTAATTCTTAACCAAATCCTTCTTCTTCATCATCACATAATTATATTAATTATATATTTGTTATTCCTGTTAAATTTTATAATTATCCCCAATAAGTACTTTCTTAATGTTCACATACATATAATAATTTATTTATTGATTTTTCATTCCAATTCTTATATTCATCTAAACTACAAAATTTCTCTTTCTAAATATCATTAATTTTATCTAATTTTTCTAATACTTATTCACATTTTGTAATCTTTTTTATTAACAAATCTGAAAGCACATAATTTAATAAATTATCATTCAAATTTGCCATCTCCCCATAAAGAGCCTAAGATACTATTGTTCCAAGTCCTGCTATACCTTTAGTACCATTTATTGATTTTTAAACACCAAACTCTTCTTCCATATATTTTACATATTCATAAAACACCCTAGAATGATATATAGATTCAAGTTTGAATCTATTTTGTATTTTCATTAAATAATCATCCTTTTTATGTTTATCATATTTATTTCCTTATTCATATAAGTATCTTAAATTTCCAATATGTAATAATAAATGAGAATCTGTATAGTATTTAGGATCATCAATAGAGTAATTCTCATAATTTCTAAGTAATTCTAAAGCCCATTCAGTAGTAAATTTTAGATTTTTATAATCTTCATTTGTAGGTTCTATAACTTTTAAGAAATATTCTATATTAGTATACAAATATACCTTTATAGAAATAACTGAGTTCAGGATAACCATGACTGGTAGTATTTCCAGTAATAACACTAGGTACTGGAATAGTACCAGCATCAGGATCATTTGTGATACTTTATGTTGCCCATTATTTAGCACATAAATAAGCATCAAAACATTCTTAAGTTGGAGATTTAGTACAAAACAGCTATTTGATACTTCCCTCTGCTCCTTAAATCAATGGTGCTAATTATTTCTTAATTACATTCATCTGTGATTAAGATATTTAAAAGTAATTCCTTAAAAATGAATCATCTGTATGTTTCTTTACAACTTATACCCAATTTACAAATGCAGTGTTATTGCCCATTCCAAACTCTTAATCAAACCATATTAAATTTTATTTCTCAACAGATAAACCATTTAACACTGTCTTCTTTGCTGTATCTTCATTCAAAAAACTAGATATAACTGCCTAAGCAATCATAGTTGGGTAAAAGAATTTTTTCAATTCAAAATAAAATGAACTAAACACTTATAATGCCATCACAGCTGGTTCTGTATTCTAAAGTTAATGCCATGCACCTAAAGCAACAAAATTAGCAAATGTTATTTTATCATTTTATTTTTCACCTACAGTCTGAATCCAAGCACGGAATGTTACAATATTCCCATCATCATTGAATTTATAATCTGTAAAATTTTATTTCTCCTAATATGTATATGGACCTTTCTCAACGAAAATTGGTTTTTTCCCTCTAAACATTACGTCATATGGATTTGTAAATTAGAAGAAAGTGAAATCCCTCTTTAAATAAGTTTTAGTATCTCCTGGAACTTGTCCCTAAGAAGATGATATATTTTATTGTATATACCCATAGTGCGTAATTGCTTGATGACATAATTGCTTCATCTTGAGCTTAACTCTTAATTATACTAAGTAAAACAAAAGGTGTAATAATGGCCAATACTAGGAAGGAGACTGTGCAACATGTGAAAGTAGATAATATTATTTTCCATTTCTTATCCATTTATATAAAATAATATTTCAATCATTCTATTGTGATATTTGATTAGCATATTTTTTTTGGAGTATATTTTAATCGGTTCATTAAATCTGAAATAGATTTTTGAATTCATTGAATTCCTCCTTTGATTGCTTTAATCTTATTGTCTAAGATTTCTTAATCTTATTGTTGTTGTTAAAAGCATAATTATTATTTTTTTGACAAGCAATTTTCTCTTCTTTTTGATTAAATAACATTAAATGAGTAGTATTATATATTAAATATAGTAAATATTCTAGTACTTTTTCCAGCTATTTAATCCTTACGGTTCTTTGATTAACAACTAAAATAGAATAATATTATTACTATATAGATTCATAAATTCAATTAACTTAATAAAATTTAGTTATATTCATAGTAAAACAAAACAATTAGAATTGTCTTAGTTTAATTATTTTATTAATGATTTGTCATGTCCAAAGTGATAGTAACTCTTACTGAAATTTATCAATAAATTCTAATTTTATGAGTAGAGACATTTAATTCATTAACAATATTTATATCTTTTTTCTAACATAATATTTTGAGTTTCTTATTACAATTGATTAACAATAATATTTTTATTCATTCGCTAATTTAACAATTACATCATATAAATTCAGTAAGATCTACATCATAATACTCTATTTAAATTGTTAATGATTCTTCTTCTTTTTTTTTATTAATAGATATATTGAATAAGACACAATAAAATTTTGATATCTAATTTGAGAATCTCATTTGAAGTATTAGGTAAATTATTGTTATTATGATATAAAATAATATGATTTATGTTATTTCATAAGTAGCAAATGGTAATTATTTTTTATTGTATTTGGTTGATAATTAATTATCAAACAAAAGACTTTTAGATTGATTAAAATTCTCAAACTGAAATTTGTTTTTCTTGTGATAATCGAATTATTCTTTAAAATATATATTTATTGAGTGTCTTGATGTGGTTCATATTTTAGTTTTTAGTACCTTGCATTAAAATATTAATTAATATTATTATAAGGATACATAATATTATCGTTACTACAACAACTGATAAATTTTTATCATTTATAATTTTCCCATTCTTTAAGATTGTCTTCTAAATTTTTTAATGGCACTTCTAAACCTGTTTATAAGACTTATGCTGTTAAATCATATGCAGGTTTTACAATGAACTTATTAATATTTTTAATAAAAATTACTTTGATAAATGAAATTTCTTATTTAGCTAATAATTGATTGAAATTTGGAGTTCCTAATGGTAAGAAATGTTGAGTAATAGGTAATGATAATTGTTTCTCTTCAGCAACCTAATCTGAAAATTCAGTTGCTATACGATTTGACCATTTCTATGCCATTTTGAATGTTTTAGATTACATTGTCAAATCACAAGTATGTATAATAGCACTGGATAAAAACTTTTTATCTTCTTCTTTTTATATAAATGGTTCATCTGGTAGTTTAGATAATTTTAGTTCTAATTGTTTAACAATTTCAAAATGTTTTTTCATATCTGTACCCAAAATATTAGCAATAGCATATTTTCTAAATATTTGAAATTGATCCTAACTAAGAGAACTCAAAATATTATATTTTTCTTTTTAAAGTATCTTAAACATAACAGAAGCATGATGATTTTCTAATACAGATTCATCATTATATCTTAATGCTAATTTAGATAATTTTTAACTCTCAAAATGATTATTACGTCCTGTATGATCAATATCATGACATAATGCTGATAATAAAGCAGTAAATTAAATGAATTTATCAAAATATTGATTCATACTTTTACTCTTTATTATATAATAACATGCATGAGCAACAGTAAATCCATGATCAAAATTATGAAATGGATTTTATCGATAACTATATTTTTCTTGTACAATAACAGTGAATTAATAGAATACTTCTTTATTGATTTGATAAAGATCAATAAAATTACACAAATGAAATAATGCCCATGTATATCGTAATTATTCATGTTTATCCTAAACAACAGTAATGTCAAATGAATAATCACTAAGATTTGAAATATCATTGGCATCTAAAGTATATAAATCAAATTCTAATTTAAATATTGTAAATACTTTTAATATTTGTTATTTCTGTTTCAATTATTTATTATTAACTTCTTTAGACTGGATCTCTCATAACTTTAGAAGATTCAGCTTTATAATATTCCATTACATAAGATGATCTTATATCATCTGTAATTGATTATTAATTATAAACTTCTTTGAGTACATCTTTCTCCTTAAGTAAATCAATGATCTCCTCATCAGTTAAATTAACCTTAAGATATTCTCTCATCACTATACAAGCTTTAGATAACTTCTCCATTTTGATATTAATTAAAGCTGCTTTACTTAATTCTTATAATTTGCTTTCACTAGACATTTAAGCAGATATACGATGATCATCCTCAAATTTCCTTATATAGAATATTAATTAAATACTTTTTTGGTGCATTAAATACTATGTAATAATCAGTAATATCATCTTCTTCATTTCTTTTAGCAAATAAATCAACATCTACTGCTTTATCACCAAAACATATTTAACAAACACTTACTGCTCCTTTGGCTGAAGATTTCAATTCCTACATTTTTTGTATAAGACTCTGTTTATTAACTTATTCCAATTACAAATCTTCTAATGATCCTCCTTTGATCAACATAAAATACCAAGAATCTGGTATACAACAACTTTAATATCTTATATTTCCTTCTCCATCTAATTAAATGTATAATTTATTTGGGGAATTCACTTCAAGCATTTATTTCAAAAACTCTTCATTCTTTAAATCCTTCAATTAGTATGTTAGTCTCTACCATAATTATTGAATCTAGAATTCCTTTTAGATAATCTTACATAATCACTGAACGTAATCATATCTATATTTGGAGATTCAATCTTAATGTAATATTTGATTTTTTTATCCAATTTTACTGGTAACACAACATGTCCATGTTAATCTATAATTAAATCATTCATATATTATATTTAATCTGGCATTTCTATCCAACTTTATAATAATAATTTAAACACTCATACCATTAACTTGATAATACTTCAGTAACTTATTATCTTATTATTTCTTAACAAATCCTCGTTGAATTCTTAATGAACCTTGACTTTATTCCTCTTATTATGCTCACTAAATTTTCTTTGCTAGATATGTTATAGATATAAATCTCACTCATATATTTCTTTTTGAAAATCATAAGCAAGTGAAATAAATTGATCCAATATCAATCTATAATCTGGAAATGCTTTAAATGGTACATCCTTCACATCGTAAATCAAGTATGAATACTTGTTTTTGTATACATATAATTCATTTGTTCCAAAAATGTTATCAAGTTCACTCCCTTATACATTTGTACTTTCTTTGAATTTTAATAATTTCTAATAAGCATTCTCAATATCTTTTATGTGAGTTGACATTCCATTAACTTTTTTGTTAATCTCATAAATAACTGTAAATGCAGGACTTCCTAAAATTAAATCTGCAATTTGTTATAAGAATTCTAAACAGTTCTCAGACATAAGTTGCATATTCATAGTGTAAAATAGTATTGAGTCTAGTTTCTTAAATAAATTCTAAGAAATTTTACAAATTTTGTACCATAAAATCTTCAATTTTCTTATCTATTTGATAACACAACTATTATTGCAAATTTAGATTTGACTTTGTTCGAGTTAACATCATCTTCCTTTCATAAGAATTACAATATACCTCACTCTACTTTAATCACTGTATACAATATTGAGAAATTAAAACTCTTCTAACATCTTTTGAAGATGATGTAATTTACTCAATTGTCTCAAAGATAAACTTATTGTCTATTTATCTTATATTATTTAAGTAAGCAAATCATCTGTGAGACTGAAAGAGTCCACAAATCTCGTAGTTAAATTCATTTAATTAAATTATTTATGGGAAAACCTAGATATTTTTTAAATTAATAAGGAAACTTAAAAAATATAAAAATTATATGCAATCATCTGAAAACCTCCTTGTTGATGATTTTCATCAAAACTTTCTCATCTTTTATAATAAAACCAAAGACATTACCAATGTTAGATTTAATTATATGAGAGAATTATATAACCTTGGAGTGGATACATTTCCTGAAAATTAAGAAGTCTACACCATTCAACAAAATAACAAGTTGAATTTGCAATCTTAATAAAATAAGCTTAAAAAGAACTGGACAGATGATGACAAAAAAGTACTCATATGGTTGGTGGGTAAATGGACTGCCTTCAATAAAAGAGACATTAAATCTATTGTATATCAATTCAACTCTATTTTATAGAGCGATGCTGATTGGAATTCAATTGCCAACATGATGCCAAGAAGAGATGCCTTTAAATGTAAATAGAAGTGGCTTCAAATGCTTAAACTTCCCTTATAATAAGCTCCTTGGACCTTACCTGAAGATGACCTTTTAAGGTCCATAATATATGATTACTAAAATTAGAACAAAGGAAATAAATGGAGTCAGATTGCCACTACTTTAAATAAAATTAGTTAATCGAATGTACATAGAAATGGTAAATAGTGTAGAGAAAGATGGAACAATCATCTTAATCCCTTTATCAATAGGTAATAATCTCATTAAAAATATCTTATAAGACATCCTTGGTAATTGAATGAAGATTTAGATTTGTTATAATTATCGATCTAAAATGGAAAAAAGTGGGCCTTGATTTCAAAAAAACTAAAAATACCAAGAAGTGAGAATAGTGTCAAAAATAGATTCAATTGTCTCTTAAGAAAAGAAAGAAGTCACAAAACAGGGTAGGCTATATTTAATATAGAAGGAAAAAAGTTAAAGAAGATAGTGAATCAGAAGAATCTAAAATTTCTAATTTTCCATCCGCAGAAGAGTTGAATCACGATGAAATCAAACTCATACATACTATCATAAAAAAAATAGAGTGGAGAATCCAATAAAGTTAAAACCTCCGAGAAAATGAATAGAAAGACATTATTAAAGAAGAACATTTAGATATTGTTAAAAAAGTTAAAGTCGAATCTAATTTACCTTTAAAAAGAGAATAAAGATCATCACAACCTATTCCTAAAAATTAAGATAAAATCAACTTATAAATTAAGGAATGTTAACTTACAGAATCTGAAATAAGTACACTTTAACCATGTTTAATAAATAAAGAAAAAAATTAAATATTTTTTGTTACACCTGAACAATTACATCTTTATCTAAATAAATCAGAAATTAGTTAATAAAGTACTTTTTAAGAAAACAATCTATCAAATCAAAATAGTATGGGTTCCTATTATTATGATCCCAAACTATTTCGATCATATGTTATGATGTAATCAAATGAATATCCTCAAATATAAAGTGGAATATATCAGTAAAGATCTATTCTTAATCCTAATGTATTGGGAAATTTCCAGAGTCTTAATAACTATCCCTATTCTATGGCCATGTCCACTTATCCATCTCAAGCAAATTTGATGAGCCAATTATAAAGATGATCAAATATATTATATATATAACAAAATTCATTAATAATTTACTCTATTAATATTCATTTTATTTATATATTATATAGTTCACTTTGTCCTAACAGTTAATAAGCAGGTTACAAAGGATTCGTTTGTCTCTTAGTTTACATACCTCTTTGGATAGTATTAGCTTATGCTCTATATATATCTTATGTATTATTTGTAATCTTCTAAGATTCTTTTGGTATTTATTTAACTGTGTCTGATTAAGCTCCTTTTATATCCTGAGTATATAATGAGAGACTTTTTAATTTATTCCTGTCTTTACTATGATGATAAGGTTATGATCCCTCAATTGGACCAATAATTTATTCTCCCCACTTATAAAAAGGTTACATGGGATTTATTTGTCTAGTAGACATTTTTTTTACTTCTTATTCTTCCAAAGGTTAAGTTACATGTCTTAATAATTTAGGCTTTGTACCCTCTATAAAAGTGTAGGGATCTATATTTCTGGGATTATAAATCTTAATTTTAGGGACAGTTCCTTGAATATCTGAAATATTTAATGTGTCTCTAATAAATTTATTTGGTTATTGTATATCAGCTCCTTGATATGATGGAATTTTATAAATTGGTTCTATTGGATTTGTTTCTCTATTTGTTTTAAACTTAGCAATTTAAGGTCTAGTTCCCTAAATTTAAATTAAGTATTTTACATCAATATCATTAATATAAAGACTTTCTCTTACAATTTCAAATTTTTTATTTTTGATAGGAATATCGTCAACTTTATTGATGAAGGTTTCTTTGTTATAATATGTTTATTTTGGTAAGTTAGTTGTATATTTGTAGTCTTAAGTGACAGATCGTAATTTATTTTAGTTCCCTTGATAATTAAGTTTAGAACATACTGATGGTTGATAAGTACATTAGGTCATTTCTTGAAGGATCAGGCCAATCAAAATGATTTTCTTCTTTCATTTAATATATGTTAATTTTACTATTAGATTATGAGATGTAAAATAAAAAATTAGAGTACTTGATTTAAACAAGAAAGAGATTTGAATTAATTTATTTTTTTTATATTTTTGGTTGTTTTATTAGATTGTCAATTATTGACTTCTAATTATTTATCTACAATAATTTGATTCTAAATACCAACTTATTAACATTGACTTAATTGCTATTGAACTCCAGAACTGTTATCTGTTATCTAAATTAATAGTGAAATATATATTTACCATTCCCAACTTCAACAGTCTATTATTACTATTTTTATCTAAACATGGGCTTTCAATTATTTATTTTGGATATATTGAATCTTATTGAAAATCAAAGAAATTTTAATAAGATCCAGGAGACAAAAAACCAGAACTTTAAAATGGTTAAGTTGATGTCTTAACGTTCACATTATTAGAAGTCTTTTTCAAATATTCTTGTTTTTGTTGCAAATGAAATTATTTCAACAATTACAATTCTTTTTCTTATCTCTATTCTAGATCATTCAAAGATTCATCATTTCTATAACGCTATATATATAAATATATATAAGTAACTTACAATATAATCTTTGTAACATTTATTAAATATTTGTTCAGTTTCATCTTCAGTTTAAATTATTAAATTTTTCTTTCTTAATCCTAAAAGTTATGATTGTTTTTGAATACTAATTTCTGAATTAGTTTCAAATTTACTACTACCAGTAGTTAACATAATTTTATTTGATAAATTACATTTCAATATGGATGAATCTATATTTATAATATAATTTTATTTAAATTACTTTTACTATCATCCTTTAATTACATTAGAAATTGGTCATTAATTGGAACAGGGAAATTGTCATTATCGGTAACTTGAACATTAAAGTGAGTGGATAACAATTAAGTTGCAGAAGGTCGTTCTTCTGGAGGTTTTAGGCATCTGGTTTGCAAAAAAAATCAATTTACTCTAAGATTATTGCTTTTATTTTATCATTCAGAATAGCATCAATTGACTGAGGTTTCTACTATTCAATTACTTTCTTGATCACTTAGCCTGTTCCACCTTTGCACTCACAAAATGGTTTCACTCCTGTAACCATCTCTAATAGACACATTCCAAAAGCATAGATATCCACTTTTGTATCATAATGCTCTTAATATATTTCAGGTGCCATAAATTCTGGAGTGCCCAAAACAGAAGTTGTGAAAGATTATTACAATCTAAATTTATTATTTATATATTACTAAATTGAGAGACCTAAATCACCTATCTTTAATTCATTATTATTTGTGTCTATAAGAAGGTTTTCACATTTCAAATCTCTATGTATGATATTTTATTTGTGTAAATATTCCAAACCAAGGAGTATCTATCTACACCAATTTTTTATCACCTTTAACTTTGGCCTAGTAATCCTACGTAAATAACTAAACATAGAAAATTTGTTACTTTTTCAACGAGCCTCCATTAATGATTTCAGTTATGAAAACAATTTCTTTTTTTGATTTATTATGCCATGAATGTATAAAGTTAATAATATTGTTATGTTTAAGACTACTTAGAATTGATATCTCCTATCTAACTCTTCTTCTTTCATCTAATTATTATCTAATTAAAATTGTTACTTTCTGGAACACTATTCAATTAAAATACATTCCAAGCTACTTCACAACCACTCTGATTATCATATCCTCTGAATACACTTTTATATGCTCCTTTACCAATTTCTTCATTATACTAAAATTAAATTTGATCTTTTTACCTTACAAAATCTGCCTGTTGAATCTTACTCAATTATTTGTGATATTTAATCATCTTCATCACTAAAAAAATAGTCTTAATCGTCTTGGCTCATGAACATAATTTGATTATTTTCCATAAACCAAAACTTATAATTAATTTAATCTTTGAAAACTCATAAAATGCCATAAACTCAACAAATATTATAGATGGTCTTGGTATTTTTAAGGGATCAAAAATTATATAAAAGTCTTTTACATTTAGAACTAGAAACATAAGTAAAATGATTATGTTAACTCTTTTAATAGATTTCAATAGACACTTATACAAGAGAATTATTATTTTTAAGATAACAAATTTTAGATGGTAATTTTATAGGGGCAGAACAATATCTCTAACCTTTGAAAACTAGATTGAATGATTAATTTTCATATGTGTTATTGGAATTGAAGAAACAATAATATTTTGAATTAATAAATGCAAAACCAGATGTAGAAATACTAATAACTTTATTGCGATAAATTGAATAATTGGCATCATCTGAAGTATATAAAAACCTTTGTTATTTTTTGACATTGTCTTGTATTCGTGATCATCCAGATTTTAATGATTGGAGTGTTGAAAAGGTATGATGGGTTTTTTATTATTTTAGGGAAGACTAGATTGCTTTGAAGGAATTGCATCAGTACTTAAGAATTTAGGTAAAACTTTTAGAATTGAAAAATATAATGGTATTACACTTCAACAATTATATGAGAAAGTAGAAGAAGATGAAGAAAACAATAAACATTCAAAATGTAATTCTAAATACTTATATAATAATAGTTTATTCCAAAAAGAAATCCTAATTCTAAATGTAATAATCTAGTTCTTCCTAATTACCTATTGATTTTGATAAAAATATCATAATTGAAAAATTACATATCTCTGATATTAATGAAAATGATCAATCATTAATAAGAAAGGAAAGTATATTAAATACTACTCCACCTCATAGCAATAGTAGTATATAATCATAACTTTTTAATTATAAATTTGATGAAATGGATTAAGTAGCTACATTATCAGATACACATCCAATTAGAGCAGCAGCATTTTCATCAGATGGTGAAATGTTTGCTATTGGAACTAATTCGAAGAGTCTTAGAATCTTTTCAATGAAATCAGTTTTACAAGAAAGTCAAGTTGAAATGTAAATGGAAAAGTAAAATCATCATTAAGGATCTATTTATTGTATAGATTGGAGTCGATCAGGAAGATTAATAGGAACTGGAAGCAATGATAAAACTGTTAAATTATATAATGTAGAAGATGAAACAGATGTAGTTTTGATTGGTCATAGGGGTTTAGTAAGATCAGTATGTTTTAGTGATGAAAATAGATTAATGTCAGCTGGATAGGATGCTGTTATTAAGATTTGGGATGTGGAAACATAAAAATGTATAAGAAATCTTGAAGGTCATACATAAACAATATATTGGTATTCAAATTAGACATAAACTTAATAGTTTATAGACTGCAGGTGATGGATCATATTAAGTATCATGTGGTATGGATAGAACTTTAAGAATATGGGATTAAAGAACTAGTAGAGCCCAAGGAGTTATGACTATGTAAACAGAAATTAATTATGTTTCTCTATCAGAATCAACTACCAATTACAATCTATAAAATCTAGTCAAGGGTTCTAAAAAAGCTCCATAATTCTCATCTTAAGGATTAGCAGTTCTTGCACATTCTGATGGTGTAGTTTCTGTTTGGAATATATAACATTAGAAATGTATAAAAACATTGAAACATCATACTATGGATTGTAGATGTGTTGAGTTTGATCCAACTGGTAGATATATATGTAGTGTATCCTTTGATTCAACTATTGCCCTTTATGATTGGGAACAATAGAAATTGATTACTTAAATTACTGATCACGAAGATAGAGTAGTATTATGTAAATGGCATCCATTCTATCCTTTTATACTGAGCACATCAGCAGATTGTACTGGTAGAATATTTGCACCTCATGGTTTTCTAGTATAATTAATGAAATCTTTATGAAATAATTAAAATATATCATTATTAACTTTTAATTAGGGTTTATAAATGTTGAAATTCATTTCAAATAAATATATAAAAGATTTAGATTCTAAATTAATAAATATTTTTTGTAATCAATATGATCATTCATATCAAAAATAGTCATCATTCAATTCAAAACTCATACTTAAATCTATCTTCAAAATTCTATAATCAATATAATGAAAGTTCAAGTATAAAAAAGATCTGAATATATATTTGATTTATGTAACAATAATTGAAGTAAATTTTTAAGAATTCAATCTTATAATGTGATTATTAATAGTTCAAAATCATGAATAAAAATTATTATTTTTATAGAGATATATATAATTTTATTATTAGTACAATATAATTTCGATATTTCAAACAAACAAAGTGTTAAATAGTAAAATTTAATTCTCAATTCATTATTTCAAATATTTAAGTAAAATTCTAAATTTATCTATTAAGAATTATAATCTAATTAATTTATAAATATGTTTAGAAAGATCCTAATAAGTTTTATTTTAAATACTAGTAGGATTTAGGAAGACTATATTAGTATTTCATGATTCTTATAATAGATTTTTGTATAAAACAGCTAATTTTTAATACTTAAATTGATTATATTATATATGAAAGTTGAAATAATTTGTTGAAAAAATCTAAATTTGAGGTTTGCTTCAAATAAATGGAATAATTGTGATGATGTATTAAGATCTCTTAAGATTAGTCTTATTATCCACTTTTCTACAAATTTTTCTTATAGTTTTCCTTACTTTCTAAATCATTTATTGTGAATTATTGTTATAATTACAATAAAATGATTTCATTAATTTAGGCTTCATTTTAATAAAATTTAGCAATTTAATATATGAATTAGTATAAATAGTAATTTTCTTAATTAGGTTATTTTGATTGCTATGAATGATATCAAATTAGTAACTTATGGTTTATGGATAATAATAAATGATATTAAAAATATATTTGAAATTTATGCAAATATTGAATAAAATTTGAAACAATTAAATTTATAATGAGTTTAGAGATTCTCGATTATCTCAAGCAAGAGAATTAATAATTGTAAGAGCAGGTTCGTGAGCTCTAAGGATTACTTTAATTGAATAAGTAAGCTTTGAAGGTATTGATGCCTCAAACAAGTGATGAATAGCATAAAGGACTATTAACAGTATTAAAGAATTTGTAGGAGGAAAATGAAACATTATAATTGAAAATAGAGAAATTAGTTAAAGAGCGTAATGAAGCTTAATGTGATTAATTAATAAATTAATAAATAACAGAGGAGGTTTAGAGATAAGAGAAGGAATTAATAGCATCTTTACAATAAAAAATGTCAGGTTTATAAGAAAATTTAATGTTTGCTGAAAGTAAATTGGCAAAGATGGAGGAGTTAAAACCAGAATATGATGAAGTAGCTGGAGTGGTAATAAAATTTAGAGAAGTATGTGATCCTGATTTAATTGGGTTAAAAATGCATAATGAAATTCAAATGTTAAATGAATAATTATTAAATGAACAAAAATAAAAATAGAAATTAATCAAAGAGAAATAGAGTATATAAGGATTAAATTTAGTAATTTTGATAATGTTATTTTATTAGAGATTAATGAATGAATTATTGTAATAAAAAAGTTTGGCTCATGCTGGAAATAAAATGATTTTCATGAATTAAGATCCAGAACAATTAGTTGATTTTTAGGCAAGAGCCCTTAAATTAATGAATAATTCTTCTTCTAATGATTCACCCTCTTCAAAATCATCAGAGGCACCTATAGATGGAAATTATTCACCTAAGATATAATAATTTTAAATGAATTCAACAAAGGGAACAGTTATTCCTAAACTTGACTTAACAAGAGCTAAATAAATATAAGAGATAAATGCTAAAAGATAAATACAATAGACTTAAAAGCCATTGAATGATATCTAGAGTATGGAAAGGATATAAAAACTGGAAAAAGCTTTGGATGAATTGAGAAGGAATCATTAAAGAGAGATGATATTAAATAAAACATTATAAGCTCATAATGATGAATTGTAAAGATATTGTAATGAAATGGAAGTAATTTAATATAATAAATTAAGCATAGAATAAGAATACTTACTAATTCTAATATTCGTTATTAAGAAAAAGCAAAAAAGATGAATGCAAATTATAAATTTTTGCATCAATTTTATTTAAATCATAAAGATTTATTACCAACAACATCTTTAAGTAGTAGTCATTAAAGATAAACATCTGCAAATTAAATTGAAGATGAATAATCTTAATCTAAATAATTTGATATTGATGAAATGGAAAGTCCAATTTAAAAATAGAATAATGAACCTTTAATATAATAATAATAATTAGCTTCAACTGTTTATTATTTTATACCAAATAATAAAGATGAATCTATTAAATATTTATTGTAAACAGCATAATAGATATATTCAACAATTTATGAAAGAGTAGATCGTGTGATACAAGAAGAACCATAATGTAAACACAGATTCAGATCATTTAGCGAGATCATAATAAATTGATCATTACTGAGTAAAATTATTTATTATTATGTATTTATTTCATTATCTTTTAATTCCACTTCCATGTAAAGCACTTATACATTCTGCAACAGTATCTAAATTGCTATGATATTCAGAAATTAAAATATTATGACTATTTGTTGCTAAACCTTTTTCTTAAATGGATTATTTCAAACTTTCTCTTGCTGAATCAAGATTAGCTTGAGCTTCATTAGCTAATTATCTTCTTGAATCAATTTCACCTTTAAATAGATTATATTCTTACTATCCTTTCCTTATATATCTTATTGTAATTATGGAATAACTTCTTTGACTAATTAATCAATTTTTGCATTCAATAATTCAAACATATCTTAAGCTTATTATTAAGCTGCTGTAAAACCTGCTTATAATGTTTGAATATTTTGATTAAATTAATCTCTAATATTTTATAATAAATTGATGACTCTAAATATGTTATATATATATATATACTTTTATAAATTTTATGCACTCTTGTAATCTTCAGTATTTAATTAAAGTAATAAGGAATGTAATTCTGGTGTTCCTGAGACTAAAGAAGATAATTATTAAGCATCTTCTTCAACAAATGATGAGTCTATTGTTAATATATGATTTACATTTTGCTTTATCTAATACTTTTAAGGCTTCATCAATCACTACAATAGCAGCACTCAATTAACTGGTTCTTGTTTTGAAATCAGCTGAATCTTCTCTTTATTAATTCTCTATGTTAGCCTTTTGTTATTTAGTGGTTCCTAATTCAGTTCTTGTTCTTTCAAGGTCTTCCTCTAAAGAAATTCTTGACTTTAAGATTTCTCTAATTTATATATTGTATTCAGCTAATTCGCTTTCGTATTAAGCAATCAGAGCTTTATAATTTGTTTCTTCTGTTTCTACTTATTAAACGAATGCCCCATAAGATGAATTTTCATCAGCTATTGTTTGCTGAAATTAATTGATATATTACTTCAATAAGTGAAGCCCAAGCTTCCAATGCATCAAATAAGGGATTGAAATTAGGTGAACCCAATTCAACCATTGCAAGAACTGCTCTACCCATACTTGTAGCTTTTAAATTGTTGGTCAAAGCATCTTACAAAATTGTTGCTTATTCATTCACTTGTACTCCAAATGCCAATCCTAAGAGAACAATCAAGACAAATGTTTTCATTATTATTAATAATATAATCCGTTTTTATATGCATAAAATATATTATTTTAGTTATCATTTCTTTCTATAAACTGTAATCTCCTATTATTTAAAATATCTTCTGTCATCCTCATCAACTAATATTAAATTTAAAATATATTTAACACTAAATTTACCACTCACATTCTTAAATGTGGGTGATATATCAATACCACTCAAAAAAAGTCTAATTGGTACAACTTCTCCTTTCTAAGGACATCCATCCATCAATTCATATTTCACAAGTATATCATTTTCAGTTTACTAATTTGTACCTGATCCAATTTACTCTTTACGAATCACAGCTAATTCCATATACTTTATTTTTATTTTAACTAAATAAAAGTTCACCTTCCCTGTCACAACATCCCTTAAATGGTATCTTGATTTAAAGTATTCAAAATCTAGGTGTAAACAATCTTCAATTCCCACTTCAAGCTTTAAAGAAGATTAAGGTTAATCTTCTTGTTCTTATTCCATTATTTAAACTGCAAATTCCACTTCCTTTTTCACTTATCCATAATTTCTATTCATTATAACACGTAAATAATATCTAGATTTAATTTACACACTATCTTACCTCAATTTTACCTCCTTGCCATAATAACTTTCATATTACTTCTCAAATTTATTAAATTAGAATTTGTAGGATTTATCCTCCATCAAAATACCTTATGCCTCTAATTCTCTTCCCATCGACATAAAATCGGATGATTATTTTTAATCATTAAGTATTTCTAGATTAAAACAATAAATTACCAATTCTACCAATTAATTCAATCCGGATTCCTAAGTGATCAATCTTTTTATTTTTATTCATTCTCAAATCCACAACACCTGAAATGTCATCATCACCCTCGATTGTTAAATTTATGTATTACTGAATATACTGGTAATCTTATCAAGCCTTATTATTTGTCATTAAATCTTACAGTTTTCTTTGTTTCTAATCCATCTATGTAAATATCTATTGTAGGAGCACCTTAAACCAAATTTAATAATGCTGCCTCTCTATAAAAGTCTACTCATACCATGAATCCTAGATTTGATTAAAATATATTTAATATTATTATTAATTAATAGTATATACAGTATTCATTTATAAGATAAAACCTTCAAAATTTCTAAATGTCTAAATTTCAAAGTCAATTATCTAGGAGTCTGTCCCCATATATCTTTTAATGATTCATCTGCCTAATGTCTTAACAATAATTCAACAATCTCTTTTAAGTTCCTTTTACACGCTAAATGCAAGGGAGTTTCTTAAATCTTATATGTTTTATTTAAAAAATACTCTGTTTCTAATATTTATTAAGTTTTTATTTTCCATAAGTAATTTGTTAACTGTAAAAGAATCATTTTTAAGTATTGCATCAAATAATTGATCTTCTTAATCATTTGGTCTTTTTATTAACTTTGAAAAAATTAATTGGATAAATTTACTTTGATATTTAGTTTTTGCAGTTAGGAACTTATCAATTAAATTTTATCAGGATTAGTTTAGTATTAATCAAATTCTTATTCTGATGTTAATCGTGGTGAAGGAGTTGGTTAATTTTTGAGAAGTACTTTATATTTGTTCTAGTTTTCAATAGTTGAATACTTATAAGTAGGTAAATTTAAGTCTTCTTATCTTCTAACAAATTAAATAATTAAATTTACATTCCAGTAGGTGTCATCAATTCTTCTGAATAATATTTACTATACAAATTGCATCTTTCCTCAAATTCTCTAACTCCTTTATTAGTCATTTTCTATATATCTTCGAGATCTTTCTTTAATAGATTTTTAGATTTAATCATTAATTCTTATTTTCTTTTTGATTGTTATTCTTATACTTCTTTTTGATATCTCTCCAATTTTAGTTAAAAATAACTTTTTTTTTTCTTTTTTATTTATTAGTTATTATCAATACTCTTTGGCTTTCCTAAATCATCTTTGATTGTTTATGTAACAAATTTCTAAGATCTTTAACTCAAAGGAATTTAGTGAAGTGAAGTAACATGAAAAGAAGCTGGATGATTATTTCTTTCATTCTTGAGATATGAAAAAATTTCATAATCATTTATCAATTCTATGATTTCGCAACAAAGAAATACTTTTTTATTCTGGTGATATGCGTTCAGAAACTGCCTTTTTTCTTTTAAAAACAGGATCTCTCTTAACAACAAAAAGCATAATTATATAATTATAAACATCAACGAATTGAAGCATATTAAGTAATTTCAGGTGTTTTAAAGTCTGGAAAACTCAAACCTTGATTTTGTTTCCTAAAATATTATTAAATTTAAATATATTACTCTCTTGGTCCAAATATTTTTACTTATCTGATATGTGTGTCTTTTCCACTATGTTAATTCTATAATACAACTATTTAGATGTTAATCGTAGAAACATAAGGTCTAACATAATTACAGCTTTTACTTTTCTTAACCATTTAGCAATTTAGTCTTAAGTGCAAATACATACCATCCATAAGGTTCTTTCAATTCAATAAATTATACTTCCTAATTCTATTCATCAAATATACTTTCATATCCTGAATATTAGTTCCTGTTCTAATAGAAAGTTTATTTGGAGTATAACTTTCATCTTATTTGAAATCTAAATATAAAGCAACTTCCTAAACTCTCATTTTCTTTAGAAATTATATTGTTATATTATGTGGTTATGTTCCATCTGACTACCAAAATGTATTCAAATTATCATCTCTTAATTGATCTACTCCATTTCCTGCTTTGGCAGATGATAGTGTCCATATAGCTTAATCACCAATTTCTTTTCTTTACATATTAGCTACAGGTGCGATATTAGTTTGAGTGTATGGAGTCTATATTGAGGAGTAAAATGGATTTTCAATGTGCATGTTTAATTTCAAATATTTATAATTAGAACAAATATATTAATATAATTATCAATGATAAAAAAATGAGGAAAAATATCAATATTTATTTCCAATATCCCTATTCTACCATTAATCATTTTAAATTTAATTTACTGAAATACTTTCAGCATATATTGATGATTCAAAAATTATTGTATAAACAACACTTTATTGTAATTCAATTATTTTAATTAAAATAATATAGATTAAAGCTATTATCTACTGAAAATTAAGTATTTTTATCTTACAGAAGTTAAGATAATATTATATATAAATAGTTTAATCAAAAAGTGTTCAAAATTTTATTTGAGGAATATTATAACTAATTAAAAGTCTATTCTATATTTCTATTCTTGTTTTTAACTTTAATATTTCTTGATTTAATTCCTTTTCTCTTTTTATAAATATTTTTTCTCTTTATTTATAATGCTAAATAAATGTTTTTGTTTTTAATAATAGTGCATCAAATTTGATTTGGAAATCAAAGCATTAGGGATTTGTTTGATTAGAATTTTACTTATGTTTTTGCTTCTTTGTAGACTAATAAGTTACATTTTTTTAAGATTTTAAATTCATTGTTGAACTTTAATTTATTGTTTTTGGACTTGTACTCTAAGATTTTGTATTGGATAAACATAAAGTTGATGATTACATTGACATTCTTTTTGTACTACTTGAATAATTCTCAAATAAACGAGAATCTGTTTTACATCTACTATCAGCAATGCTTATCCTTTTATTATGCCGCGAACCTTATTCATAAATTCTTTGACTTCTAAAATAATCATTGAAACTATTTAGGTTATTATATTTAGTTATTGATGGCTAACTTTAATTTGCTTTATGTTTTGTATTCTTTAATTTAGGTGAAATAACCTTAATACTAATCATTTATTTAATATTATAAAATATAATTAAAATTAATTTATCAATATAATTAGGAATAGAATGTATAAAATTTGAATTAGTATTAATTGTATTTATTAAAAGTCTATGCTTTTCAATTTAATGATAGAACTTTACTAACTTTATTTATTATTATTAAATTTAAGGAGTTTTTATTTGTAATTAAAAAGTAAAGTAAGGTATTTATTTTTAGTTTTATTATATTAATCTAATGGGATTAGTACAACCTAAGCCAAATGTTTTAGTTATTAATAGTGATTATTATTTATTTATAAATTTTATTAGGTTATTTTATTTTGATCTTTGAGTTTTGAGATCATTAAATAGTTCATAATATTAATTAAGTTATTTAAATTTACCCTATAATTATTTTTTGCATTGCTACTTTTAATTTTATTAATATAATTTCATTCTTGCTTTTCTTATCATTTTGATTTATTTAATAAGCTCATTTATAAGTTTATATGTTTTTTTATATTTCATGGTTATAATCGTTTCCTCATGTATTTAAAGTTGGTCACCTTATTGTTCTTTTACCCACATCCAGGATTAATTTATTTATTACTAATTAAGTCTTTTAAATTTATTCTTATTCAAAACAATAGCTATGAAAACTTTGATATAAAAAGATATACTATATTAAACCTTAAAAGGATGAATATCAAAATAATTTCATATGATTATTCACTATTATAATTGTAAATAGATTTTGATTATTTTATATAATTCTTTAGTTATAAGGGAATTAGTGTAGGTCTTTCTTGAATAATAGATGTTATTTATAATAAAAGTTTATTGTTAATTCCTAAAATAAAACTTAAAGGCTAGAACAAATGATCAAATCCTTATTTTTAAAATTGTCAAATTTAAACAAATTTAAATCATATAATTTGTCACTTCTTTTGTAAATTGCCCATTCAAATTACTTTAGTTTATTAATAAATCAAATAATATTAATTAAGCACGAAAACTCAATGGAAAAGCCCATTAAAATAGTTATCCAACTTCATGTGTAGGAATGACTAGCTGCAAACTAAATTTTTTTGTGATGAAAAGCTGCATCAAAAATTTTTCAATTTATCGAATAACAATAAGGATGGATATGTATCTCCTTCTCAGATTAATCTAAGCAAAATCTCAGAAGACATATTAATAAATTGATAAAATTGCTAGTTATTTAATTGTGATTGTGTTAGAGATTGATCATTATTAATTGTGATCGAATATTGGCTAATTTTATAAAATATTTGAGTAACATTATGAAAAATTGGATTTGTTAGAGAAATAAAGATTTTTGAGTATGAGTTGATTATTACGCAAATTTAATAAATAATATGTCAGACAATTCAGATAATGTGTTGACCTAATCTACAGGTTGTCCAGTAGATGACAACCAAAACTCTTTGACTGCAGGAGAATATGGACCCATTCTTTTATAGGATACTCATCTCATTGATAAATTAGCTCATTTTGATAGAGAGAGAATTCCAGAAAGAGTTGTACATGCCAAGGGAGCAGGTATTTCATATTTTTTATATGTAAAGGTGCTTATGGATACTTTGAAGTGACAGGAGATGTGACAAAGTATACAAAGGCCAAGTTTTTGGATACAGTAGGCAAAAGAACACCAATATTCACAAGATTCTCTACTGTGGGAGGTGAAAAGGGATCAGCAGATTCTGAAAGAGATCCAAGAGGGTTTGCTGTTAAATTTTACACTGAAGAAGGCAATTATGATATGACTGGAAACAATACACCAGTCTTTTTCATTAGAGATCCAAGTAAATTCCCAGATTTTATTCACACATAAAAAAGAAATCCCTAAACTAACTTGAAGGATGCTAATATGTTTTGGGATTTCTTAAGTTTGGTACCTGAAAGTGCTCACTAAGTCACTATACTCTTTTCTAATAGAGGTACTCCAGATGGATATAGACATATGAATGGATACACATCTCATACATTCAGATGGGTTAATAAAGAAGGAGAAGCATTTTGGATTAAATTACATTTCAAAACAGATGCTGGTAATAAATCATTAACAGGTGCTGAAGCTGATGAATTAAAAAGAACAAATCCAGATAATGCTACTCAAGATTTATTTGAACATCTTGCAGCTGGTAAAACAGCTACTTGGACAGTTTAAGTTTAAGTTATGCCAGAATAAGATGGATTCAAATATAAATGGAATATTTTTGATGTTACAAAAGTATGGCCACATAGTGATTATCCATGTCTTAATTTTGGAAAAATGGTTTTGAATAGAAATCCAGAAAATTATTTCTAAGAAGTTGAATAATCAGCTTTCAGTCCAGGACATTTGGTCCCAGGTATTGAACCATCATTGGATAAGATGTTATAAGGAAGATTATTCTCTTATCCAGATACTCATAGACACAGATTAGGAACAAATTATACATAACTACCTGTCAATTGTCCATACAGAGCAAGAGTTATCAATTAATAAAGAGATGGACCTTAATCATTTAATAATTAAGGAAATAGACCAAATTATGAACCTAATTCATTTTAACCATTAAAAATGATTCCAGAAACCAAAACTAGTTAATATAGAGTAACTGGTTTAATTGGAAGATATAAACCATCACATCCAAATGATGATTTTGCTCAACCAGGAGTTTTATACAGAAAGGTAATGAATGATTTTGAAAGATAATGGTTAATAACCAATATTGTTGGACATTTGAAGGTATCAGTCTGAATATTATATTTAGAATGCCAATAGAGTAATCCAAGAGAGACAAGTTAAAGTATTCACCAAATGTGACCCAGAATATGGAGAGAGAATTGCTTAAGGATTAGGATTCCCAAACAACAAAGCCAGATTGTGATCAGCATAATCAATTATATCATATTATCACATTATTTTTTTATCTTGATTCTTATTATTAACTTTGCTTCTAAGCCAGGTTGGAATATAAGGAATAGGATACTTCTCTTAATTGTAACCTGTTCCAAATATAAAATCACATAATCCCCAAATGCTGAAATTGCAAGAATAATAATAATGATGTAAAGTGTGACCTGCTGGATCCCATCTTCCATCATGTGCAAGTTAGGCATATACTGATGTCAATAAACCAAAAATATGATGGCATGCTGGATGGAATGGATATATAAATGTTGGTAAGAAATGTCCAATAGGTCCTTAAATTAATGCTTCAACTGGATGTACTGCATCTTAAGCATATGCTCCAGGTTCAACAAATTCATGATGTTCACCATGAAAATGTTTCCAAAAAAAGGGCATATGTCCAATTATATGTGAAGTATAAAACCACACATCAAATGTCACCATATATCTTAATACATAATAATATTATATTACACGATTAATGAAATAAAGAATTCTTTAAATCCGAATTCATGTGTCTCATAATACCCATAATAAGGATTCAAAGGTTGTATCTTCCATATTATTGCTGTTGTTAATAATATTACATAAAATAGAGCTTTAAAACCCCTCCTCATTTCTTCTTTTGTTTATGCTAATCTCTCTGGTGTCTTTGGAGCTGGATGACTCCATACCAAAAGTTGACTTATACAAAAGTACATGGAGTAGTAGAATAATCTATATCAGCTTATCAATTTACCCTATGTAAACACATGCTATCAAATATTCAAAAATTGAATTTATCTCTAAAACATTATAACTCAAAGAATCTGGAAATCTTAGGAAAGGTATTGTTATATAGTCATTAGGATTAAAGCAATAACTACTAATAATTGATGTCATCAATAATAAGAGTTTTATCATTTTCTAATTTATTAGATATTAATATATATATAATAATATTTCTTTTTTATTTTTAATTTATACTCTATTCTTACACTACTATTTAATTAGCAAAAAAATAAATATATTAATTCATAAAAACATCATCAGGTTTTTTTAGTAGCATGTAGAGATTGTTTATATATTTGAATTATCGTAAAGTAAATTGTAGCTTCTTAACATAAGAAATAATAATCTTCCCTTAATATGCTTAAAGATGTGTGTATAAAAATGACATATCTCTTTTTGAATTCAATTATATACTTATAATAATTATTATTTTTTTCATTTTATATTTTAATCAACTAGTAAAATAATCAAGAAGATTAAGAAAAAGAGGATTCCAGAAGAAATTATAATTTTGAATTGAATATCCTATTATCCTTCAGAATTTGGATAAATAACAAAAAATTTTTAAGTAGAAAATACTTTCAATAAAAATATTTGTTGTATTTTTATTATAAAAAAGTAAAATATAAGGTTATAGAAAATCTTTTTTTATGTATTTCAATAATATATTTATTCATAAATTATTGTATATTATAGAATTTTTAAATGTTTATTTTGGTAATCCTAATATTAATTTGGCATTTACTTTTATTTATGTTATTGAATAAATTATAATCTATTTTTAATTCAGATATACAAATAAAATAATAAAATTAATTTCTGTAATTAATATTTTTAATGTCTTTATCAAATCAAATATATAGTTTATTAAGAACATAAGAAACATACAAATAAATTAAGCAATATGTGGAAAGGGTCGGCAATAAAGATTAGTAAGATCTTGCATGATTTTTAGGGCAGTTTATTAACCAATCTGTGATGCAATTATATAGGCTCTTAAGATAAAGGAGCCTGTTTTGAATTTAATGGCTTCAAGGTTAGGTAAAGAAGCAGTAGATCAACGTAATGTGGAATTTAACACAATGTTTTCAGAAATTTGTTTACCCTATTATGAAAAGATTGCTGAATTTAAGAAAGATGATCATAGTGATGATAGAGGAAAGCATTATTTCTCAGAAAATCCAGATAAAAATCAATCCTCTTATGGGAATAGTTTTTTGAGGCTTATTTTAGAGAGTATAGAAGCTTGGGCAAAAATATATACTTGTAAGAGTGATTAAGTCACATATACTCCTTTTTTTCTATCATATGCTAGACTTGTAGTGAAAAAAATAAAATTTCCAGATGAATTTAAATATTACAAGAAGGAAGAAGTGGATAAGAATACAACTTCAATGTTTAAAACACACTAAAAAAATATACCATAAGTTTTGGAAGATAATAAATCAATTCCAAAATCATAACCATCTTAATTGAATTAATAAGATTAACCATATAAATAGGTTTAACCAACTTAGCCTATATAGGTGTAGAAGATCTAAAATATACCTACTCCTGATAATGAAACTTAAAAGGAAATTAATTAAAGTGCTTAACTATTGATAAATTTATATAGCCAATTAAAAACTTAATTAATAGAGAAGGCTTTAAGTTTGGATTTTAAAGCTACAGGTTAATATATAAAAGATTTGAATTAAGTTAACCAAAGTTTATATCATTTAATGGAAAAGATTGATAATAAAGTGGAGGAATTATTAAGTTAAGATGATGAAGATAGTTCATTAGAACTATTGAATGTTTAAGATGAAATAAAGATTCTATGTTAATACTTTTAAAAGTTATAAAAAGATGAATTGACTCCATAATAATATAGAAATAAATTTGAGAAATACAAATAACCAGTTCCAAAATAACAGAAAGGAAATTTATAATCTATTTATGAAGAGACTGAAAATTCTTAGTCATCAATGCAATTTGGTAGAGTAGATAAGAAGTTTGTACCAAATACCAACATTGACAGTCTTGGATTGCAGTATAATGCTGAATAAATAATGCAAGATTTTTAAATCCAATTAAGTGGTATAACAGAACAATATGAAAAAGAAAAATAATTGAGATAATAGGAACATGAGTAGGAAATAACAAATTTGAAACGTTAAATCTAAGAAATAAATTAGGTTAGAAACATATAAGAGAATCAAATATAGGAGTTAAAAAGAAAAGAGATTCGATACAAAGAAATAGAATAACAGTATATAGATATTTAAAAACAAAAAAATAATTCATCTTAATCATCAGATGAAGTCAAAAAAATTAACACTACTTTAACTGATTAAATAAAAGCATTAAAATTATAAAATGAATAATTGTAGAATTAAAAAGAAAGAGATAGGAATGATATAGATAAAATGAAAACTCATATAGCAGATTTAAAAGAGGAAAATGATTCATAGAAAACTGAAATAGAAAAACTAAAGAAATAATTATATATTGAAAAAAATTAAATAACTAGTAGATTATAATAATAAGAAGAAAATTATAAATAAGAAAAAAGATAACTTTAAGAATAAATTAAATTTTCATCATATACTGATAATCATAATTTAGATAAGACTCCTAGTAAGGAAATTTCTGATCTATAAAAAAGATTAGAGAATGAGAAAACGAGATCTGCAAATTTGATTCATGAAGTTAATAATAAAAGTGAATAAATAAAAATATTTGAGCAGGAACTTAAAAATAAATAAATGGAATTAGAATAATTAAGAGCTGAATAAAATATTTAATTTACTGCTTTAGATATTTAAGTCCAATAAAAACATTAAGCAGAAATTCAAAATTATAAATAATTACTTTTATCTTTAGAAACATCAAAAAAGATAGAAGAAAATTCTTTTAAAGAGAGACTTAATCTTCTTGAACAAAAATTAAAAATTTCATTTAGTGAGAATGAGAAACTTAGAAATGAATCTTCTATTCTAAAGAACAAAATCTAAGAATTAAATTAATAATTAGAATAATAGAAAATATAATAGAAATAGGAACAAATCTAAATTGAACCTTAATAACAATTATTTAATAATAAACTTGATTTGTCTAAGATTAAGGAAACTGGTTTTGAATATGTATAAGTTTAATCCCCTGAATCAATTTCAAGTAAATAAAACTTTTCATAAGCTATTTATCCAGTAAGTGCAAAAAAATAAGAAAAACCTTTAAGTAGTATTCCATATTCTGGTTATTAACACTTTTAAAATTTATAAGTTGATTTTATTGAAAATACAAAGAATTTATTTATAAGAACATTATAAATTAAGGTACTTGCATAAAGTGATATTATATATCCATATCTTACAGCAGAAGAATATTATGAAAAGAAGATTTAACCTCATAAAGGAATTGTTATTTAATTTAAAAGGATTATACCAAATTTAGTTGGTAATCAAAATAATTTGATACTATATAAAATGTATCATCTAAATAAAATAAATAATACAATTTTTGTTGATAATTAAGATCTAAAAATAGCAGCATTAAAATATATACAAAAAAATGGGTCAAATTATTATATCAATTATGGTTTATATTTTAAAACAGATTTATAAAATTTGAATTTAAAAGCTTATATGAAGAATTTCATGAATTTTGAAACTATTTGGGCATCTTAATTAGAAATTTAATAAAATTTATAAAAAAAGTAACAAATACTTTTGGAAGTTAGTATTAAATTACAATAATCAGAAATATTTGAAACTCCATTATTGGAAGTTAATTATAAGTAAATAATATGATATTTATAATTTAGTAATAAGATATAATAGGTATTATTGCCTTTACAAATTCTAAGTTTAATTCAATATCATAAAATAAGTAAAATTGGATATCAAAGAAAGTGGAAAAATTCTAAGATATATAGATCGGAAGTATTTGAATACAACACATTAATATTATCTAATCATAAAGATATCACTAAATTTAATGAATCTTTTTCTATTACAAATCCAGAAAAAGTTGATAGTTATATTTAAGGTTTGGATGAAATTAAATATTTTGCTTAATTTTCATTTTAATATTATAATATAGATGGAATAATCAAATTTGAATTAATGCCTAATTAGAAAATGATTATTTTTATAGGATTAGAGAATTATAAATAAAATTCTTTAATTTAGAAATTGATAAATGCATTTTAAGATATTTTTACCTGATTCCTATATTAATACATTTAAAAAATATATGATTAATTAATGAATATATTCTAATTAACTAAATAAAAGAGAATTATTATATATTTATAATCGATACAATCTAATTGTTAAATGCTATAAATAGAGAATTATACAGGAAATATGAAAGAATCAAAGTCTATCTCAAATGGGAGTGCAAAAATAGATTCATCACAATCTAATGTAATACATAATATTGATAATACAAAATTGTATTATGAAAATGTATTTACAATAGTTAGAATCCCGTTTTTAAGATGGCTCCATTAGAAAATTTTCAAAGTGTGAGTGAAAATTAATATACACATATCTTCAGCTCATTTGAATAATCTCCTAGACAAGAAGATTAATAACACTAAAATTAGTAAGGAATTTAGTAAATATCTAAAAAGAGAGCATTTTCCTTTACAGAACATGAAACCATTAAAAACGATCATAGATACAATATATCAGGGGAAATAAGAAATAAGAAGTCATATACTGTTCGTATTACAAGAGTATAAGAATGCAAAAGAAAAGAAGAATAAAATTAGTTGAATGCTGAAACACCAAAACTTGGATAAAATTAGTTAGAAGATTCATAATAGATTATGAAATAGAAAATGGATTAATCATAATATTATTCTCCAAGAATTATGAATGATAATTCTAGTTATGATCCAAAATAAACTTAAACAACTGCTTGGGGTTCGATCACAAGTAAGATTGAGTTAGATTAAATTTTGAAAGAATGCTTATTAAATTTTTAGAAGAATAAAGCTTTAAGATCTGATGAATATGTTGCTTGTCTTCTATTTTGATATATTTAATATCATTATATATTTATTTAACACATAATCATTTATTGTCGAATTAATGTTCAGTTGAGTCTTCACCTGAAGATATTAATGTACTTTGATTAACAATAGTCATGACATGATCAATTAATTCAGCTCCAGACCATCTAAATAAATATATATAATTTATATTACTTTTGATGTCTCAATTAATCAACATTATGTTTCTCTTCCTTTCTTTAAATATCTTCTACATAAGCTAACATATATCTTTCTGATAAATCTTTTGAAAATCTTTCACTTTGTAAAGCATTCAAATGAAATCCTGCTAATGTAATAAACTAGTTAAATATCAATAAATAAATATACTTGCCAAGTGTATCCTAATTTGCCTAATTCGGAATTAAAGTTTTTGAGTTCACTATCTGAGAATCCGAATTTGCTCCAATTAAAACTTGGAGAACAATTATAACAAAGGACTTTATTATTTTAGAGTTCAAATTATAATTCATCAGAGAGTTCTTTAGCAACTTTTAAATCAGGTGTTGAAGTTTCCATCCATAAAGCATCTGCATATTTTAAATATTCCTATATTAATAAATATTAAGTACTTTAGCTCTTATTGCACAATAATGAACACTACTTTTAAGAGCATAGAACCCATCAGGATTTCTACATTATTCCCAATCAAAATCAAGTTCAAATCCTAATCTCTTGGCTAAATCTTTGGCCTTTTTTATTCCCCCAATTTCACATTGATTTAACCATTAATTAGTGGCTTAAATTCTCTTTTCTTTATCAATTATTTGTTCTATAATAAAAACTCCTGCTTCTGGATAAGTGCAAGGTTTATTATGAAATTTTGTTAAACCAAGAATGTATGGTTAATCAATTAAATCTACATTTGTTTCTATAAATCGTGCACCTAATGCATCAGTTCTTGCAATAATAAATAATTCATTTCCCATCATATCTGCTTGAAGTCTAGAAGCTATAAGTTTTTAGACATGAGTATTAGTTGATGTCACTACCCTTCCAGCCATATGACCACATTTTTTCAAATCAGGTCTTTAATCTTCCAAATGTATTCCTGCAGCTCCAGATTCAATAAATAATTTAGTCAATTTCATTACACTACTTGTACCACCAAATCCAGCATCTGCATCACAAATTACAGGAACTAGATAATCATAAGGTTTTTTTTATTTTCGTTATTCAGCAGTAATTAAACTTCTTTCATATTACTACCTTCTGTCTTGAAATCTTTGCATCTACCATCAATGTTATGATTACTTTGACTAACTAATCACATTTCTTAGGCACAGTGTCATATGGATAATCAGCAAAATCAGGACCTGGATCATTTGTTGTAGAAGCTGATGAAGAACATTGCCAACCTGATACATATATTGATGTCATATATTTAGACATGTTGATAACCTAAACAGTATCTAATGCTCCACAAGCAAGAGAGAATCTATTATGATTATTATTAAATACCCTTTGCTTTTTTTTAAATCCATCATAAGATTATAGAATTTCCTTGCCATAAAATCAGAGTATTGATTAGGTACAATTGATCCTCTTACTTCAGCTACCTATTTAGCTGTGTATGGACGCAAAACATTATTGAAACGTGGACTCTTGAACCAACTATTTAATGAGATAATTATGGGTGATTACTTATCCAATTCAATTATTGACTATTGTAATTTTTACTCTTCATCATATTGTCCACTCAATTAGGATAATCTATTCATAAATTAAAAATTATTTAGGTATAAAATTGGGAAATTTTTATAATATACTTATAAGTATATTCAATTATTAATTAAGCAAATATATTAAAATAATATTATAACAATATTAATATAGAGGTTAATATTTTCATATCATTTTTGCTCTTAATAATATAATAAGTAAGATATTGATGATATGAGATAGTTAAAAATTATATGAATTTAGGTCTCTCTCATATTAAAATAATGATTTTTTTAATTGTTAATTCTAGACTGAATATTTTTTATTTTATATTTTTAATGCAAGTTTTTTAAAAATTTTGATATAATATGGTCATCTTAAATTAATTATTAGAAAGATTATTAGAAAATAGTATACGATATAAAATCATGAAATTAATATCGAGAAGTTAATAAGAAATAATATCAGAATTAATTTTTGAGAATATAATGAATCTCATTTATTAATTATTAAGAACAATATATCCTAATTAACAAAGAATGATAAACACATTTACTGAAAGTACAAAGACACTTGATATAGAGTCAAAATTTGTTATTTCAGTAAAGCAAATCAAAATGGATAACAGTATGTAATAATTAAAAATAATAACATCAGTGATCATTCATAAATGAATTTTGACTTTAGTTTTGCTTATAAACAATACTATAGTTCCTTTTATATAAACTATTAGATCTGTATTCTTTTCTTAATTCCTTTAAACATTCTTTTTATCCTTTCTCCTCTTTTGATATGGAACAACCCATTAATACTTTACAAAAAATATAAATATACAAATATACTTCAAAATTTCATTTATATTTTGACAGTTTTATTTATTTATTGTTTAATTTTGTATATGATATAAAATAAACAATTTTTTTTTTGATTTTAATATTCATTTGCTTAAAAGATAGGTTATATCAAATTTATAGAATGTTAAATAGATGTATTTTAATTGATAGAGAATGTAAAATAGAAGTTTTTAATTGGTCAGATTGGATTAATTTGAATGATAATTTAAAAATATTTTGCATATTAGCTAAAAATTATTTAAATTATTTGTCATTTTAGAATATGAATATTGCAGAGAGATTGCAAAGGGAAGCTGAAAAGAAAAGAATTTAATAAGAAGAATAGATGAAAGGAGGAAATAAAGCCATTAAAGAAAAATATGAAGCAGAATATTAGGAAAACAAAAATAAATTGAGTTAGGAAATCAAATAAGACATTAAATTAATCTCTCAATAATATCCTAGTTTCTAAGTAAATTCAATTTACAATTAAAAAGAAATTTGCTTTGTACAAAATTTATAAGCAGTTCGATTTCAATAGAGAGATTGCAAATGAATTCATTAGCATTTAAATCTAAAACTAAAATTAATAAGACAATGATGATGATGATTGGATTGAAATAACAAGCAAAAGGAAAACACTCATTTATAAAATTTCCAAATCTAATGAAAATAATCAAACACCAAAGAGATCATAATCTGTGACTAATAAACGAGAACCAGAAAATAGTTAATAAAGATAATCTCGTTATAATCAAAACAATTAAAAAAATTAAAGAAGAAATGCCTCAGGAGATCGAAAGAGAGAAATATCTCCAAGAAAATTTAACTATTAAAATAGAAAATATGAAATATTTGATAATGATAGAAATAACAAAAAATAAGATGGACGTAGAAATTAATAAGTGAATTACAAATCTAATACAATCCAATAAAATATATATTAGCCAAAATATATCTACGTACCAAAATATGAAGATGATGAATGTCCATATGTGCCTAAATCAATTATATCTTAAACATAAACATAAATTGTAAATCATCAAAAATAATAAGAATAAAATAAGATGAATGGAAATAATGAAAAAATAGAAACAAGTAATTAATAATCAAATATTAATCAATCTAAACAAGATAGAGTCTCATAAAAATTACAAAATAATTAGGAAGTTCTTGTTCAAGATAAAATTATATAAGACTAGATGAAATAATAATAAGAGTAATTTAGATTAGAATAAATAAAATAAGAATAAATAAAATAAGAATAATTAAGATAAGAATAATTAAAATAAGAATAATTAAAATAAGAATAATTAAGATAAGAATAATTAAGATAAGAAAAATTGAAATAAGATTAAATAAAATAAGAAAAATTAAGATAAGAATAAATATAACTAGAAAAATTAAGATAAGAATAATTAAGATTATAATAAATAAAATTAGATTAGCAATAACAATAACAATAACAATTTTTAAATAAGCCATTATAATTCAATTATTAAAATTAATCTCTCTAACAAGATTTATCCCAATCATAAACTATATAATAAAATATTACTAGTTCAATGTTTGCTCCTTAATTTTAGATAGCTCCTTAAGGATTTATTTAATAAAATTAGGAACATTAAGACATGTAAAACCAACCTTCTGTCTATGATATGCTTATGAGTTATATAAATTATGAATGAGGTTAAATAATGATGATTTATTTAATTTATATAAATAAATAAAATCATTCGATAAATATCTAATTTTTTTCAATGCAACCCATAAATTAGTTGCTTATCACAATTGCTAAAATTTTGGAAGAAATTTTAAAGGAAACTGATTAATTGAGTTTGTAGTAGGTATCCGTATTCCATGCCTCACGAGCACCATCTATATCAATTCAAAATTACATACAGAGGATTGCAAAATACACAAATTGCAACAGTGTTTGCTTTGTTCTTGCATTAATATATCTAGATAAAGTTTAAGAAATGCACTAAGATGTAGTGCTTAATTCAAATTGTATACATAGGTATGAACTTGTAATAGTTTATTGATTTATGATAGTATCTATAATGGTGGCAATAAAGTATTATGACGATGAATACTATAAAAATGAATATTATGCAAAAGTGGGAGGGCTATCATTAAAGGAGATAAATAAACTAGAGATGGAATTCTTGGATATGTTGAATTACGAATTATTTATATAAAATGAAGTATTTGAAGTTTATGAAGAGAGATTAAAATAATATGAAATCATAGAGATCTGATAATGTTGAGGTTTAATTGATGATTATATTGTTTATGATAATTTAGTAATATAAGACTAAAAGTTTGTTAATTTTATTATTTTATAATTCATTCCTTTTTTCCAATATGATNTTAAAATAAGAATAATTAAAATAAGAATAATTAAGATAAGAATAATTAAGATAAGAAAAATTGAAATAAGATTAAATAAAATAAGAAAAATTAAGATAAGAATAAATATAACTAGAAAAATTAAGATAAGAATAATTAAGATTATAATAAATAAAATTAGATTAGCAATAACAATAACAATAACAATTTTTAAATAAGCCATTATAATTCAATTATTAAAATTAATCTCTCTAACAAGATTTATCCCAATCATAAACTATATAATAAAATATTACTAGTTCAATGTTTGCTCCTTAATTTTAGATAGCTCCTTAAGGATTTATTTAATAAAATTAGGAACATTAAGACATGTAAAACCAACCTTCTGTCTATGATATGCTTATGAGTTATATAAATTATGAATGAGGTTAAATAATGATGATTTATTTAATTTATATAAATAAATAAAATCATTCGATAAATATCTAATTTTTTTCAATGCAACCCATAAATTAGTTGCTTATCACAATTGCTAAAATTTTGGAAGAAATTTTAAAGGAAACTGATTAATTGAGTTTGTAGTAGGTATCCGTATTCCATGCCTCACGAGCACCATCTATATCAATTCAAAATTACATACAGAGGATTGCAAAATACACAAATTGCAACAGTGTTTGCTTTGTTCTTGCATTAATATATCTAGATAAAGTTTAAGAAATGCACTAAGATGTAGTGCTTAATTCAAATTGTATACATAGGTATGAACTTGTAATAGTTTATTGATTTATGATAGTATCTATAATGGTGGCAATAAAGTATTATGACGATGAATACTATAAAAATGAATATTATGCAAAAGTGGGAGGGCTATCATTAAAGGAGATAAATAAACTAGAGATGGAATTCTTGGATATGTTGAATTACGAATTATTTATATAAAATGAAGTATTTGAAGTTTATGAAGAGAGATTAAAATAATATGAAATCATAGAGATCTGATAATGTTGAGGTTTAATTGATGATTATATTGTTTATGATAATTTAGTAATATAAGACTAAAAGTTTGTTAATTTTATTATTTTATAATTCATTCCTTTTTTCCAATATGATTGTTATAAATTACATTTAAGTTTTCTTAATTTGTCATCTAGTTCAAATTATCATTCATATTATTTTCTGAAATATCTACACTTGGATAAGCTTCCATGAATCTATGATAATTAAATAGATTAAAATACCTCTGTCTTATACCTTCATCTTTGAGATAGACTCCTGGAAGTTAATTGCCTAGAGTTATCCAATTAGGTCTACAATTATGAGGTCTTCCAAATAATTCTACTTTCTTTCCATTTGGACACATTCTATTAATCATACCATAAACTTCATCAGGTTTTCTGGAAGTTTCTCTAACTTCTGAGACTATTACATCACAATCTAATCCTTTGATTATTTGAGGATTTCCTTTGATTCCAATCAAACAATGTTCCTATAAGATATAATAATAAAAATATACTTTACTATGATTAAGCCAATGACCTGTTCTTCCTGTTCTGATAATACGATGTAATTAATTTACTTTGATCCAAACTAATTCTTCAACTCTTCTATAACCCCAAAGAATTAAGCATTCTCTTCCCAATTCCATTGCTCTTCCTGTGACCCATAAGAATATAACTCCATCATTCTATAATAAATCAACTCTTAATGCTTTCATTTCTTTATCTTTTAATGTTCCATAAGGTAAATTCATATGTATATCCCAAGGAGGATCAGCCATAATAACATCAAATTTTCCAAGAACTCTAAAATCAAATATTCTTAAATCACAATTAATCCATTAAGGTGCCATACTCTTATGATTAGATAAAGCTGTTTAAACTCTTTTTTACCAATCAACATCATTTCCATCAAGAATATAATGTATATATTTACATTATTCTTATTCAGGACATTAATCCAAATATGTACAATTACCTAATTTAGTTTATGTATTTGCTTTTAGTATTTTTCTAAAATGAGTTTTTTAACATTAAACATTTCTACATTTATCTCTTGTAAAATTTTCACATATTTATAATCCTCTTTCTGTAAATTTTCTTTTTGCTTCTTCTTCATCATAATTTTCAGTTTTCAATAAAGCTGCTCTTTTCCTTTCTAATGCTAATTAAACAACATTATCTTCATATTTTAAACTAATATTTCCTACATTCTCAATTAATCTTTTTTTCTAAGCAGCAATCTTTGGTAATAAACTAACATTAGTTTTTGAATTTCTAGCTTCATCTAATAAATGATCAATTTTTAAAAATGTTTATCCACTAGTAATAGATCTTATTTCTTCTTTAATCCATTCTTCAACAGTAGGCATTTATTTTGGTTTATCCTTTGAATATTAAATATTCATTTATCCTAATTTCTCTTTTGAGATAGATAAAATGAAATCCTATAAGTAGATACCTACAGCAAGTTTAGATAGATTGATTGCTCCAGCATCTGATAATTAATTTAGAATTGGTTCAATTTAAAGATTCCTTAAATATGGAGTACTTGTTTTAGTCTTAAATGAATTAATTAATGAAATACTAAAAATATTGTGTTTATGTATGTGTATAATTCACCACCTGATATAGGGTAATCAAATTAATCACTTAGCATAAATTCAATAACAACTGCTCTAAATTATTCTTGATTTATAGGAGGAAATCTTAGTACTTCATTCTTTTCTTTGTCTCTTGACCTAGAACGATTTTGATCTCCTTTTACCTTCTTATTTTTATCTTTATTCATTAATAATTAAATTATATATAGATATATATTTATTTATTTATATTATTCTCAAATTCATTCAATATTCAAATACAATTCTAAATATGGTATTTAAAAAGTATTCTTTAAATGGAAACAATTATTTATTATAAAATAAACAATCTATATTTTATTTAACATATATAAACAAGAATTAATTAGAATTAAAATCACTTATTTCAGTGTAAAAATAAGTTAATATAAACTTGTTAACTTGATTATATTTCCAAACTGAAAAATGTACTTATTAAATTTTTAGTTCCTTTATTTGTAATTTTAATATATTTATATGACTAATTCTTGATCTACTTGATGTATAATGATAGATGAGATTGGAAAAACGAATGCTTGTATAACTATAAACACTCAAAAACATACATTTTAAAGAGAATTGTGAGAATTTCTATTTGGGATATTAAAATTTGAAGTCATCTCAAAAGAGGAATATGAGTCAGTTGGTTATTTTTTGAAAATATATGAATTATAAGAAAAATAATCATAGTTCAAAAATAATGGAAATAAGTTGACAGTTAAAATTTGGAAATTGACATTATTATAAACCAGAATATGAAGTAAAATAAATGATGGCTTCATATGATTAATTAGATTTTGAGAGTGTTTTTGATTAAAAGTTTATGTATTATAATCAGTCGAAAGAGAGGTTTACACAATTAAGTGGCTTTCCTCTTTCATCATTGATTTCAATCAAGAGAATTAAGGAATTCTTCCAAATCCTTTGTGTCATCTACTAGAGAGTCTTCCTGTGAGAAGTTTTTTATCATTGGGTTTTGAGCGTCCGCCCTTAAAGTTTCTATAAAACTAAGATCTTCATCAGCCGAACAATCCGATTTTGCACTTTCCATCCTTTATAAGACAGGTTGTTATATCTTAATAGGTTTTAGAAGCCTCTACATCTGGATAATAATAAAATAATTATAATGTTATTTTAATAATATTGATATTCTTTTTCACCTCACTTTATCGGTAATGAATTTTTGTTTTAGTACTGTAAATACAAACAAATGAACCATTCCACAAATTGTTCCCTTTACCAAGACTTCTGCAATCCCCCAACTCAACTTCCCCGCTAAGTCTCCAGGATTTGATAAAGCTGTTGATGCACTTTCATAAGAATTTTGTGATGAACTCATATTTTTTATATTAAATTAATGTATATTTTTGAATATTATTCCTTAATTTTCGATCATTCCTTAACTCGTTTCTCAATTTCCTATAACACTTCCTCTTCTGGAGCTCCATTCTTTAAAAATTCATGATCCTATACTTCCTACAAAGATATCCTTTTCTCTGGATCACATTCTAACATAGACATTATCAAATCCTTAAATTCTTATGGGAATTGCTATTGTCTGAATGATTCGCATTTACTCCAGAAGAGTTCAAATTATTTACTCTATATTAAACCCCACCATCCATCTTTTACATTAGGATCATTTGTTTGAAATGGAGGGAATCCCATTACTACAATAAATAATACTACACCCAAGGCAAATATATCACATTTAAATAGATTTACCTATGGATTAATATACATTTCAGGTGCAGTGTATCCAGGAGTACCTCCAGGAGGTCTTAAAGGTTCTTTACAAATGCGAGCAAATCCAAAATCACAAAGTTTCAAATTGAAATCTGCGGCTATTAAAATATTCTCAGGTTTTATGTCACAATGGGCTATAGAAGCTGTATGAAGTGACACAAGCACTCTTATAAGATAGGCTGCCAAAGTCTTTGCAAATGTCAACTGGAATGGACCTTTTTTCAAGATTTTTAAAAATGTGTCATTAGGCATATACTCTAATAGAACACAAGTGTAATCTTAAGAGTATCCTTTCAACAAGACTATTCCTGTGTGATCTATGCCTTTAAGAATTTGTATTTCGTTCGCTAAATAAATTGTAATTAAACCTGGAGATTTATTATGTGATTCTGTGATAAATTAGTCAGAACTTTTAAAGCAAACATTTCCCCAGTTTTCTTATGCATAGCTAAATAGACTCTTGCATCATGTCCTTAACCCAAAGGTTGGTTCAAATTCACAACAAAACAGTTTTAGAAGTCTTGTTGAGTGAAAACAAAAATATTGTTTCCAGATTACATAATATATTTTTTCTTATTTAATTTAAAATTTAAATAATGAAAAATCCCTTGATATTTTATCAAATTTTCGAACAGAAAATATATACACATCATTCTTATTTATTGATAAATGTTACTCAAAAATTAAACTTTATTTCATATAACTTATAAAACTCTCAACTGAATCAAAAAGAATGTTTTATTATTACTTTCTTTTTAATTTATGAAATTGTAACTAAATTCAATTTTAATATATGATAAATATATAAGAGATATGTTTTTAAATATTGTAGATATTTAAGTTTAATGATAGATCTAAATTATTTAATAAATACATATTTTATTTATTAAAGTATTAGCGATATTCATATAAAAAATGTAATATCATAATTAATATATATTAATCTTTTAAAATTAATTAGTTATATTCTAATTTTGAGTTATAATTCGATGAAAAAAAAATAAAATTTAATATTATTAAGATACATATAAGGATTATTTAAGATATTAACATAGAAAGTTAAAAATATAAAATAATAATTATTTAAGAAAAACGAAATTCATACTCCTTATTCATACCGTTATTTTGTATAATTTTATTACATTAAAATAGGAAGTGATTATAATTTATATCCTTTTGGAGGGTGTTATAATTTTAAGCTAAAAACTTTTGGTTTGACAAATGAACCATTTTGTATTTACACTTATTATTAATAGGATATTGAATGTTATTAGATTGGAGGTTGATAATGTGGTTAGGGTTAAAAATATAACTAAATTTAAATTGTATAATTTACTTATTCTTAATCAATCTATTTAGGTTATTTATTTTTTTTTCTAATAGAAAATTTCTTCTCATTTTTTGAATCTTGAATAGATTTAATTTACATTAATGGAGATAGATTGGATAAAGAATTTTATTGACTCATTTAAATCATCTAAAAGCTTGAATTATCCTATTTGCTTTCTGCTCTTCTAAATTAAATTAAGTCAATAAGTTAAATTTCTGGAATTCTCTTTTCAGCAAAATTGTATAAATCTTTTAGTGATTCAGATTATTGATAATCCTCATAAGTAACAAAATTATCAGGCTCTAATTGTGGTTAAGATTAAATAGGTTCTGGTATTTATTATAGAGTTTATTCTGGTTCTTCTTAAGTGACTTCTTAATCAGCTTTTGTAGTTTTGGTAGGAAATAAATTGGTGTTAACTTTACTTTAAACATGCTTATACAATTAACTTTTCTATGTAAGTATTGGTTTCTAAGTACAAGATTGTGGTTTAGATTATTCAGCAATTGTATCTCTTTTTAAATTCCTTCTTATATCTAATAAGATATAAAAAATATGTTATACTTGCTCCAGTCCAATCTTCATATAATTTTTAAGCATGTTATAAATATTCATCATATGATTTATCACATGGGTATATCAATTCAAAATCTCCTTTATTTTTTGATTCATATTCATCTCTCTCTTTTTATGCTTACATTTTAAGGACTCTCTTTTCTTCATATGATAATTTAGTTTTTTTTCCAGTAAGAACTCTTTTTTACATTTGATCCTTCTTTTAAGAAATAATATCATTTTTAGTTTTGACATTAATATTCATTAAAGTAATTGCATCTCTAATCAGATTCTTTTTTATGTAGGAATCTAATGGAGTATCAGTTGTAAAACTAGGAGTGTGATTGACTTCCAATAAATATGGTTTAAGTGAGCTATCAATTAATATATCGAAACCAAGAATTTCAAAACACATATTGTTTGCATAATTTTCTATTTATGTATAGTTTTATTATAATATTGGTTGAACAGCACAAAAAGTTTTTATTATTAAATCCTTAATATCAATTAATAATTAATCTACATTTTATTTCTATATAAGATGATGTTATAATATTTACTTGAATTCTTAATAAATCAAATACACTAGTCATACTTCTTTTGTGTCCTATATCCATTTTCTTTTCGTCTTCATTGAATATGAAATTAGGATTGTCTTTATTTATAGCATAATTTGTCAAATGCATACAAGCATCATCAAGATTAGTTGAATGAGGTGATGAATATAATTAAGTTGCAAATCTAGCCAAACCTTCCTTATATAAATAAATTCTTAATGGATCACAACCACAAATCATTACATATATTCTTAAATCAAATTTTAATCCATCTATTAATAACGGTTTATGAATATATCTTTAAGCAACATAGTGTTCTTGAGGATTAATGGAATCAATAGAACGTGTTAAAAATATACCTTTTTGTTATTATTTCATTGAATACCCTTTCCTTAACAAGATGCTTCTGGTTTAATAATGAAAGTCTTTGCTTTTCCCTTTTGAAACTAAGCTTTGAAATCTCCATATTCACTTGGAAGCATCCAAGTTCTTGGATAAAAATCATATTCATCTGGATATTATTTTTGCATTTTATTGAGATTACGACCAAGGTGATTTTTTCTTGCCAAAGAATACATACCTGGAAAATGATTGATTCTTTGGTGAGCTTAACATTAAACATTAGAACTATACGTTGCATTTTAGATAAAGTTTCAGGTAGTACAGCATTATCAGTCCAACAAAAGTCCCAATTATTATTTTCAAGATAAGGAACATAAGACAATTTAAACTTATAAATCATTTTCCCAACAAATTTAACAACAGGATACTAAGTGTCTATTTAATATTATATTAAATACCTGAAACATTCATTATTAACTTCTTACTAGAATTTACAACTTTCTTTTTCTTCTTTTTTATTTATATTTGTTCTTCTTCACTCTCAGACTCCTATGATTATTCATCTTCATCTGCTTCACTATCTTCAAAATCTCCATTAAATGGCATTTCTTTTTCCTATTTCATTTTTTTTATATACAGTTATTAAAATAATTATAATGTCATAAGAACCCTTCGTTTTACAAAAGAATTATCGTTAATAACAAGAAGCCTTAAAATTTACTTAAAAGAAAAAACTGATTCCAATTCAAAAGAAAATAGTTAAGAAAATTAATGAACAAAAACGATTGCCAATTGAAAAAAAAAGAAATCCTTAAAGGAGTTAAATTCAATCTGAATAATATTTAGAACCTTTAATTCAAATGCAATCATATTTAGATGATTAAATAAACTAAGATCAGTATTCCCCTCTCTTATTCAATGAGTTCAGATTCACTTTTCATGACTCATATTGTGAGGAAATAAATCTATCAAATGAAATTTGAGATGGCTATAATTTAGACAATAGAAAAAATACAAAAATGAAATAACATATTAAGATTTATCAAATTGTTCCTTTTTGTTTCTCAAATTAAAATATCTTTATTAAATATCCTCAATAACTTTATTAAAGCATTAAAAGTTTGAATACTTATTAATTTTATATCTCTTATAATTATATAAGATAATATTATGAAATTCTATCTTATTTAAATATATAAAGTTTAAATACTCTAATTTGAAACTATTTAATGAACAATTATTAAATATTATATAATTTTAAGAGAGTTGAGTATGAAATTGAAGATAATAATAAGATTGAATATAATGATATCTTAAATAGATAATTAATAGTTTAAAACTTTGATAATTTATCATATTAGTTTTTTTAAGATTATATATAAATATACAAGAAATAGAACAAATAAGAATGAGAATGTTATTAAGAAGATATAAATAGAAATGAGATTGAGTTGATATGTATGAGATGTTTTAGATTAATAATAATATTACTTAGTTATGTTAATTTGAGATTTAAATTAAATCTTTTTTTTAAAAAGTATTATGATCATCTAGGTGGGTCACCTTAATGGAGAGGTGAAAACATACAACTTAGCAGATTAATGTACTGCTAATGAATTAATGTATATTTTGAACTCCGAATTGGCATGTGAAGTTCAATTGGTTTAATGTGGTGAATTAGTAAATGCATCATCGATTTTGGCTGGAGACAGAATCTATTATGTCACAGTTGATGCAGAAGGAGGAAAGAAAAAGAAGAAGAAGAAGAAGAATTTCGCAAAGCCCAAGAAGAAGAAGCATAGACACCGAAAAATTAAGTTGGCTACTCTTAAATTGTACAATGTTGACAACAAAGGAGTAGTTTAAAGATCACATAAATAATGTCCTTAATGTCCATAAGGTGTGTACATGGCTAAACATTTCGACAGACATTATTGTGGAACTTGCCATCAAACCTTTAGAATGGATGAGGCAACAGTAATTGTTTAATTTTATATTTAAGATTAAAGCCAACTTAGAAGCAATCAAAAAATAACAAGCCGCTAAAGCTGCCGCTGCTGCTGCTTCTGCCCCTGCTGGTGGTGCTGGAGACAAAGGAGCTGCTGGAGGAAAAAAGGGCAAGAAGAAGTGACATATATTTAGTATATTAATAAATAATGCAATTAAGTCCATCTAATTCAACAATATACACAGAAGACAATAATCTAATTCCATCAAATCCAATAGGATCTCATATATAATTACCTGTCGATCATAGTTCACCAGAGATGCGTTTACTATGTTTGGCTTAATAAAATGACTTGGAACAATTTTCTAATTTATTAAGATCAAGACCATTTGATCTATCTGCTATTTAGAATTCTAAAAGATTTACTGCTCTTCATTATGCTTGTTTCAATAATAGCTATCAGATGTGTGAATTAATAATAAACCATTAAGAAAGAAGAGAAAACAACTTACAGAATATGGAGAATTTTATCAATTCTACCACTATTGATAAATATACTTCTCTGCACTTTGCAGCTTTTAGAGGAAATATATAAATTCTGACACTTTTAAAATTAAAAGGAGCCAACTTATAAGCTACAAATAAATAAGGTTTGAATATTATGCATATAGGTGCATAAGGAGATCAACCTAATAGTATTGTATTTGCACTTGTTAATGGAATTAAGTTGACTGATTTTGATCTAAATGGAGGGTCTGCTTTGCATTGGGCATGCTATTATGGTTAAGATCACTCTGCTAATTATTTGATACCTTTAATAGAATCAAAAAAACCATACTACCCATTAAACTCTCTTGATTCTCATCAATTAACACCTTTGCATTTAGCAGTTTAAAGTGGAAATACAAAATTAGTTAAGAAATTGTTAATATATGGAGCTGATAAAACAATAAAAGGAAATAGTAATAAAACTCCTGCTGATATAGCTTAAGAGAATGATTTTAAAAACATATATAATTTACTAACTAAAGAACGTAGTTTTTTAATTACATATTTTAATTTGAAATAAGGTATTAAAAGAGTAAGGAAAAATGCATTAGAATTATTGAGATTTGGTGGTTTCATGATTTTTCTTTTATTCTCTTATTGGATATATATGGTAGATGATTTTATACCAATTTTTACAGATTATTTATTTTTTGGAATTACTTTACTATTTTTTATGTTAATTGTATGTTCTAATCCTGGCTATTAAATTAGAAGATAAGAACCATTATATACTTTAATAACAGCTTTTGATCATTAAGATATATGCCCAATTTGTAATGTAGTGAAATTGCCTAGAAGTAAACATTGTGACATTTGTTAACGATGTGTTTTAATGTATGATCATCATTGTCCTTGGATTAATAATTGTGTTGGTGCAGAAAATCATTTGATTTTTATAACTTTTTTAATTTCATTAGAAGCATCACTTATCTATGCTCTATTTAAAACTATAATGTAATGTTATATTGGGAATTAGAATTAAATGGAATTCTTTAATGAACCTTTAACATTTTGGGTAATCTTAATTATCAATATATTAATTGAAAGTATTTTTATCTTGGGAATCACAGCTCTTCTTATAACTTAAATTTCAAACATTTTTCTAGGTTAAACTACATTTGAGAGATTTGCAATTTCAAATTAAACTTCTACTATGAAATCAGTCATGTCTAATTCAAATAAAAATTCATAAATTGATGATGAATTACTCTCTCAAAAAAAAGATAGATTTATCTAATGTTCTTGTAAAAATGTCTTTAATTTTTTAACAAATGGAGCAACTTAAAGAAAAAAAGAATAAGCAATTAGAATTTGATGATCATTATTTTTGTATTTTTAGTCATTCATATTAATTAAAATAAGAATATAATTGTTCATTCTTATTATTTATTTTATTTATAAATATAATTTATAATCAGATTGTCTATATTTATATATTCAATTTATTTAATATTTCTTGAAATAAAAAACTAAGTTAGTCAAATTATAATTACATTATAAATGTATTAATATCTGTAACAATTGCTCTTCAATTAAATCATTATGTTATTACATAATTATATATATTTTAAGTGCAAAATTAGTTTAGAACTTAATTCAATACTTTTATAATTAGATTATTATTTTTTATTACAATAATACATAGATTAATACAATTATGAATATATAATTGGTTTTATTCTTACGGTTTAGCGAATTTATATGATTAATTTTTGATAATTATTCTGATAAATGTTACATATAAAGATTTAATTCAAAATTCATTTTTGTTGAGGGTTATTTATATAAATAATAAAAATGAGTAGACAAAGGGTAAACTCCAAGTATTTATATTATTCTCATAAATAGGTCACCGACTGTAAACAAATAAATTAGGAAACATAGTAAGGATTCAGATTCAAGTTCTTCAGAAAGAAGGTATGGAAAATTTTGGAAACCTAATGAGGATGCACTCTTGATTGAATTACACTCTAAATATAATGGTAATTGGGGTTTAATTGCAGGAGAAATTATTGGAAGGAACTTAAGTTAATGTTAACAAAGATGGAAGCGCATAAATCCAAATAAGGTAGAATTTTAAATTTGATATATATATAGACTAAATTACGTAAGCAATGGAATGATGAAGAGGATAAACGAGTGATACTATTTGTTTAATAATATGGTCGAAATTGGAAAGTTATAGAAGGATTTATGGAAGGCAGATCAAGTAAATAGATTAGAGAAAGGTTTTTAAATAATTTGGATCCAGAGATTAATCATTAAAAATTTACTCCTTTGGAAGATAAAATAATTTTAGAATAGTATCGAATTTATGGTCCGAAATGGAGTGAAATTGCAAAGATGTTAGATAGAAGACCAGTATTAGTATATTTAAAATATAGGAAAACTAAGTGAAGAATAGATTTTATTCGTTTATTAAGAGAGTTCACATGTTGGAAGAGAAATCGGATGATGATGATGATGGGGATTCTTCGTTTTCTGAATAACCCAATATTCCATAACCAATTCCAATTTATTANAATTGTTCATTCTTATTATTTATTTTATTTATAAATATAATTTATAATCAGATTGTCTATATTTATATATTCAATTTATTTAATATTTCTTGAAATAAAAAACTAAGTTAGTCAAATTATAATTACATTATAAATGTATTAATATCTGTAACAATTGCTCTTCAATTAAATCATTATGTTATTACATAATTATATATATTTTAAGTGCAAAATTAGTTTAGAACTTAATTCAATACTTTTATAATTAGATTATTATTTTTTATTACAATAATACATAGATTAATACAATTATGAATATATAATTGGTTTTATTCTTACGGTTTAGCGAATTTATATGATTAATTTTTGATAATTATTCTGATAAATGTTACATATAAAGATTTAATTCAAAATTCATTTTTGTTGAGGGTTATTTATATAAATAATAAAAATGAGTAGACAAAGGGTAAACTCCAAGTATTTATATTATTCTCATAAATAGGTCACCGACTGTAAACAAATAAATTAGGAAACATAGTAAGGATTCAGATTCAAGTTCTTCAGAAAGAAGGTATGGAAAATTTTGGAAACCTAATGAGGATGCACTCTTGATTGAATTACACTCTAAATATAATGGTAATTGGGGTTTAATTGCAGGAGAAATTATTGGAAGGAACTTAAGTTAATGTTAACAAAGATGGAAGCGCATAAATCCAAATAAGGTAGAATTTTAAATTTGATATATATATAGACTAAATTACGTAAGCAATGGAATGATGAAGAGGATAAACGAGTGATACTATTTGTTTAATAATATGGTCGAAATTGGAAAGTTATAGAAGGATTTATGGAAGGCAGATCAAGTAAATAGATTAGAGAAAGGTTTTTAAATAATTTGGATCCAGAGATTAATCATTAAAAATTTACTCCTTTGGAAGATAAAATAATTTTAGAATAGTATCGAATTTATGGTCCGAAATGGAGTGAAATTGCAAAGATGTTAGATAGAAGACCAGTATTAGTATATTTAAAATATAGGAAAACTAAGTGAAGAATAGATTTTATTCGTTTATTAAGAGAGTTCACATGTTGGAAGAGAAATCGGATGATGATGATGATGGGGATTCTTCGTTTTCTGAATAACCCAATATTCCATAACCAATTCCAATTTATTAACCTTTAGAGACTATTTAATCAATCAAAGAGGAACATGATAATACAAAAAATGATTCAATAAAAAATGATTCATTTATGAATATCCAAAATAGAACACCATCACATAGAATTCAACCATCAATTAATTTAATTTAAGGATTAGATTCTTTTGATTCAAAATAATTTGAAGGTATTCATTCATAAGACATTTCTCCTTTTCATTAAAGAAGAATATTGATGGATTATAGTCCAATAAATTTTGAGTATGCACATCATCATCCTAATTTTGATAATGTTTAGGAGGAAGTGAAAGAATTAAGAAGTTAAATAGAATGTATAAGTTTAGAAAAGATCAATTGAAGTTTTAATTTATTTATTTATTTATTTATTCCTTTTAGCAAAACAAGTATCATAATTTTATCAGATTTAATTTAAATTCATTTACATAAAATAAAATGAAAACTCGCGGGTAGAAGTCAGAACCGCAATATGCATATCATTACAAAAAAGATTAAATATTAGGATAGAGTGAAAAAGGCAAGCCTCTTTTTTATAAGGTAGTAGAGGATATGAAAACTAATGATCATAGATCTTAATTAAGAGTAGTTAAACTTGAATAATAAGAAAAGTTAAAGGATGGTAAAGTAGTTTATAAAGAGGCTGAAGAACTTTTGTTGCCTGTAAAAGAGCGCACGTAAAATATATTATAATTATTTTAGTAAAGTTGTTGATGATGTAGAAGTAAAATCTACAAAACCTAATCCAAGAAGTAAGACAGCTGTTACCTTTTTTACTTTCCCTCAAGACACTCTCTAAGAAATAGCCAAAAGTATGAAATAGGTTCCCGCCAATACAAAACAATAAAAAAAATAAGTCAGCTCTGACAGTGAGGATGAAGAGGAGGAACCACCAAAAAAATACACTATCAAAAAGGGTTAAAAGCAACAAGTAGAAATTTAACCAGAGAAAAAAGTAGTGAAAAGCAAGAAAAGAAAGTAAGAATAAGAAGAGGAAAGTAATGAAAGTGATAAGGATGATGAAGAGGAGAATGAAGAAGAAGAAGAAGAAGTAGTAAAACAACCAAAAAAAGTATCTGTCTAAAAATAAACGAAAAATAAAATTGAAAATATTTAAAATTAAAAAGTTGTTTAAAATTAGAAAAAGAAAAGTGGAAAAAAATAAAATAAAGAAGAGATAGATGAAAGTTAATAAGATGATGATGAAGATGAAGATGAAGATGAAGAAGAAGAAGTAATTGTTAAAGTAGTTAAAAAAAAATAAATTAAAAATACTCCTGCTCCAAAATAATCATAAAAATCTTAAGATGCTTCACTTATTATAAAAGAAACTAGATAAAGAGGTAGAACATAAAAAAAATAAGAGGAAGAAGAAGATGAAGATGAAGAAGCAGAAGAATAATCTGTATCTGTATCTTAATCATTTTCTGTTGATAGTAAAAGAAAGAAAGGAGGTAAAGGTAGTTCAACTAGAAAATCAAGATCTTAACCTACTTAACCAACTAAATTTATAAGAGGAAAGGTAAATCCTAATTACAGAGAATTGAGAAATATAAGTGATCAATATGAAGGACCCAGTTCAAAATTCCATGATTATACTAGCATCGTTATGAATAATAAAGAATTAATTCGGGCTGCCAGAACAGGTAATAAAAAATTATTAGAGGATATATTTGATAATTCTTAAAAAATTAGTTGTCTATATACTAGATGGGGACCTGAAAATGAAATAAATGCTTTAGAATTGATATTTTAAAGATAAGACAAAGCAATGCTCTTGTCATTTATTAAATCTATAGGTAAAATCAAATTGGGAGTGACACCAAGATGTTCATTAAAAGAAGTAAATACAGGTTATAATGATAAATATGCTTATGGAGTTAGAACTAGAAAAGTTGCTATGAGTAGAGGAGGAAGAGAAGGCAATAATGCATTTGTTTATGATTTAAATTAAGATGATACATTTGGTCCTTATTAAGTTGAAAGATTAATGAAAATAGAAACTGATCCTGAACTTTTTGGTTTAATGATAGCATAATTAGGAAATGAGCATTCATATTATGAAATGATTGCAATAGCAGTGAGATGTGGTAATTGGAGAACTGCTGGTTATTTAGTTTAATAGGCTATGGAGAAAGGACATATGTATGGATATAATTAAGTACATGTTGATGTTTTAAATCATACAAGTGCTAGTCGTATTGGAAACATTAAGAAACCATCTGCAACAAAAAAGACAATTGGTATGTATTTAATAACACCCATTCATTGTTCAGCAATTAATCCTAATCATGGTTGTTTATAAAAATTGCTTGATATTTCATAAGAATTTAATATATTAGATGAAATTCATAGAAAACCTGTTCATTATGCTGCAGTTTCATAAACAAATGATTGTTTAAAATATTTATTAGAGAATGGAATTGATGCCAGAGAAGGAGATCGATAAAAGAATACTCCACTTATGCTTGCTGCATAATATGGAAGAACACATAATGTTGAACTTTTAGTTTCTAATAATATTAATGGTAAAAACAAGGAGGGAAATGCTGCAATCCATTTAGCTTGTTTTGGAGGTCATTTGGAAACAGTTAAAATACTTTTATAAAATGGAGCATAAATAAATTAACCAGGTTAATTTAGAATGACACCTTTAATAATTGCAAGTGCATATGGACACTATGATTTGGTTAAGTACTTAATTGATTAAGGGGCTAAAGTGATAAGTAAAGATAAATATGGAAGAACATCATGTGCAATGGCTGCTCGTAATGGAAATGTTAAGATTTTATCCCTTCTTCTTTATCATGGAGCAGAATATAATATGCCTGATTCATCAAAAAATACTCCTCTTCATTATGCTGCTGCTTATGGATTTCCTGAATGTATTGAAGAGTTGATGAAAGCAGGGGCAGACTAAAATTTGCCTAATTCATGGAAATTGACACCATTATCTGTGGCTTTATAGAAGAATCATTTAGGTGTGGTTAAGACTCTATTAAATTATCCAAGTACAGATGTAAATTGTAAGGATGATGAAGGTAGAACATTAATTTCTTCAAGTTTGAGTAGATTTAATGCTGATTCTTTTGAATATATGAAATATTTGATTCTTGAGAAAAATGCAGATGTAAAAATAGCTGATTTATAAGAAAAAACACCTCTTCATTATGCTGTATAGATATCTAGAAAAAATGTTAAATAATATTATTAAAAATGGAATGAGATGATAAAAGCTGAGAAGAGAGATATAAAAAATAATTATGAAAAATTATTAGGAGATTTAATTGAATTATTAATTAATGCAGGTGCAGATGTTAATGTTCCAGATGTTAATGGATAGACTCCATTTATATAAGCTTTAATGAGTTAAAATTTCAAAACAGCAGAACAAATAATGAAATTAGCTTCTCCAAAATTTGATTATGTTGATACAAAAGATAGAAATATTTTACACAAATTAATTGAATGTAAGTTATTTTTAAATCCAAAAGGAAATACTATTTTAGAGAATATTATTAAAACTGTTGATTAATCTTATATAAATTAATATGATGAAAATGGTTGGAATCCATCATTATATTTAATTTCAGAATACACTAAATCTGCTGAATAATAACATGATAAGATTTTCAGTAAGAAGGTTCAATAATTATAAATTAAATTATTTGAATAGAAAGTGTTAGAATTGCCTCCTGAAAAAGATTAAATAGATGAAGAAAAGAAACATGATGAAGAAGTAGATTAAGAAAGAGATATTAGTAAAGCAGTTGATGATGATGATGTTAGTGATTTAGATGCAAGTGAAGATGAGGAGGAAGATGAAGAAGAAGAAATCCCTTATTAAAAAAAGAAGGCAGCATTTAAAAATCCATCTTTTATTCAAACCACAGCTCCAACTAAATAACTTAATATAAGACCATAAACATCTATGCTTAGAAATACTTCTTTATTTTAATAATAATAATTGACTACATCAACTGCAATTGATGAAAATGTTCAAAATCAAAGAACATTTTATTATAATAGTAAACCAATTATTGTTCATTTGACTAAAGAATAAGTAGATGTATTAAGATAAGAAACATTATAAGCTTCATTTTTATTATAAGAGACTGTTCTAAAATTGTTTTAATAATTGATTAATATGGGAGCTAAATCTAATAGTTATGTGATCAAAAGAAAGAAATTTAGAGAACCAGATTAAAATTAATAAGATATTAAAGAAGATCCTTATATAAGTGAAGGTAACTACACAATAGCACATTTTATATTTAGATCTTTTCATAGTGTTTCTTTTCTTTAAGGATTATAAAGAATTACTAATATCTCATTGAAAGAAGCTACTCATAATAATATATATCCAATTCATTTATTTGCTGGTACATGCAATCGATATGCTATATGTGGAAGAGAATAAGAAACTAGTGAAACATTTTTAAAATACATTCTAAATCATATTGATATCAAAGTTAAAGATGGAAATTTAAATACTCCTACAAGTATATTGGCAGCACGTTATTATGAGGATTTGAACTGGTTTATTGAAACCTTATTAGAAAATGGAGGATCTATTGATAACTTAAATAAAAGTAATGAAGTTCCTTTATAAAAATGGGTTAAAGCCAATAATATAAAAGTTGTTGAATTATTTTTGACTAAATTTAAAGCTGATCCAAATTTCAAAGATAAATATAAAAGAACTGCATTACATCATGCTATCAATTCATCTAATTCTTAAGCAGATGCTAGTTTCGAAATGGAATATCTTTTGATTATGAATGGAGCTGATACTAGTGCAATTGACTTTTTATAAAGAACTCCTATATTCTATGCATTCACAAAGATTAACAAATAAAATGATTTTTCTGAAATTGATCCTTTTGAAACAGTCTCATCTATATTAGCAGATAAGAATTGTTCTGTAAATTGCTTAGATTTCTATTAAAGATCTCCTTTACATTATGCTGCTTTAAGAGGAAGTGTTATTTCTGGTAGATATATGATTAAAATGAATGCCATAGTAGATGATGTTGATAAATATGGAAATACTCCTTTAGGTTTAGCCTTTATAAGTGGGCATTCAAATTTCTGCACAATGCTCATAGACAATAAAGCCAATGTAAATCGAGATGCAATTGTTATTAACAGAGAAAAAGTTAAATAAGAAGAGAAACGCTAAAGATAGGAAAGAAGAGATAAAGGAGAAGAAATAGAAACAGAAGATGAAGGGGAATCAAATCCAATAGAAAATGAAACAAATAATAATACATCTGGCTTTGGTGGTGGCATATTTTATGGTAATCGAATTTAACCTTTCTCTACAAAAGTAGCCACCAGAAGTGCATTTGGATAAAATAATTAATTAAATTCATTGACTTAACCAACTAAATTCCCTCCTGGAACTTATTCATATTTTAAATTAGCAATCAAATAAGGATGGTAAGGTGTTGCATATTTATTGATTACTGATGGTTATGATCTTCAACGAGCTATAGAAGATGCAATGATGGAAGATCAATTTAAGTTAGTTAGAACTTTACTCTTGAAAGTTAAAGAAGATTCAGTTGTTTAGAAGTATAATCAAAACCATTAAAATCTATTCCACATTTTTGCAATCAAAGGGAGAAATTGTGGATAAGATATGGCAATTCTAATTGCAGAAGAATTATCCAGAAGGGGAGTTGATAGGATGTCTACTGATAATTAAATGAATACTCCATTACATTATGCATGCAAACATGATTTCCTTTAAATGATTAAATATTTCTTACATAGAAATAGTGATCCTAATGCTTTTAATTCTGATAAGAATACTCCCTTCTCAATTAGACTCCAAAATAATTATAAAGTTTTTTCTGATCCTATAGAATTAGGATTATGGACAAGTAGCAATGCTAATTTAAATATTTAATTTAAAGTTAATAAGAAAGAGTATTCTCTAACACCATTATTATATTTAATCTAGGAATATCATGTAGAAGATGAAATTCTTTTATCTAAATTTACTGATGCTGGTTGTGATATAAATGAGAAAACTGAGAAAGGAGAAACCTCTTTAATTCTAGCTATTAAGAATAACTCTTTGAAATTAGTTAATTTCATTCTACATCATCCTAAATTTAAGAGAGATGCTCATATTTAAGATTTTAATAAAAAATCTCCCATTCATCATGTTGTTTAACCTTTAGAATTTGGTTCATATGAAAATACAGAAATGTTAGAAGTTTTGGGAAAAGTATTTGATGTAAATCTTATTGATAACTTTGGAAAAACTGCTTTAGACTATGCTGTTGATTAAGATTCTGGTGTTATGGCAGGAATTCTTAAGAATTTCTCAGCTGTCAGGAATGTAAAGTCTAAATAACCAAGACTTCCAACTAGTGTGATATCTTAAGCTTAATGGGTGGAAGAAGAGATAGATGTTGAAGCGGATGCTCAAAAGTTTTTAGACTTAAATGGAGAATAATTGGATGATTCAAAGTAAGATTATAAAAATCAAGTTGATTAATTTGCAATCCTAACTGGAAAGCTTGAGATTTTAATAGATAAGGAAATAGGTCCATATTCCTTATTGATGACTAAAGTTGATATTGGTAATGGACAATATTCAGAAAATGTATTTTATAAGATGTAAGTATTGCATGAAATAAATCGAAATGTTTATATTCTATTTACTAGATGGGGTAGAATAGGTACTGGAGGATAACATTAATAAACTCCTTTTGAAAATTCTGAAGAAGCAACTAAAGAATTTAATAAGATCTTTTATACTAAAACAGGTGGAAACGATTGGAGAAAGATTAAAACTGGAGAAGAAGAATTTGTTAAAAGACCTGGTAAATATCAGTTAATGAATGTAAAAAAAATGAAGAATTACAAAACTCTACTTAGTCCTTTCGATTTCAGTAAAAAATCTCCTTATCCACCATGCAAATTGGATAACACTATAAAAAGATTCATTTTATAATTCATCTAAGTCAAATTATATTAAAAGGATTTATAATAATTCCATGTAGATATGGACTTTTTGCCTATTGAAAGACTAGATAGAAAATAATTGGAAGTGGCAAAAGCTATTCTTAATGAATTAACAGATAGTGTTGAAGAATTAAAGTAACTTAGATAAAAAGGAGACTTAGATATTAAAAAAATATCTAATCTATCATCTGAAATAGCTGATAAATCTAGTAGATTTTATGAATTAATCCCAATGATTGAATTAAGAACAGAACCTCTACCTCCACTAGATTCAATTGAAGCTCTTAATCAAAAATTATTACTAATTGAAACTTTGCTCAATTTTGAAATTACTTCAAAAATTCTATTAGGAGCTCATTTGATGAAGTAATCCTTAAATCCCCTTACTTATTGTTTCAATGCTCTTAATGTTAGAGTCATTACTCTCCATCGAGAACATCCAGAATTCAAATTGATAGATTAATATATAAATTAATCAGCAACTCCTAAAATATCTAATATATTTGCTATTGAGAGAAGAGGAGAAGCAGAGAGATTTGAGATCAATAAATAATATAATAGATTATTGCTTTGGCATGGCTCTAAAATTTCCAACTTTATGGGTATATTGGCCTAAGGACTCAAAGGTAAAATAAATTATTTTATTATTAGTTGCACCACCTTGGGCACTCAACACAGGAGCAATGTTTGGAAAGGGAATCTATTTTGCTGATATGTTCTAAAAATCCTTTGCCTACACAGATGATTGGTCACTTCATTATAATACTTATAATGGACTCTTTTAATAAGGTGGACATTGGAATAGATAAGAATAAGTAGTTAAAGATGAATAAGAAGAAATTCAAAGATATAGATATATGTTACTTTGTGAAGTTGCTGTTGGTAAGTCTTAAGAGCTTTACCAAGCAGATTATGTTTAAAATTTACCAAGTATTTTAGATATTTATATTATTAGAACAATATCAATCTGTGAAGGGATGTGGAAGAAGAGGACCTGATTACAAATAATCTGTTGTTCTATCAAATGGATGCAAAGTTCCTGTTGGATAATGCATAGATTATCCAGATCCAAAAAAGAAGGACAAGGATGGTAATCCTATTTAATACTATTTACAACACAATGAATATATAGTATATGATGAAACCAAGGTTAAATTTAGATATATAGTCTAATTGGATACCAAAGATACAATTGATGAATATTGAATTTCTAATTTCCATATCATTTACAATCAATTATTTATTCTAAAAATAAGAAAGAAAATTATTTAAGAATAATGAAATACATCGACAAGTTTACTTTTTTTATTTAAATCAAAAAATAAAAAAAGTTTGTTCATATTCAAATTCTCCTATTAGGAATTAATGCTTTTAATATGCCATCTTATTCTTTTCTTTATTTCTTGCTAACCTTTTAAGTTAATTATAGCAATGAAGGATCAGCGTTGTCTAAAATTAATAATTTTTATATACCTGGTTCATATTTCAAGCAGAAGCAAACCTTCTTAGCGTTAGGACTGTCAGAAGGTGATCCTCCATGAGCCAATTAACTCAAATATTATCCTAAAGCACACATAATGTCAGCAGCATTGGTTGCTGTGATTTCAACAGTTTCTTAACATCTAATTTTATTACTATTACAATTACTTTTCTTCTTATTCTTCTGGTTAATCTGGGGTTTCCTCAGTATCTTCACTTGGAGTTTCTTCCCCTTCTTCTCCTCCTTCTTCTCCTCCAACTTCTTCACTTCCTTCCTCGGCTCCTTCTTCACCCTCAGGTAAGTCAGGTAATGTAGATGTTCCATTTTTGCCTTTTGGAATGTCTCCTGGTACCCAACCCTCTTCTTCTTCACCTGCTTCTTCGCCTTCTGGATTTTAAGGTGGTTCTGTAGTTCCTTCTTCACCTGCTTCTTCGCCTGCTTCTTCACCTTCTGGATTTTAAGGTGGTTCTGTAGTTCCTTCTTCACCTGCTTCACCTTCTTCTTCACAAGCTTCCTCGCCTTCTTCAGGTAAATCTGGAAGTGTTGAAGTTCCATTTTTATTTGATGGAATATCTCCTGGGAATTCGCTTTCTTCCTCTTCTCCTTCAGGTAATCCTTCCTCTTCTGGATTTTCTGCGGGTCGGCTTGGTCGGCTTGGTCTTGTAGGTTTGCTTGGTCTGCTTGGTCTTGTAGGTTTTGAGGGCGTTTCCTCCTCACTTCCCTCCTCCTCAGGTTATGGTCCATCTTCTGGGCTAAATTCTTCCTCTGGTAAGAATCCCTCTTCCTCTCCATCTTCTGGAATATCTCCTGGCCCAGATGTATTATTTTTTTCATCGCCACCGAATGATTCTTCTTCTTCTTCAGCTGGTTCATGAAGTTCCTCTTCAGCTGATGGTGGTGTAGTTTCACCTTCTTCCTCTGGTGCTGGTGGAGTTGTTTCGCCCTCTTCCTCTGCATCTGGTCCTGGTGGAGTTGTTTCACCTTCTTCCTCTGCATCTGGTCCGGATGGTGTTGTTTCACCTTCTTCCTCAGCATCTGGTCCTGGTGGTGTTGTTTCACCTTCTTCCTCTGCATCTGGTCCTGGTGGAGTTGTTTCACCTTCTTCCTCTGCATCTGGTCCTGGTGGAGTTGTTTCACCTTCTTCCTCAGCATCTGGTCCTGGTGGTGTTGTTTCACCTTCTTCCTCAGCATCTGGTCCTGGTGGTGTTGTTTCACCTTCTTCCTCTGCATCTGGTCCTGGTGGAGTTGTTTCACCTTCTTCCTCTGCATCTGGTCCTGGTGGAGTTGTTTCACCTTCTTCCTCAGCATCTGGTCCTGGTGGTGTTGTTTCACCTTCTTCCTCAGCATCTGGTCCTGGTGGTGTTGTTTCACCTTCTTCCTCTGCATCTGGTCCTGGTGGAGTTGTTTCACCTTCTTCCTCTGCATCTGGTCCTGGTGGAGTTGTTTCACCTTCTTCCTCAGCATCTGGTCCTGGTGGTGTTGTTTCACCTTCTTCCTCAGCATCTGGTCCTGGTGGAGTTGTTTCACCTTCTTCCTCTGCATCTGGTCCTGGTGGAGTTGTTTCACCTTCTTCCTCTGCATCTGGTCCTGGTGGAGTTGTTTCACCTTCTTCCTCTGCATCTGGTCCTGGTGGAGTTGTTTCACCTTCTTCCTCAGCATCTGGTCCTGGTGGTGTTGTTTCACCTTCTTCCTCAGCATCTGGTCCTGGTGGAGTTGTTTCACCTTCTTCAGTTTCTGTTTCTTCAGTTTCAGTTTCTTCTGCAGTTGTTTCTTCTTCTTTTTCAGGATCTGGTACTGGGTCATCTGTTGGAGTATCAGGAGTAGTAGGATCTGTAGGTTTGGTTGGTGTTTCTGGTTTATCACATTTTTCATCTGATCCTCCTCCCATAGGAATGTCAATAGTTTGTCCTCCTCCACATCCTCCTTAGATGATATGTAATTCTTTGATTTATCCTTTGATTTTAATGACAGTGACTGGATTTTGATGGCATTATTAATTAATGCTAGATAATTGTCTAATGAGGAAAGTAGCCAATTTGAGAAGAGCATCACAACATTCACTTCTTTCTGACTCATTATCACTGCTTAATCTCTCTAATTGTCTTTCAATTTCATCGCAATGTGCTTATCCAATTTTGCTTGCTGTTTATGGAAGAACTAAAGACTTAATTTTTTTAGTCACAACTTAATTTATTTATTTCAATTGTTATGGAGCAATCTCTAGAAATAAAATAATCTAAAATACTCTTCTTTTATGTTTATTTCTTGACTTAAAGTAAGATGACTTCTAATTATTTCAGAGTGTTAATATCTTTTTAAATGTCATCCTTGTGATCGATGATATCGGCCCATGACTCGAGATTTTGTTCCAACTACACAAACTATTGTTAAGATGTGTTTTAACAATTAACATCCCCTAAATTGAGGTTGTTAATCTCATTTAATGACATCGACAAGAGTGTGCCCTCAGCTTCAAAAGCTTGACATAAAAATAAGAGGTACCTTAGGTCAGTGTCAATGCACAGATTAACAAGACTATGAACTTGACTTAAACCATTTTTAATAATGAAATCGTTTTACTCCTTTATTTTTTTTAGACACAGAAACGGATAGTGTTCTCAATAAAATTTAGAAAAAAAATTTAATAAAAGCTCAAATAATCCTGAACAATCTATGATAGAATAATAACATTTTGTTTGTTGAGAGAAGATCAAATCACTTAAGACTTATGATTGAACTTCTATCAAGTCTGTCTCTAAATTCATAGAAGAGGTAATAGAAATTAATTGAACCATCTTACTTAATGATTTGGTTGATTAATATATGATAGCTAAAATTAATAGAAGTTTAATATTGATCATTTTTTAAAGAAACTTTTTTTTTCAATAAATAAAGACATTTGCTTTTTAAAACAATTCAATATATTTTATCTATGTTAGATATGAACTTCCTTTATTTGATATTCGCAAATTAAAAATATTTCATATACATAAATTAGGAAATCATGATTTTTTAGTTTTTTCTTATTCTGTTGGCGTGTCCGATATTTTTTTTCCATTTTCTTAAATATTATTATTATTATCTGCTTTAGGTGGAGCTTTAAGCAATCCAATTTTTATTAGAAAAGGCTTAATGAAGTCGAATAGTATGACTAATATACCTGCCAATGGCAATAGCAAACAAGGAATGCAAACCATAAAATTTATATTTAATTAATAGTAATTATTAATATACTTTCTCATCGAAATGAAGAATTTCCTATCTTTTTTAAGGCTTAAAATTTTCGAAGTAAAATTTTAGTCTTTTTCCTTTGATTGTAATCAGGATTAATATTGAAAGGTTTAAAGAAGGGAATTGGAGTTCTATTTTTCTGATTACGTTATCCAAATTATTTAAAGACGTAAGGGCTTTCTTCAGTATCAGTCATTCCTACCGTAACACGACTTAATTAGAGTGAGGGTAATTAAGAGTGAAACCTTCTCTTAGTGGATTGTTCTTCAGGATTTATCTCAATAAATTTAAGCAAAGCATTTTCAAATCTGTCAACTCTTCTCATATAATTTATTTATATTATGGATTATAAGAAGTATTTAGAATACAATCAAAATGATTTAATTTATTGAGATATTGTAAGTGGTCATAAAATAATCATGCTTAATTACAAAACATAAAAAGGGGAACCTTTTAAAATTTGCTTAAAGATACCTTTGATATTATTGAGAAATTTAATTTCTTTGTATTGTATTACTCTTCAATAGAATGATTAGTTTAGAAAATATATCAAAATTTTAGAGAATCATGAACATAGAGTAATAATTTAATAATTTTCTATTTTTATTTTTGCTAAAAATGTTAGATCTATAAAAATAATTAATATGATGCTAAAATACATAATCAAAGAAATTTAGCTTACAAATATAGGATAAGATGAAAATTTTGAGAGTTCAAGACATAATTCCACTTATCATAAATTTAAAAAAAAGAATGAATAATTTCTAATATTTTTTACTTTTAAAGTTGATGCCAAACCTTAGAGATTCAAAAAATCATTTTTATTAATAATTTGAATTCATATTAGGTTTTTATACTATAATATTTTCATATCCATCTTTATTATAATAATTAGATTCTTTAAAATATAAGTATAAATTTTTAGAATAAATCTTTTAAATTGAACCTTTAATTGTTTATTTTTTATTTTTATTGATAGATATGTCTCTAAATTATTTCTTTGAAATACTCATCAGTGTATTATTCATATTTATATTTAAAAGCAAGATAAATAAAATAATATTGACTTATTTATTTATTTATTTATTTATTTAATTTAATTTAATTCATAATATAAAATTCAACAATATAGAGAAATTATTCGATTATATAATTCATTAATATAATAATTTGATGTACTCAAAGTATTGTTAAATATTTGGTTGTACAGGCATGGAATTCATTGAAATACCAAGGCATACTAATATTATAAGAACTAGTATAATGATGTAGAATAAGTTCAATAATATACTATAAGTAATCTTACTATTTAAATTAAAACAAAATATTACAGAGTACTATAAATCAAAGAGATGATGAAAGCAAGGGCCATCATCAATGAACTTAAAATTAATGGTCGTATCAATTTTGGAGGTAACTCTCTGATTATTGGAATTGTAATCATTTTCACTTCATTCACAATTGGTATTACTGATAGACTTCTCAAAATTTTGATTGCAATTAAAGGACATTGACTTTCATATTCAGAATCTAAACAAATAAACAAAACGCTGATCATACTTAGACCAAGAAGGCCTAAATAAATAATTAATGTATTCTTTAAAATAGTAATCATTAATATTATTGTTTTTTCTTAATTAGTTAATAGTATAAATAGTATTAAATAGTTTTTAAGTAATGATAAAAGTTAATACTAAGAAAATTTATACTATACTTTTATTAGAATATCAACTCATTATTAATGAATACTTTAATATAAGTATAATATTATTTCATATTTCTATTATCGAAAATGGTGAAATTTGAATAAGATTGCATATAATCATTATTTTATGTATTAGATTATAACATTGAATTAAGAAAATATTTGCAAATCCTAATATATATTATTAATATCAAAAAATGTAATGAAATCTAATTTAAGGAGAAAACTTTAAAAATTATTGTTTTATACTTCAAATTTAAGATTAAATTCAGTTGTATTTAATCTTTTTTAAATATCAAAGCAATTCTTTTGATATAAATATTTTAATATAGAATTTCTTTTTTATATTTTGAGATAAATTCAAATTAAGTTTATTGTTTTTAATAATAATTGTTGAAACTGAATTAATTAAGGTTAAGATGTATAAAGCCATTTAAATAATGAAATACAATATTAAACCTATTTATGATTTGAAATTTAATGTTGTTGAATATTATAAGAACTTAATAATCTATATTAAGATTCATTTATTATAAATTAATGTATATAGAGATTCTTGAATATTTTTCAATTTAATTATAATACTATATAATGAACTTATAGATCATCATACTTTAAGTAGAGATAGGAATTAAGTGAAAGAAATGAAATATTTTGATTTCAAACAAAAGTTATATAAAATAAGAGTAATATTATAACTCTTTTTTTGTAAGTTAAAATTGATGAGTTAATTCTATTTATTATTATTATAATTCTGGCTTTTTTATTATTTCTAAATGATAAACAATATATTTAGAAATATAGAAAATTACTTATTTTAGATATAATATATAATTAACAATTCTTGATTAATTTATGATCTATTTTATTATCATACATAATAAATCATACAATATTATTTTTAGCCAAACATAAGATATGAAATATAATATTAAATTATTTTATACCATAAAAAAATAAAGATTATTAATTATATAAACTATGGGAACTAAATTGAGTATTGACAAACATGTTTCAAATTTAGAAGACATTTTAGAATTAAATATTAAATTAATAGAGAAGGTTAAATTCGATAACAACATTTCGAACTCTATAACCTAGCACTTGAAAGTATAATTATTTCAAAAATGACAGATTTGGAAATTTTATGAAGACAAACTCTATATTAAGAAGGTAAAGTCTGAACCAATAAATCTAAACTAAATATAGACAAATGGATTTAATTTTCTATCAAATGAATGTTATTTAGTAATGTTAGTTTACAAAAAAGCTCATGAAGGTAAAGTGTTATAATTAAGACATAGAGTTTAATCAATTTACGAACTTTCCTCATTAAATGTGGGGACTAGTAGAATCTTATTCAAATTTAACTCCAAGAGGATTAGAAAGTCCAGTAGTAGCATCTGAAAGCTACCTTGAATCTTTTTTATTACCCTAAAGACAACTGAACCCATCAACTTCTAACATTTTTGAGTATATGATATTTGTTTGGAATGGAAAAACAGCAAATCCTTTAATAAAAGCATAGGCATTGTCTAATGCATTTGAATTAGAAAATTTATTAAACAAAGGAAGAGATCCTTTATTAGAGATCCTTTTTAATGGATGTGCAATTAAAAATAAGAATTTATCAAAGGGTTCAATTTTAACATTTTAAAGCACATCTTAAACATAAACCCCAAATATAATAAGTTAAAATTAAATACGATAAACAATATACTTATTCAATTTTTTGTTTCCAATTCCTGAAAAAAAGTAAGATTTCTCAAAATTAGCTAATTTTATAGCAAAAAAGTAAGAGATACCTTAAAATTATGCCTAATAATTTATTTAAATGGATTTGCCTCAATAAATCTCAACAAATTTATAAGACTCATCATAGAAATTATTACTTATTAATGAAGCATAACCTAGGGATTATAATTAAATAAAACCTAGATTTAATTCAAATGAGATTCAAGAATCCATTTCTCCTTCTATATAAAATTCTAATACACATTAAAATATATATAATAAAGGAGATGAGAATAATAGTAATTCTTAATTAATTAACAATTAAATCAATTTACCTAGTTAATTAAGAAATAAAGTTCCTACTTTAAATATACCAAAATTAGATTTAAATTGCAAGACAAACTCTTAAGAAATAAGTGTAGGAGTACCTTTGATTGAAGTAATAGAGAATTCAGAAAATGAAAAAGCTATACCCATGAAATTGCATCTAGATAATTTAAAATTTCAAAGAGATAACACAACATATAAGGATATTGAATAAGAAGAGTCAAATGGATTTAACTTTGATATAAGAGATACAGATAGGAAGAAATTAAAAATATAATACTTTTCTGAATAATGTTCTTCAGTTATTCCAGAGTTTTTGTATGTAGGAGGAGAGCAAATTGCTTATAATAAAGAAATATTGAAATAGATAGGAGTCACACATGTAATTAATTGTGCAGGTGATGTTTGTAAGAATAAATTTCCTAATGATTTTTCATATTAAACATACTATCTAAAAGATTCTAAAACTGAGAATATAGAATGTATATTCTATGAAGCAATATCTATAATTGAAGACGCAAAGAAAAATAATGGAAAGGTGTTAATTCATTGTGTTTAAGGAGTTTCGAGATCTGTATCCTTATGTATAGCTTATCTAATAATATCATAATAAATTACATATTCCTAAGCATTTGATATAATAAAAAAAAATAGAGGAGTGGCATCACCAAATATGGGATTTACAGTCTAATTATTATTATTTTAAAAAAGATTATTAGCTTAGTATGATAGCATACCAATATCTCCAAGGGTTTTTGCAGTTGGAAGAGGTGTATGTGGACATGAAAGTATTGTTTGTAGAATGGTGATGGAATAACTATTTTCAGGAAAGATGTTAAAGACATTCGATAGTAGAGGAGTATTTTTGATATAATCAGAACATGAGATATTTGTATGGGTAGGTCCTGAATGTAAGGAATAAGAAAAGTAAGATATTCATTATATCTAGATTTATTTAATTTGCTTTAGATTATTCAAATTACTTAAAATAATATGAAAAAGCACCTTAAGTTCAACCTATATTGATCAAGGCTAATGATGAAGCATAAGTATTTTGGAATTTATGGGGGATTATTGGAAAGCCAGAGTCTGTTTGTAAATAAATTAGAGAATGGGATGAATGGTATAATGAAGTATAAGAAGATGAATTTAAAAGAGAAAAAGAAGAAAATTAATTATTATATAGTTCTGATAGAAATGATAGAACTGAAGAAGTTTAAATTGAAAAGAAAGTATTTTATCTATATCCTAATTCTAATGAATACTTATAAATTTTTGATTTAGAAGACTTGGATTAATCTTAATTAATTATTCTAATAAAGGAAATTAATAATTAAACTTTATAAATATTTGTATGGAGAGGATAAGAATGGATTGGAAATGATAATGTATAAATTTGTTGTTATTTTAGGAAGAACAAATCTTTGTGCATGAAATTATAAACAAAAACTATTCATTTATTAGTGAGACTAATATATATGTCTTCTAAGAAGTAAATTACTTTTATTAATATTAAAGGAGCCAAATGAAGAAAGTGATGTATTTCTTGATTGTTTTTCATGACTAAAATTTTAATTTATATAATTATTATTATACAATTTTTATGGCTTATATGTACATAAAATATTTATATACCAAAACAAATAGGTTATTGAATAAAATAATCTTATTGTTTTGTTTTGTTACTTATTTCAAAAATTACAAATTTAAATTAAGTAAAGATATTGTTATTCACTCAAATATGATGAAAATTTGACATTTAAGTTTGAATAATTTATAGAAGTATACTATTTTTATGTAATAATAAATGACAAAGATGTTTTAATATAATTCATAAAGAGTAATATGATGTAAATATTCTTTATGACAAATTCTCTCTTTTTATTAATGAATTTAATAAAATTATTAAAAAGTAATATATTTGTTTAAAATACAAAATTAAGTTTATTATAATATATTATTCAATAATTATTTATGTATTAATTAGTATAAACATAATATCAAAATCACTGAGATGTGAATAATCTGAGTAATAATTCAATAAATATTACTAAACTTATTTTAGTACTGGCTTTTAAACAAGAAAACTTTCTAATAATATATATGATATTATTTTACCTTCTTATTACTATTAAAAGAATAGAAATTAAAAGCCTAATTTTAGATCTGTATTATTAGACAATGACTCCACGATTGTATTCCTTTAAATAGTTCATTTTGATATCTTTATTAATCATTTTTTAACACCATTAAGAAATAACTGTCTTCATTTTTGGCCATTCAGAATCATTATGCATTTCATGAAAACCCTATTCGAATATTTTCATGGTTTTTTCTTTGGATTATATTTACATATAAAAATCTACTGAATCTAGATGTGAAGCAATCTTATCTTATTTACCATGTAATATTAAAATTGGAATTTTAAATTAATTAGCATTAGGCAATATGTATTATTAAAATAATAACACATTTAAAGCAAATTGAATACTCATAAAAGGATTTATTAAACGATCTGTTGCTAATTTTCTTATATGATGATTATTTTTAGATGCAAAGGATAAATTATGATAAGTATTAAGTTATAAATCTGGACATATTTTAGCCATCATTTGTAATGTAATCATTTTTATTCTTCCATATCTTGGTGGCACTCTAAATTGAGCACTACTACAAATAAGTCCTTGTATTTCAAATTATGGATTCATCAAACAAAAACTAATTACAATTGCTGCTCCTAAAGCATGACAAAATATGAACAATGGCACAGATTTATCAATTTATTCTAATATGGTTTCAAAATCCATATGCATCTCTTCTATAGTTGATTTACTTCTGATTCCACCTGAAAATCCAAAACCTCTTTAATCATAAAGATGAACTTTAAAATTATTGAGTAAAAAACAATCTGTCAACTAAAAATAGTTAAATATTGTATTACTTATTTGAAATTTCCTGAATGTTCACCAAATCCATGTAAAATAATGACTTAAGCATCAACAAACTATGGAGTGAATTCTTAGTAATATAATTATATTCCATGTGTTTTAGTATTAATGTACTTCCTTATAACCTTAAATATATTCATAATTACATACTTTAGAAGTTTATTGAACTCCTAAAAAATAAGAATTCAATTCCTTCTTAACTTTTTAACTGTCTGATTATAAATCGGTACTGTCAGTCCTTTTTGGTGAATCCATCAATCTCTCTATTGTAATTTAAAAACTCTTTTTATTATTACTTTTTTTCCCATTAAAGCCAAATGTGAGTGATAAAGTATGAGGTATTAAGAGTGATTATGACGCAAGATTAAAGAACGACAATTTAAATTTTATATAATATTACACAAACTATCTGGAGAGTCTAATTTATATGATGTTTATTACTCCTTCTTTATAAAACCTTCAAGAAAGCTTTATATATTATATTTTATAAAAAATTAATTATTTATATTTGACATTTTATTATAATATCAATTTAAATATCATCTCATATCCAGCTTAGTTATTTCAAATCTTTATTAATCTAATTATATTTCATGAATTTATAGATGATTCATCTATAATATATTAATTATATTAAATTGCTTTGTTAAAATCTTTAATTTTAATAAAATCATCTAAAATAACTTATATCTTATAACTTTATTTGATAAAGTACATTAATTTATATAACTTTACTAATCAATTATGATTTGCATAAGAGATAAATATTAACATTATTTTTAATATTATTATCATCTAAATGATATAAGTCTTTAGATATTAGACTCTTTTTTTAATTAATCAGTAAAATATTAGGTATTATAGTTTACATAAACATTTATGATGGATATTAAAAATACATAAAAATTTAATGTATAAACATTTATTGAAATTGCGCTATGCTTATCAACCAAGTATTAAATTTACTCATGTCCAACCTTCAACCCAATATACTCCTATTAAAATGACAGTCAGAGAAGCTATCAACCTTGCTATGGATGAAGAATTGGCACATGATCCAAATGTGTTTTTACTTGGTATATGATTTAATATTAATATAAATCAGGAGAGGAAGTAGGACAATATTAGGGTGCTTACAAAGTATCAAAAGGATTATTCTAAAAATATGGAGGGGATCGAGTTATTGATACACCTATTACTGAGGCAGGATTTACAGGCATAGCTGTAGGTGCAGCACTCTATGGATTGAAACCTATTGTTGAGTTTATGACTTGGAATTTTGCAATGCAAGCTATTGATCATATAATAAACTCTGCAGCTAAGGCACATTATATGAGTGCTGGTGATTAGAAGGCTTCAATAGTCTTTAGAGGAATTAATGGGTAAGATCAAAGATTTATAAGCCTTTAGTGCTACAGCTTATGTTGCAGCCTAACATTCTTAATGTTTTGCTTCATGGTATAGTAATGTGCCTGGATTGGTTGTATTGGCTCCATTTGATTGTGATGATGCTAAATCACTTCTCAAAGCCGCTGTGAGAAATCCAAATCCTGTTGTATTTTTGGAAAATGAAATCTTATATAGTGAGTCATTTGAACTCTCAGCAGAAGCTAGAGATCCTAATTATTTAGCACCTATAGGAAAAGCTAAGATAATGAGATAAGGTGATCACGTCACTATTGTTGCATTTTCAAAAATGGTTTAATACTCTCTAGGAGCAGCAGAGTAATTGTTTAAGGAAGGAATTAATTGTGAAGTTATTAATTTAAGAAGTTTAAGACCATTAGATAGAGAAACAATTCTTGAAAGTGTTAAAAAAACTGGTCGTGTAGTATGTGTAGAAGAGGGATGGCCATAATCTGGTATTTCAGCTGAAATTACAGCACTTATTATGGAAGGAGGTGCATTTAAATATTTAGATGCCCCTATATAAAGAGTGACAGGTGTTGAAATACCAACTCCATATGCTTTTAATTTAGAAGCTATGACATTCCCTAAAACTGAATAAATTGTTGATGCAGTATTAAATGTCTTAAAGGGTGCTCGTTGATTGATTATTAGATATAATAATACATACATATAAATTAATAAATATAGTTTTAAATTGTTCATTAAAAGTTTTTAGGTATTATTATTATTTTTTCTATTAATTATATCTTAAAAATCAATTTATTTAATAATAATTGGATATGTAATATATTGAAATAATATTAATATATATATATTTATAATTTAATCTTTAAAATATTATTAAAAGACAAAAGAATATAAAATAATGTTTTTTTTTTAAAGTTCTAATTATATATTTTTAGATATTGTTTATAGAATTTTTTAATTTTTTGATTGAATAAAATGTAGAAACATCATTTTTAAGAAAAATATTATTCTTATTTTTGAAATTAAAACTCATATTCTGTCATTGTTCTATATATAATAAATGTAAAAAATAGTTTTGATATTTACAATTGTAACATTAAGCTTAGCTATTGATGCTGTAGATGACTTTGATGTTGAATCTTATCTTGGTGATTGGTTTGAGGTTGCTAGTAGTCCTTGGGTTTATACAACATAAGAGAAAAATGGATTTTGTACTAGAGCTAGATATGGTACTTTAGCCAGTGGAGATATTAGTGTTTATAATATCTAAAGATATGGAGCTGGTGATGGACCAATAAGATTTATTGAAGGATATGCAAAAATACCAGATTTGAAATAAAAAGGCAAATTAAAGGTGTTTTTAAATAAAGGAGAAGTAGTTGGAGGAGATTATTGGATAATTGAATTAGGACCAGTTATTAATAAGCAATATTAATGGGCTATAGTTAGTGAACCTGAAATGTTATTAATGTGGGTTTTATCTAGAAATCCTTAATAATATAGAGAGGAATATGAAGATTATGTGAGAGATAGAGTAAGTGCTTTGGGATTTAATGGTGTTTTGAATTAGTATGTTCCTAGATTTTTCGATAAATGTGTGCCATATGATGATTGAATTAACTGATATTTATAGATATATTGATTATTTATGTTTATCAATATCTTCTTGGAGCTGTAATAATCTCATAAAACTCTTCAAATGAGATTTATTCTGGACTCTCTGTTTTTCTGAGGATATGAATATGATGAATCATTTCATGCAATTCATCATCATTCAAAGTTTCTCCTAGTTCTTTAGCTACACGTTTTAAATTTGTGAAATCGATGAATCTAAACTTATGATTAAAATAATAACCCAGTATCTTCAGGATCATAAATTTAGAATAATTTCTATGCTCCTTCTCTTGTTTTATTATTTCCTAATCTATTTGATATAATTTCGACAAAAGTATCAAAATTGATTGAACCTCCAAAGCTAGTATTGATAAATGATGAAGATTACTTTTCTAAGTCTTGAACCATTTGATACACAAATTTATTTCTTGCATCAACACCTAAGTCTTCAAGTACTTTCTTTATTTCATGAGCATCTATTGTACCACTTTTATCATCATCAAACAAATCAAAAGTTTCCTTAAAATCTATTACCATATTATTACTCTTAAATCATTAATTTCTTCAGGAGTCAAATAATTTTCCTTAGGTTTTTAAGGTTTTGCTGCAGGTACACCTTTCTATTATTTATTTTAAGCAGGTGCTTATTCGGCTTATTTATTTGCTCTAGACATATCTATTTAATAATTTTATTTATAAATATACATTCTCAACAATCAAGCCAATATATGATCCTAAAATTTCAGTATTATCATAATAATTCTACTTTTTAGAAATTGGTTCTATTATCAATTTGAGTTTCATTTTCAAATTATGAGAGTAATATTGAAAAATTCATTTATGATACAAAATAAATAATGGATATTAGAATATTTAGATAAAATATATTAATATTGTAAAAAAAATGATGATGTATAATAATAATATATCAATTTGATTTTAGAAAGATCTTTGGAAGATTAAGCCATTCTAAAATATATGAATTTTCAGATAAAAAAAAGTAAAATTATTGATAATCTAATGTTTTCTATTTTTCTTTTTCTTTCTATACTTCATCAATTAAATCTTCATTAAATTGTTTAAATGTTGGCATTGATTTCATAAAAATAAAATCTAATTCTTAAAAAATAAGTTCTTCAACTTCTTCCTTAGTTAGTTGAATCTATGGAAAATTAGGTAATAAACAATTAAGTGTTTCTGTAATCTTTTCTTTTGATATTACCTTATTATAATAGTTAATTTTACATTCTCATTTTTATTATCAATCAACTTAAACAGATATTTTATTTAAGCAGCCTTATTTTAACTTAGAAATGTTGCATATCCAAACAGAAACTCTCTGAAATTTAAAACTCTATCATTATTGAGATCAATTCTTGTGAAAATGAGATTCGTTGTTTCTTGTGATCTTTAAATAAGTGTTAATCAATGTACTTATTCTGAAATCCTCTATGAAATTCATTGAAATCAATAACTCCATCATCTTTGATGAGACTACTGAGATTTTAAAATATTTTATATAAACATTGCACATCTTCTAACTAGATATTAGCTTAATCAGCAAATTCCTATAATTCATAGGTTGTAAGTAAATATTATTTTGATTTTGTAATTCCCATTAATAATTATAATTATTTTACTAAATGGAAGCAGATCATTTTTATAAAGATCATTATCATTATTGAAAAATAAGTTAGCAAGATTTCTTTGTTTAAATTACACTTTTATGAGACATTTTAGGTTCTTTGTTCTTAAACAATAAGATAAGATTTAAAAATATAAATAATATAATCAAATGGATAGACTGTTGAATTATAATTATGTGATATTTTAGTTTAAGAAAATATAATATACTGTAAGTAAATTAAATGTTAGAAATGCATAAGGTATTTCAATAAAATGATGGTATTGTTTATTAATTTATAACATAAAATATTCTAATTCTTAAGAGGACACTTAAATATTGAAGAGTATCATTGAGGAAAATAGTGATTAAAATGGTATTCCATTAATTAAAAATAAGTAAGATTTAGTGATTAATGAGGAATAGACTAATTATTATCAGAGTTTATTAGGTTTTGTAAACTCAAATAAATTTTTCTCTTTTATTCAAAGAAGTGTTAAAGAAGGTAACAGGATTAAATGTAGAGAAGTGAGTTAGGTATATAGTAACTATTCACAGATTTAATTTAAAAAATCATTGATAAAGGATTATATGTTAATCAACAGAAGAATATTAAATAATGTACTATTAAATAATGTTCAAAGTTAATAGAATCTATAATAGAAAAAAGATAAGTCTTGATGTTGAATGAATATTAATAAATATAATATATAATTTATATTTTACATTCTCTTTTTAAAAAGATTAAAAGGATTTTTAAATAATAAAAAAAATTTGTTTTATTAAAGATGGTATATATAGCATTCATTTTCTTTCTAGGTACTAGCAAAGTTCGTTGAAGTTGGAAGAGTTGTTAAAATCAATTATGGTCCTTAAGAAGGCAGATTGGCAACAATTGTTGAAATCCTTAATGATAAAAGAGTCTTAATCGATGGACCAACCACTGGAGTTTAGAGATAAGTCATTCCAATTAGAAGATTGACACTTACCAAATTCAATCTTAAAGGTGCAACAAGAGGAGCCAGAACTGGTGTCATTACCAAGGCAATTAAAAAATCTGATCCATTTGCACAATATGCTCAAACTGTTGCTGCCAAGAAGGTTGCTAAGAAAGCACTTAGAGCTAAATTAAACGATTTTGACAGATTCAGAGTCATGATTCTTAGAAAGAGAGTAATGCTATCAATAAATCATTATTTTAGAGAAGTGCCCTCCTAAGCACCTAACTCAAATCTTTGAAAAAGAACACTGGTGGAAAGGCTTAAGCTTAAGCTAAAGGAGGAAATAAGAAAAAATGATCAGCTTATTATAAAATAAGTATATTAATATATTTGAATTACAATAACCTGCATATATATATTATCATCTAATATGGTTTATCTATTTTAATTCTTATCAAAAATTATACAAAATATAATATTTATTTCATTAAATTAGAAAACCATATCATTTTTTATATTGAATCAAAGTGAATTTTCATTTTTGTTACAATTATTGTCACTTTTAATTAAAATATGAAATTGAGTTCATAAATTTATTTAAAGTCTTAATCTTATACAATTTTTATAACAAATAATTCTATTTATGAATAATATTAATTTATAATAAATACTTTCTTAATCAATAGAAAAATGAACTTACAACTATATATCTTATATATGTTTTTCTCTTATTAAACAAATAAGTCTCCATATTTAAAATTGAACAATTTTTAATTAAATAATGCTTGAATAATAATTAATACTCCAATGATTAACAACTATTTTAAAAACCACAATTCAACTATTATCCTCACAAATACATTTATAGATATCAAAAATACTTTAGATGTCTGTAATATCTCCATAGTTTAACAACATTATAATCACCTTTTAGTATTTTGATCTATATAGATAAATTCTATAGTCAGCTAATAGTTATTATTTATAATTATAATTACAAATTAATTTAATTGATATTGCAGATATTGTGGCAAAGTTAATTTCAAAACCCAGATTAACAAATGGCCAAAAATTAAAGGATTTTGATATTATTATTTGACTGCCATTTTTTATAGTTTTTCTATTTTAAACTTTAATTATTTTTAAGGCCTATATATATCTAACAAAAATTGAAAATAAGTATACCTTTATTTTTTGATGTAAAAGAATATAAGATAAGGGAGAACTATATTCTTTATACCTATATATAATTATTAAAAATAGGAATAATTTCGATATGTAAATCAACAGAAATTACAATATAATCATAATGTATCTCGATCATATTTTGCCAATTAAAACCTATAAATATATGCACACTTAGTATCATCTTAAGGATTAGGAATATGAAGATTAAGACATTGATAATATTATAATTCAGAATTTCTAATATTAGCAAATGAATACTATTAAAATATAATTAAAATTAATGGCAGAAGAATTTGATGATGATTAATTTGATGGATATGTTTCTACAAACATCAAAAATAGATATGACTATTTTAATGATATACAACCAGAATAAGAGTAAACTTAAATACAGAATGCTTCATTATTTACTGTTACTTAAATTCCATAATATACTTCACAAAACACTCCACAAATCTCAGATATATCTATTTTATATTAAAATCAACCCTTAAATCAATAATCCCTTTTCAATTCAAATCCCCCTTTGTAACCCAATTTTACAAATTAAAACGATAATCACCATAGCCCCATTTTTCACATGCCTTAAGATAATAATTCCATCTAACTAGAATCCTTAAATTTAAATGGCCATTCAAATTTTGCATAATAATCATAATAATAATCTTAAGCTTATGAAGATGAAGAATTTTAAGAAGGGGAATTTATAGAAGAACAAAAACCTGTTCAAATATAATAAACATCATTATTGGTAGATCAACCCTAAGTCTTAAGCATAAATAAAAACGAATAACATTTAATTTGTACAAATATAGAACAAAAAGATTAATTAATCAATTTTGAAATCTCTAAAAATGGAAATATGTTACCACTTAAATAATAAAATTAAAATAATACAACTATTTAATAAGAAACTAAAATATAATTAACTTCAATTTATGATGCATTTCCATCTGATCTAAATGAAACACCAACATAATTATAACCATCTCCTTTATTATAAATTTCAGAATTGAAATAAGAAGCATAAAATGATTCAAAATATAATAATAATGTAAATTTAATAGAAATGTATTAAAATTCTAATATTTAACCAATTAATGATTAATAAGAAAATTAAAAAGTTGAATCAAATACTCCTATATAAAAATAAGATTTATTAAATTTGATTGATTTTAATACAGATTCAAATCCTATTAAAAGTGAATAAAATTATGAATAATAATCTGAAACTTTGTTTTAATTTTCAGATGAGAAATAATAATAATAATAATTACATATTTAATAAGATGTTTAATAAATTTAAAATGATTTATTATCATTAAATAATGATTTTACCTAAGGTACATTTTAATCTTAATAATAAAATTATCATAATTTAATAAGAAATGGAAACCTTGAAAATGAGGAATTATAAGAGGAATCAAAAACTCCAATCTAAGAGATTCAAAATATTTAATTATAATCTAATCAGATACCTCTATAAAGTACATAATTAGATATTAAGAATGATAATGAAGAATTTGATGAATTTGTAGAAGGTGAAGAAATAGAAAGTCCATTCGAAAATAATTTATAAAGTTAAAACATATAAATTGATTCTACTATCATAAATTAATAACATTAAGTAGTAGTATAAAATCCATAAATTAATCCATAAATTTAAAATATTTAATAATAATTTAGTTCATTAAGTTCATAATAATAAGAAAAATCATTTTAAGATAATAATTTATCTTAACTTAATAATATCTAATTAACACCAGAAATAAAGATAAAATAAGGTCCATTAAAAGCAGAACCTATCTAAAAGAGAAATTGGAGAAATTAAATAGACGATATAGTTGGATTTGATGCAGAATGTATGGATAGTTTTATTGAAGAATTAAGTGATTTAAAATTAAATTTGTATAAAGCTTAGGTTTTAGAATATGCTTAATTGGCTAAGGATATTTAAGCTTTGAGAAAGAAAAAGTAGATTCATGTTGATAAAGAAGAGTATGAAGAAGCAACAGTTATTAGAGATACATTAAGAGCAAAAGAGCCTATAGCAATGGTTTTGAAAAAGAAAATATTATCTATTGCTAAAGTCATTGATTTAATGGATTAATAAGATTTGGATTATCATATAAAGAAATATATTTTTGATCATGAAAATTAAATACCAGAAAATCCATCAATAGAAATGCTTTTACCAAAGATTTAGATAATAGAAGAGTTTGTAAGTAAATTAAAAAAAGAATTAAAAAAATCAGAATCTGTTTTGTCAATAATAAAATTATAAGGACAGTTAGAAAAAGTTAGATATGAAAAGAAATATCAAAATTTCATTTTGGGATTGAGAAAGATTATAGGAATGAGTCATAGATTTTCTTAATTAAATGATATTGTTTAATCTGTAAATGATAGATTAAGTGATTTAAAAATAGATGTATAAATTTATTTTTAATTTTGAATAGAAAGAAGTGAATAAATTAGATTATGAATTCATTTTTGAAAATACATTGATACCCTATTTGAAAGGATAGTAATAATAATAGAATTATTGTAATTATTGTTTCCAATCAAAATCAGATTTGATTGAATATAAAGGTAAGTTATACGATGTTTGTTGTTTGAATTTTTATTATAATATTAATTGAATATTAATATCAACTAATTAATTTATTTTTATCTTCATATATATTGAAATCTTAAACAAAATTATTTTTAATTAATCATTATTATAGTTATTCCAATAAATTTGATACATTTTATTTTTTGTTTGTAATAATACATGTTTGAGTTGAACAGATATTTTGATAATCCTATAAATTTTGAGGTTATAAGTTAATGAATGAAGAAAAATGCTTGAATATAACATTTACTATATTAGTGGTTGTATATGAATCTCTTCTTCCACGTCAGTAATATAGATATTCTCTTAATTCCTTTAATATATCATCTAAGTTAAAATTATATGCAATTAGAAATAATAATTATTGTTTAAATAATTTAATTTTGATGGCTTCATTATTATTTTTAATGTATAACATGAATGTATGAGTGTCACTTCTAAGATATTCATATTGTTGAACAATCTTTATTTAGAATTTTGATAATTCATTCAAAATATTCGCCTGTCTCTATAAATTATACTCTTTCAATCAACTTAATAATTTTCTTTGATAATTCTTTTCTTTTCTCCTCTACCAAATATCTCATTAAGTTTATAAATCACATCATTTTTATATATCATTTTATACAGTTGCTTTATAACAAACTTTGACTCATAAAAAAAATGTCTTTTTTCTGACATAGAAATCTATATTAGAAAGTACTACTTTGATTGTAGATACTAAATAATCTATAGCACTATTAGATTACAAAGAGCAAAAATGTTTAAATAACAATCCTCCACTTTTGAGATTATCATGTTAGAAATGCTTATAAAAAGATAGTTATTGCCATGTAGATTAAATCCTTGTTTTATTAGACATAGATAATAAGATGTAAATTAAATTATTATTTGTTTTTACAATGTCATTAATATAAGAAGCCATGTACATTTAAGGGAATATATTAGAAACATCAATTCTAATATAATTGATAGCATAATACTTAATTTTATTTAGACTATAAATGCCTGTTTTTCAATTTTTCCATCATCTCTTTAATTCTTTTAAGTATTTTTGATTTATCTATATGGATTAAATAATTGTAAATTTTTAATTTATTTACTTGTCTCTTACAATTACTTCATAATACTATTAATATGTTTGTATAATTGCAATAGGATATTAAGGATGTATTATTAAATTAATAAATATAAGTATTTAATTGTATAATATTTGCATCATCATTTTGTCAAAATTATAAAATTTCAATTTAAGTATGAAATGAAGTAGAATGGAGAAAGAACCATTGAAAGGACAAATTAGAAAAGTGTTAAAAATTCTATAGTATAGAAATTATTAGAGTATATAAAATTTAAAACGGATTTATAAGTGAATAATTAATAATAAAGGGGAAAATAGCAAAGATGAGACAGGTGTTTATCATACTGATTTTAGCATCTATATGTTTTGCCCAATCACAACTGAGAGGACGCCAATAATTTGGTATAGCTGCAATTGATATGAGTAGAGAAATAGGATGTTAGCTTAGATGAATATTCATTCATGCAATTTCACTATCACACACCTCCAATGGATTTAATGATGGTGAATCACGAACTCGAGATTTAGAGAATGATGGGAGTACCAGGAGTTGTGATGATGAATTATGTTATAGAGGAATCTCCATACAATCCCATATCATGGTGAAAATATTATTAAAATATATAAATCCATCATTGTCTTACTGCAATTTCATATTATTCCTATCATATGGGTAGAAATGAATTTGATTATGAAGACTTAAAACAAAAAGACATTATCTATTTAATTAGTGCAAGTATTTATTTTGTAATAAACTTCATTCCAGTGATTCCGGCTGGAAATGAAGATGCAAATAACCATCCTAAAGATATCATCTAAATTTAATAAGTATTAAAATACCTAAGCAATTGAAAACATTAACACTAGAATGTAATTCTTATGGATTAGACTAAAATAAACTGTTGCCATTAACATAATCACATAAATATTTGTATAGATGAATTTTTCCTTATTACAAAACATCTTCATAAAGTTAGTTCCTCCTTTGATTATAAATAATGAAATCCATAAACTTAATGATCTATATTATATTTAAATACACATCTTACCCTAAACTAAATAAGCCTCCAAATTTAGCTGGAAACACCATGATCAAAGGTAAAAATGTGAATGCTATAAACATGAAACACAATCCCAATCCAAAAAATATTGCAAAATTCTTCCAATTCATTGCTGCTTATTATACATCTTACACTTTTGTTACAACATTTTCTTTATTATATTATTTAATCATACATGGCTTTAGAAATCTAAAAGATTAAGAAAATTTAGACACAAATCCTGATTTCTCTTGAGGATCAGATGGTTATTCAATATCGTTGCTTTAATTCCAAAATTAAATATATTTCATTATTTTATTTTAAACTCTCTAAACTTCTATAATGTCAATCCATTCAAAGGTGATTTTATTAAGTAAATATTTTATTTATATCGAGAGTTATGCATTGATTATTCTCTTTTCGACATTGGACTTTCTTTTTGTCTCTTTTCAAATGCATCCAAATTTGGTGCTGAATTCCTAATTAATGTAGAAGATGAACAAATTATCAGTTAAGTCTATTCGATAAGATTATTTAGATTGTTTATTTTTCTAATGTAATCTTTCATTTAAGGTTTTCTTATTAATGGTAATTGATTCATTGAGTTTTATGAAATAATCTTTCGAGACACTTATTTACATTAAATTTCTAAAACACTTGATTTTGGCTCAGGACTAAACTCCATTTTCTCTTCTCTTTCTTTTTCTGATTATAAAGTTCTTAAACTAAGGCATACTTTTGCAGATTTAGCCACTTAATTAAAAATTCCTCTTAATTTCTACCCATTTCTTATGAAAGTTTATTGATGTTCTTCTTCTTCTTCATTAACTTTTGAAATAAGAATATCATGAAATTTTCTAATTTTTCTTCCAACCATACCACATTCACTACAACCACAACTTAATCTCCTTATTTTATACTCTAACTCAGGAAATTTATAATTTTTTTATCTACTTCTCTAATGTTATCTATTCTTTTTAATAGGAGAACTTCTTCCATTAATAAATCCAAATTCCATTAATGTCCTTTATGTATTAAGTTATCTTGCAGTTGAAATAACTTATTGAGTATCGATGTTTTGTTCTGATTTTTGATAGCATGTATATTATAAAAGTTTCATAAATCCATCTAAACTTTTTGCTATATTAAATAGAATTCTATGATACATCGAAATACTTGAGAAGTTTTCATGTAATTCCTGATATTTTTTTGCTTATTACTTTGCTTAGGTACTTCAATTTTATGAGATTTGATTATATTTATAGACATTACAAAATAAATAAGATTAAGAAATTTTTATAGTCAAATGTACTAGTTAATTCTAAATTGTTCTGATTCATTAAAGAATTAAGAAACAGTAATTTAATATTTGGAATGGTTTAGATATGTAAATATCAAATAAATGCTGATAATTTAATTTAAGTGAATCTTAAATAAATTTATATTAATAAATATATATATATATAATTTATTAGATAGCATTCATTTTTTTGAACTTTTATCTCCTTTCTCTTCTTTTTTTCTATCATGTTTTGTTCCCTTAATTTATTTATTTTATTTTGCTAATTATGCTTTAGTTTTTGATTTGTAAATTTATAAAACATCTTCATCTGCTAATACATGATTTAAACCAACTTTTTATGGATTAAATCTAAATAAATTAAAAATATTACTTGCAACTTCTTCCCCATACAATTGCAAACTTAAATTCATCAACTAATTCTCTATGAATTTATGCACAAACACTTCTAATCATCAAACCATTTCTATCATTACTAAGTACAATAGGATCTCCAAAATCTGGTTATTATCCTCTCTTTTTTGTATAGACTCTAACTAAATCTAATTTTTCCCACATGCATTCTAATAAGTAATCCAAATTTAATTTTAAATTACAAGATATTACACAATGATCTTTTCTTCTAGCAATTTCATCTACTTCTTCAATAGATATCTTATCAATTTTATTAAAAACATAAAGACATTTCACATATTTTCTATTACCTTCAATCATATCAATTAAATCATCTACTGTAATATCTTCTCTAATCAATATATCAACATTATGGATTTTATATTCTTACATAATGTTCTTAATTAACTTTTCATCTACTTTTGTCAATTTAATTGTTGATGTAATACGAACCCTAAAATAATAATAATCAATAAATACATTCCTGATTTATTTGGTGTAATTGTTACATCTGGTTTCTTTCTATTAAGTCTAATACCCATTTTATCTAATTCCAAAGTAAGCTTTCTTCTTTAATCCTCAGCTTTATCTGCTTCTAAAACCATTAAAACAAGATCACAAGCTTTAGCTACTGCAATAACTTATCTTCCTCTTCCTCTACCTTCAGAAGCACCTTCAATAATTCCTGGAAGATCAAGCAATTAGATTTTAGCATCTTTATAATCAATTACTCCTGGAATGCATGTTAATGTTGTGAATTCATATGCAGCCACAAGTGATTAAGTTTTTGTTAAAGTTGAAAGAATAGTGGACTTAATAATATAGATGATGTTAATACCTTTCCAACAGATGGGAATCCAATCATACAAACTCTTGCATTACCAAACTTTTAAACTTCAAATCCTTCACCTTTAGGACCAGATTTAGGTGGCTCTAATAATTGAGTTCTATATTTGGCTAATTTAGCCTTCAATTAACCCATATGGTACTCAGTTGCCTTATTCTTTTGAGTTCTGGCCATTTCTTCTTCAATTTCCTTGATTTTCTCAATGAGCCCCATAATTATTTTTATTAGTAAAAAAATCAAATTTATTTTTTTTATTGAGTAATATGAACCAATATTACATTTTAGTCAAAATAGGTGAAGGTACTTTCTCAGAAGTTTTAAAAGCAAAATCAATGATAACTGGATAATTGGTTGCTATCAAATGCATGAAAAATAGATTTGAAAGTGTGGTAAATTGTTATTTAAATATTATTATTAGGATTAAGTAAAAAACCTAAAAGAAATCTAAGCTTTACATTAATTATAGTAACATCCTAATATAGTAAAATTACATGAAGTTCTCTATGATGAACCAAGTGGTAGATTAGCATTAGTATGTGAATTAATGGAAATGAATCTTTATGACTGCATAAAGAATAGAACTTCTTATTTGAGCATGGCCAAAGTTAAAAAATATATGCATCAGGTATTAAAAGCTTTAGATTATATGCATAAACGCAACTTCTTTCATAGAGATATTAAACCAGAAAACATTTTGATAAAAAATGATAATGTTAAAGTAGCTGATTTAGGAAGTTGTAAAGGTATACATTCTACACATCCATATACTGAATATATAAGTACAAGATGGTATAGAGCACCAGAATGTTTAATGACAGATGGTTATTATGATTAAAAAATGGATCTATGGGGAGTTGGATGTGTAATGTTTGAAATTATTGCATTGTTACCTCTATTTCAAGGGGAAAATGAATTAGATTAAATTAATAAAATCTTCAAAATCTTAGGTACTCCTGAACCTGAACTATTAAATAGATTCAAATCTTAAGCTTCTCATATGGAATTTAATTTTAAACCATAAAAAGGTATAGGATTGGAAAGATTAGTACCTCCACATGCTGGATCAGATTGTATAGATTTACTTTATAAATTATTATAACTTGATCCAGTTAAAAGAATTAATGCAGAAGAAGCACTTAGACATGAATTTTTTGAAGAATTTTGGGATGCTCCAATGTCTTAATCAAGTGATAGTACTTAATTTGGAAAGGCCATTACAATTACAAAACCAAAGAAGAGATTGAATAAGGGTATTTATCCAGGTACAATAAAATTGGAAGTTAAGTTGGAGGGTAAATTGAATTAATCTGATGATGAGAATGAAAAAGTAAGAGATGGAAGTTTGCATTCTAAATTACCCCCTATTACTAAACCATACATGAAACCTAAAGTAAAAAATCCTTATGTTAAGAAAAAACTTTATGATGATTATATTATAGTTGGGAAAAAAGCTTTAAATTGATTTACTTAAGTAAAATAAAAATTACACAATTATAGATATAATATCATAATAAATTAAGTTTTTGCAATATTGCCATTAAATTTGTTTAAGAGACATCAAATATCTCTAAAAAACTATTAACAAGAGATTCTTAACAGAATATTCTAATGTCACTATAGTTTCTGGTTATCAACTTATTTTTGTGATATAATAACATAGCTAATATCAATTTGTGTATGATTTCTTCGCCTTCAATTAGGAAAAGATCAAGTATCATGCCTGAAAATCTCCAAGGGATATTGTACATCAATAATGTCATATAGAATCGAGAAAAGAAAGGAAAAAAATCAGTCTAAATACAAATTCATCTTTACAATCCCTTCATCATAGAAATGTTTATGTAATTCAGGTATCTTTTTTTTCATCATTTATTCAAGCACATCTATCTTAAGTCTTAAACCTTCTAATCCCTCCAAAAATACTACTCTCCAATTTTGATCCTTCATTATATATAAAAAAATAAAGAACACTGTTTCATCTCTTTCCTCATCCATTACTTCAAAATCATTTAATTATTAATCATTAACACTTAAATCATAACAAACTAATAGATTTGCTACTATGATATTCAATCCTTAAACATAACCTAATTCTTTATCATAATTCGCATATGCAATTAAAATATTTCTTAATGATTATTAATTTTCATACTATTCTATATTAAAACTAATACTTATTTAAACATATCATGAATAATAGTTCTAACAACATCCTTTTCAATCTAAATCTTATGTAGAGTGTCTGACTTTTTCAATTTTTAATAACTCTGATTTTTTAGTTCCTTCTTGTTCTATTCTTGATTACTGACAAAAATCCACCATTGTCTTCGTCTACAACTAATTCTATCGTTTACATGTCATATTCCATCGTCTATAACACAATTGATTAATGTATTTATTAAACCTTATATCCTGAGAATGATTTATTTTTTAGGATAATTTACCAATCATTCTTCTCTAGAATTTTATTATCCTTAGACACTTATTCAATGAATATAATATCATTTATCTCAATAGTATTATAAATGTACTAATCATCCTTTGAGATCTTGTAGTAATCCTAACATTCAAATACTCAAATACTTTTATTATGTTGATTTTCATTTTACTATTAGCACTTACTGATCTCTATTTACACTTTAAATTTGGACTTGGTTATTGAATTATTTCTTGTTATCCTTCCTAAATCTGAGGAGGTTTCCTGATATGATAATCAATTCTTGTTTTTATGAATGAGTACGATTTTGTTAACCACATTAAATATATATAATATATTATTTCTTCTTTTAATTTTTATCAAAATCTTTCACTCTTAATCCTATTATCAAACTCGATATCTCTAAACATTATGAGGACTCTTATTTCATATGGATTGAACATACAATTGAATCTTCAAATAATCCTACTAAGTAAACTTAAACCTCATATCAAAATATATTAACAATTAACACGAAAGAACTCAAAAAATATTTGTTCTCTTTAGCAATCATAAGAGAACTATCTAACAAATCTTTAATTTTCTAATTTACCATTTATTATTTTTCAGGATTTCTCTAAAAGAAATTGTTCCTAGCCTAAATTTTTACTTTAACAGTTAGAGTAGTTATTGTAGAAACTTTAGCCAAAAGCTCAGTTGATTTTCTTATTACCAGCAGTATTTTTTAAAGTTTATACAATTCTTGCCATTATTATAATCAAATATATTACTAAATATTTTATGCACATTGATTATTTTTAAGATTTTATTGTAATTTAAAGAAAGTCTAAAAACTGTTGTAGTAACAAAATTAATAAAATCTACTTAAATCTAAGAACATTTGATATGAATCATTATTTCAGATTAAAATCTCACCACCAAAAAATTAAGCGACCATTTTGATCTAAGTCCCTTCTTTGGTTCAAAAAGGCTTCTTTTTGTATCCTGATAGTATCAGCTATAGTATTTTTATAAACAATTTTCTGATAAGTTTTGATGAAAAATTCAAATCACTTAGTCTTGATTGAATTTTAATTAATAGATCAAATCTATCTAATATAAACTTTGAGGGCCAATTTAAATATTAAAAATATAAATTATAACCCAATCTGCCTATTATAAGTATGAATATTTATAGTTTTATATATTTTTCTCTTCATTCATTTAAATATTCTAAGTAAGTAATAATTAAATCAAAAGACTTCAAAATTTCTAATTAATTAAAATTGATATTATATATGAATATCTTATAAAATTGAATTTATTATTTATTCCAACAATACTATTTTTCGATAAAGGCTAATTAATTTTTCAACTTTACACAACTATGTCATAGTTCTATTAATCAAATATTTTTACATAACTTCAAAGCAAAATCTAATGAAATCTTTAGTTCTATTTATAAACATGGATCATAAGTTTTCCAACCAATCAGAAAAATATATAAGTTATAATATATACATATTAATTATTCTATTAAAAATAAAATAATTTATAAAAACTATTATATTGATAATAATTAAATATCACTTAAAGAAAGTAGAAGATGAGATATTATTGATTGATTATATCATTTTATGTTAATAAGCAATTATTAGAATTAATCATTTTATGTTAATAAGCAATTATTAGAATTAATATAATCTTATAATAGAAATTTTATTATCTATTTTCATATATTTAATTATAATATTCTTAGAATATGTAAGATAAACCATAAGAATTAGTGACATGTAAATTCTGTAAGGAAAGTTTTCCTCTTATTTTTATGTACGGACATAGAACTGAATGCAATTTTGAAAATCATCCTAATTACTAATCTACACTATAAAATAATGAAACACAATTCTAATAAATAAAAGAGGAAATTTAAAATGATTCATAGAATAAACAAGAAATAAATAACCATTAATTTAGTTAAGAATAGAATGTCCAAAATACATATTAACAAGAATCTCTTTTATAAGATTTTTCTAAATAATAATAAACAGAAATAGGTTCATAAGCATTAAAATAATAAAAGAATTTACTAGATTTATAAACAGAGTCTATTTTACTTCAAACTACAAAGAAATGTGAATATTGCAATGAAATTTTTCCTAAAGAATAGATTGATGATCATTATACTAATTGTCAAATCTATTTAATGATTGAATAACTTTAAATAGAAGAAACTCAAAATAAATTTGATTCAAATGAAAATTACATTGATAAGAAAATAATGATTGAATAATAAAAGGAGACTGAAAATTTTTCAACAATAATTCATGAAGAATTACAAAATGATGGGAAAATACTCCAAAAAATAATTACTATAGATCCCCTTACTAATAAAACCTATGAAAATATATTTTTACTTGATTCTAATGATGGCAAATAGTTATAGCATATATCCAAATAAACAATAGTAACAAATGATAATTAAACCTTTTAATAAAGTTTTTAGAGTTTTATTAACAAGGATTTCATTGATCTTGAAGAATTAGAAAGAAATAATCAATAAAAGTAATGTATTTATTAAAAATAAGACGACTAATTAAAAAAAATAGAATTTAAAATATGGGGAAAATTAAATTTTGTGATTCTAATTAGCTTGAATAGGAATTTAGATAATGTGGGATTTGTTTTATGAGTTATTTAAAAGGAGAAGAATTGGTTTTGCTGCCTTGTATACATAGATTTCATAATAAATGCATAAGTTAGTGGTTGATGGACTAATCCACTTGTCCAATTTGTAAAATAAATGTAGAATAATCAAAAACTTGAAAATTTGAATTATTCTATAAAACATCATTATAAATTTATTGTAATTTAATTTATCTTTCATTAATTGAGTTTTATTTTTGATGGAAATAATGATTTCTAACAATTGTAGCATTTGGTACTTTTTATAATTTATTTATGTAAACATTTTGTATGACATTTTATTAGGCAACATTCCAAATTATATATATTTTATTCTTCTCGAAAATAATCTTTACAAAAGTAACAATATTTTTGATCAAAAGTTTTTCTAAATTTCAAACGTTTAAAGTAACCTTAATCCATTAATTTTCTGCCTTGTGTTATAATATTTTTGTGATTCTAATAAAGTTAGAGATATTCTGAAATTATTTATTAACTTTTCATTTAAATAGATTCTCTATTACTTTTATTTTCATTTTTACATTATATGTTTTATTGCTAATATTCTTAAATTATATTCAAATAATTTTAATATGAAGAACAATTCATTTGATGTAAAGACATGTCCTAAGTATTAAAATAGCAATTGCAATGATCACATTTGGTTAAATTATTAAATTAATTATATTGATTATTATTTTTTAAGTTCTAAGGTTTTTCCTAAAAAGACCATTAATTTGAATTTTATTTAGGTTATTCCTAACAGATCTAATAATTTATTTATTATATAAATTATTCCTAATAGGCCTATAAATTTGCGTATTATTTCGGATATTCTTAATAAAGCTATTGATTAGTTTATTATCTATATTATTATTATTATTATTATTATTATTATTATTATTATTATTATTATTATTATTATTATTATTATTATTATTATTATTATTATTATTATTATTATTATTATTATTATTATTATTATTATTATTATTATTATTATTATTATTATTATTATGGCTATTGATCAAAATATTTTTATTAATTACTCTAATACTTAGGCTGTTCATATTTGATTTATAAATTTACATCTTATTAAAATTTTTCCTATTAAGGTTATTGATTAGAATATTATAAAGGTTATTCCGAAATATCTTTTTAAGATTCATCTTTAGGTAATGGTTTAACATCTAAAATTGTTACTTTACCCTTAAATTTTTCAGGGATAGAGTAATTAATTATAGGATTATTGACTGCTTGATTATGTTTATCATTTTAATTCTAGATATTTTACAGCATCTCTTACTTATTATGACTCTTAGAATTGAATAACTTATGGCTCATAAATTTTCTCTTGAATATTAATTTCTGTTTATCTAGGTATTTACTTAAGATTATCTTTAAGTTTGGATGTACAAGATCGTTGATGGTTGAAGATTTCATTTTGAAGAAAATCCTTCTAACAAAATTTGCATGCTTTATATTTTGCCTATTCAGTACTCATAATTTGATTTATTATAATTATATAATAATAAATTAAGATGATTTAACACAACTTTAACCCATTTAGAAAAAGTAATCGGTAAACATATTCATTATTTGATGAAAAAAGTTCATATGAGATAAAAGTTGAAGATGAATAGGCAATATTGAAACCTATACCAAAATATGTTTGGGAAGATGATTACTATGAATAATTGAAATTAGAGTTAAAATATTATAAGGTAGACATATAGGTATTATCTCATTCTGAATGGGAACATCTTTTTCTAACAGGAATGTATGATTCTAACAAAAATTTATTATTATCAATATTTACTACAAGATCATTAACTGTGAGGTAAGTATTTGATTTTATAACAATGTAATGTTAAATGACTCGTTAATTTGAGCATCTTAAAAAACCATTGAAAGAAAAAAATTATGAATCCATTATTAAAGATGTACATAGAACTTTTAAGAGTTCAGATTATTTTTAGAAGGAAGAAGCACTTTAAAGACTTTAGGATATATTAGTGGCTTATTGTAATTTGGATTCAGAGGTTTCCTACGGTTAAGGTATGAACTTCATTGTAGCAGCTCTTATGTATTTAGATTTCAATAATGATGAAGCTATCTTTGAAATTTTAAGGACTGTAGTTATGGATAAAGAATGGAGACTACTTTATATTAACGGATCACCAGGACTATTCTTTTTGAGAGCAAAATTCAACTTTAAATTTTAAAAAAGAATGCCTGAATTATATTAACATTTTCTAAGTGTTGGAATAGAGGATATGAATTTGTGTGTAAGTGCATTTTACTTAACTTTATTTATGTAACATGCTCCAATATAATTCTCTTTAGTGTTATTGGCTATGTATTTTATTGAGGGTCATGACATTTTAACTAAAATGATATTATCTATGATGAAGTATTTTGAGAATTATTTATTAAAATTAAACGACTTTTAACAAATAATTGAGTTTATCAAAAGAGGTCTGATAAATAATTTCTATCGAGAAATTCAACAATGTAGGAAACAATAGAGATTAGTATAAGTACTATTAGATATTGGGTTAATTAAAAGGAAAGATAAATAACACAATCAAAAAACAAAAAAGGGATAAATGAAATAATTAATTGATAAGCAATTAGGAAATGATGTTTATAGTTATTTTTTTAGATGAGTTAAATACTTATTTTATATACCAATTTAGAATTTTACTATTGAGTACTTTTATTTAGGATATTCTCAAAATAATATTATATATAGTAATCCATAAAGTAGATTAGATCTTCAATTTCATTAGAAATATTATTTATAAATGATTAATTATTTTATTTAATGCAGAGTAAGTGATTTAATAGCCTATTAATATAATAAAATACTCTTTAGTTTTATCCTAACACACCTCTTTTCTGTCATAGATAATTCTTTGCTTAAATTATTTTAAAAAATTTGAAGATAATTTTACATCGATTATAATATATAATTAGTGATAAGAGTTATTTTTGATCCTTTCCTGAAAAGAATTAATAATAATCCTTTTATAATTCTAATTAAAATTAATAAAAAGTTATCATCAATTTATTAAATATTATAGTTTAATTTTATTTTAGATTTTATTATTTTTAACTTAACACCTCACATTTTTTACTAAATTTTAACTAGAACATTATTCTATTATAATTTAAAAAATGTTAACTCTCTAATTCTAGTTATAATAGTAATAATTGAAATAATAATTTGATGACCAAACCCTACTAGAAAATACCAATTTCTCTTTATAGAATACACATTTATTAATTATTATTTATATATTTATAGATGATGCCATATAAGTTTTTTATCTATTTAATAATTAATTGAATCAATCATACAACAAAAACAATATAATAATATAAGATTGGAATATAAGCTATCAAATTTAACGAAATCTTATTTGATTTCGATTATGAATATTTTATATTTATATCATAATTTTCTTAGATCTACTTCACACTCAATAGGAACATGATCACTACCATGAACAGTTAAGTTTATATCAGATACTATGATGGCATCAGAAGCTTCCTTATTGATTATAAAATAATCTAATCTCCATCCTTTGTTTTCTTATCTAAAATTATTTATTTAATTACCTGCAATTATTTCTTGCACTAAAAAAGCTATATTTAACTTCTTTTGGATGTAAATGTCTGAATGAATCAACCCATCCCTTTTACAAATAATTTGAAAATTAATCTCTTTCTTATTAAGTAAATCTAAAATAGAAATTATAACAATACCCAGCAGTTTTCTTGTTACCAGTAGGATTAGCAAGATCTATTTCATGATGTGATACATTAAGATCACCACATAATATGGTAGGTTTTTTCTTTCTAAGTCCTTCTAGATAGTTTTAGAAATCAACATCCCATTCCTTGGTTCTATAGTCAAGTCTTTCTAATTTTTATCCAGCATTAGGAACATAACATGAAACTAAATAAAACTTTTCGAATTCAGCTGTCAATGTTCTTCCTTCTTGATCATGTTTATCAACACCAATATCACACTTTACTGAAATTGGTTTAACTCTATTAAATAATAGAATGTTAAATACTTTGAAGCTATAGCAACTCCACTATATCCACCTTTAGACTTACAGAAATTAAGATATAGAAAATAGTGTTTTCCAAATTTAGCGCCTAAATTTTCTTTGTCAAATACAATCTAATCAGCTTTCAATTCATTCAAACAAATTACATCAAACTTAATTTTATATACTAAATTACTTTATTATCACTTAAATATTAAACAGCCTCTTCATGTTTTGTTACTGCTCTAATCCCATTAATATTCCAACTAGAAATTTTTATTGTTGGAGTACTAAATTTCCCATCTCCCAATTCATATTTTTATTCTGCTTGGTTGATTTATTTTACTTTTTTCTCTACTTCTTTTATATTCTATTATTTCTCAATTTTCTAAACTCCCTTTTTTTCTTCATTATCTTCTGTTTACTTTGTACCCTTTTATTGTTTTCCTTTTGATTTAACAACAAATTCCTCTTATGCTTCATCATTCTTCTCAGGACTATTTTTCTTTTTACCTGATCTGCCTCTCCTTTAATCCATTTATTAATATAAAATAAATTGAAAATAGATTATTTTAAAAATCCACTTATTATTAAATTATTTAAATACTTTTTATTATAGTCTTTAAAATTGCAATAAAGATAATTAATTGTAAATAAAAGCATAAAATTAATTTTCTTAGTTTATTTATTGATGGTACTTACTTAAGATTGTAGAAAATTGAATTTTACATTTATAAAATTAATTTTATTTCCAAATTAAATAATTATTTTATAAATCTAATTAATTAAATGATTATTTAATATATTCTATAATATAAAGGTGATTTTTATCATCAAATTATAGAGATAAACCTGAAAATTTTAATATCACTTAGGTGTATTATGTTCAACAAGATTGTAAAAACAAATCAATTAGCTAATTAAACATTATATTATTAATACAACAAAAATATAATAAGATGAAACTTATTATTATTTTAGTATTTATTCTGAATTAATCAATAGCAAAAGTTAATTATCTTAAAATACTTTAATATATTAAATTACTCCTATTTATAAAAAAAGTAAAAGAAATATTAAAAGAATTTTAATTAAAATTAATATATGATGATACACATATCTAAAATCACTTGAAAAATTCGAATAAGTTAGTTTTTTAATATTAAGTCTTTGCAATTATTCAATGAGTAAGATATCATTTAAAATTAAGTTATGTTATTTAATATCAACTTTCACAACATTATTATTATAATACAAAAAAGTTAAGTAAATCTTTACTCATAATTTTAGATTTATTTAACCTTTATAATGACTTGATTAAACGAAGAATGTAAGAAATTAGAATAAAAAATAATTCTCATTATGAAATATGATAAAAAATTAATCAGTAATATAAAACTAATTAGAAATTTAAAAGAAAGAAACACTATTTCCCAAAAGTTTCTTTATTTAATTCATCATAAATCTTCTATATGTATTTAACATATATATTTATTATATAAAGTTCACTATTTTTCCTTTTATATTAGTCCTTCTTATTCTATCTGTTATTTAATTATTATTTAATAAACATAGAAGTTCTATAGTAATGTAGAGATGATATTCATTTATCAGTTTTTTAGTATTGATATTATTCTTAAATTTTGAAATCATTTTAGAATTGGTTTTGTAATTCTCAAAATGTATATGCTCTTTTGCATAAATAATTTAAATAACATAAAAAAAAATGAGCAATGGATCTGTGAAAGACATATTGAAAGACAAGAAAAAAGTTAGATTTGTGGCTGAAAGCGCATTTAAGTAAGTAGATAAAGATGGTAATTGAAGCATTTATTTAAAATATAGGAAGCGGATACCTTGAAAGACCAGAACTGGAAGAAGTTATGAATAATGTAGCAGCTGATTTAGGAGTTGAAGTATTATAAATTAAGATATTCAAAGCCACCAACAAGTGAAGAAATTGATGAAGTTTTAAAAGAATTAGATGAAAATGGAGATGGAAAATTATCAATTGATGAATTTTAAGTACTTATTGAATAAGTTCTTGAAATGATGGCTAAAGTTGAAGGGTGATATATATAATATGCACATTTCTAATTATTTTATAATATGTTGTAGTTCTAATAATTATATCAAAAAAATATATATAAAGAACTTTTTAGCATTTTTTAAATTGATATTTAATTAATAATCGAATTAATATTAAAAGTATGTTATGTTTAATAAATAAAATTTATTGTATTTTACAATGTTTATTAATATCTTGTTTAGCATTTAAAACCAAATTTCTCTTTTTCTAAATTCATAAATAAAATAATCAAAAAAAAATGTCATACTACCCCGGATACAATCCATATGGTGCTCCTTTGGGATAATCTATAGCTTATCCTAACACATATGCATAACCAATATCTTATGCTCCAGTTCAATATACTGCTCCCATAGCATAATCTGTTGTACATCCTGTAGCAGTCTAACCAGTTGTGCAATAATCCTACATAGCTTAACCTGTTGCTGTCTAATAGGTAGTGGCTTAACCTGTTCAATAAACTATTCGAGGAGAATCAAGAGTGGAATATAAAGAATATCAAAGACCAGTCGTTGAAATGGAAACCGAGACAGTTTAAGTTTAAGTTCCAAAAACTAAATATGTTACAGACTATTATCCAGTTGAATATTAAACAGAATATATTCCAAGAACAGTTTATGAGTAACAAACTGAATATATTCCCATTACAAAAACAGTCCCTAGAGTAGAATATGAAACAGTAGAAAGAGAAGTTTAAAGAGTAAATCATTTGTTTAATATTTTAGTAATAATAAGTAGTTGTTTAGCAACCAGTTGTTTAATAATATGTACCTTAGGTAACCTAATATGTTCAATAACCAGTCGTTTAAACTGTTGTTCAAAACCCAGTTATTTAATCTGTTATATAACAACCAACAGCATATTCAGCAGTTAGACCAGCATAAACTTATGTTCCTACTGCTTATACAGCTCCTATTGCTTAATATCCAGCAAATTTAAGAAATAGTAGACCATATTGAGCTATTATGCCATTATATAAATTATAAATAATTTAACTTAAATTTAAATGTAAGCTGCTTTGGCTGAAGCAATTAAAGAGGAATAATTTATGTTGTGTTTCAAAGAAAGCAAAGAATAAGCTCACTTTCAATTATGTATGGATCTATTTGAAAGAAGTAAAGCAATTTCTTAAAGGGCATTCGTCAGGTATGTCAGATCGAGAAAATAGTGAAATGATTAAGAGTTTATATATAATTATCTATTCAAGTATTAATCTATTTTTAATTGAAATTACATGTTGCAATTTTCTATAAACACTTAGGTCACCCATATATAAATCAATTTTCATTTTACACTTGATTTTTAATACAAATGTTTTTTTATATACATGAAATACTAAAAAACTTATAATTAATAATCAAAGTTAATAATAATATTATCATTTTTTTCCCATCATTTCAACTCTATTTGCTTATTCTCTTAATCTGTCTAATTCTCTTTACTCATCCTTCTTTTATTCCATTCTCAAATCAACTTACCTCAATTTTTCTCTAATTTATTCTCTTTTATATTCTTCTAATTATTTTTAATGTTTTATAGCCTCTTATTAATCAAGTTTTTTTTTTAATTTCATATATGCTTATTATTATAACATGATTTCTTATTCATTTTTTACTTTTTCAATCTAAAAATTTAATAATAATATTTTACTTTTTCATCTTATTCTTGAATCTTTCTTAAATATATATTTCTTTTTTCTTCCAATTATAACATATTCATTTTCTTGACTTTCTCTCTATGTTTAGCTCTTCTATCTGCTTCTTCCTACATAAATTATTCTTTAGATTTAGATTGACTTCTCTATTAAATTCTTAATTAAATATCCATCTCTTTTTCCATAAATTCTCTCCTTACTTCTTCTTGATCTTGTAATTTTTATTTAGCTGTATGTTTAATTTTTTCATTTTTAATTCTATTTTTCTCTTCAATGGATAATTATCTTTCTTTTTATTATTCTTAAAATTTGTATTACTTTTCAGCAATTTTTTCTTCCTTCTTTTAAAAATCCTCTCTTAATTTATTCAAACATTCTATTTAACTTCTCTTAGCTTCTCTTTACCTTTCTTTAGCTGATTAAGCTCTTTTTTAAGCAAGTTCTTTTTTTGATTCTTATTATTAATTAAAAAACATTTATCTTTTAATTTCCTATTCTTCTTCTTCTTTTTTTCTTATTAAATATTCTTATTCTCTCTATTTTTCTATCATTTTTTTTTCTCTTTCTAATTATTATTTTAACTCTCTTTATTATTATTCTCTAATAGCAGCTTATTCTTTTCTTTGTTACTCTTCAAATTCTAATTACATTTTTCGTTCTTGTTCTCTTTCAAAATAAACTTACTATTATTATTTATTTTTTCTTTATTCATCTAATTCTTTTAATCTTTTTTGTTTTGCTATATTTTCTTATTTTTCTTAAAATTCTCTTTACCTTTCTTCTTACATCCTTTTTCTCTTTTCTTCATATAATTACATCTTCTCTTATCTTATTTATGTCTATTCTTCTCTCTTTTACATCATCTCCTATAAATTCCTTTGTCTTTGTTCCTCCATATATTTTCTTTTCTAAACTTGATCCATAAATTTTGATGCGTTTGTACTACTTGCTGGTCTAAGCAGTTTCAAACTGCATGTACTTTATTCAATCTTACTTCTTTTTTCCTTTTCAATTAAAGCTTCTCTATCTCTTATTAATGCATAGACTTTTTATTATCTACGATATTCAAAATGTTTATGGAAATCATCTAAATTCTCATTTGTTAATGATCTCTCTTTTTTCATCATTGCTTATAGTTAATCTTTGTTAACGCATAATAATTCATTTTGAGCAATCCCTCTTTGTCTCATAACTTAAATTGAGCGAGGACTGTCAATTACGCAATATTTATCTGCCGGATTGAAATTAATTAAGGATATCATTATTATAGATAGTTCTTTAACTAATAAATAAATTACTTTTCAAATTATTAAAAAATATGATTAATTAAGTTGCTCAATCACATCATAGAAAAGAAAGAAACCTATAAAAAATATGAAAATCTTTAAAATACAATATTAAAGAAATTTCTAATTTACAGAAAACATATTAAAATACTTTCTGGTTTATTTTTATTCTATCATTTCTATTCTATCTATTTTAACATTGATATTAAATATTTAAGCCCTCCTATTATATTATTATCCATTTATTCTTTTGGATTTTCATCATCATCAGATAATTTCATTACATAATTGAAGTCAATCCATTTAATCTAATACTTTTTACTTATGTTATCAACAATTATAAGAATTGATGTACTTCGAAACATTCTAAATTATTTATCATATATCACCTCTTGATAGTTTGGAGTACTTCAACTAATTCTTAGATAAATTTAATGCATCCTTAGAGTGCTTCCCTATTAGGCTACTCAGCTAAATTTGATCTAAAAACCTATTCAATGTAATCATTCATTAATTTTTCATTTCTTATCAAATGATATGCTTCTGATCCATGTTTATTGATAGTAAGTTCTCCATTCTGATCTCTTATTTTAATACCACCCACTCTCAAACCCATTTAATTTTAATCACATTGAGCAGCCTTTTTCATCTCTTTTTTTCTTTTTTCTGCTGAACAATTTGGATGATAAGTTTTGTAACCTATTTTTAAATCTAAGATTGATCCATTTTCTAATCCGTAAGTTAAATTTTCCTATAAATTATGTGAAAACTTATACCATAGTAATAGAACAAGTTTTATCATCAAAAGATATTAATTTAGGCAAAAATTTGATAAGCCTTTAATTTTCTTCATAGTAAGGATTAGACAAGTCAGTTAAAGTAGAATAGAATTTGAATTCTGCCTTTTTTGTAGTTTTGATAATTAAATTATCTTTAATCTCAAAAGCTGACAAATGTCCTCCAGATATTAAATCAGCTGCTTATCCGAAATACTTTCTTTAATATTCTATTAATTCTTTTGAAGAAAGACAAGTCCAAAATTCCTTTTGTTTATCCACTGTAGTTGTGACTGCACTAAGTCCACATTTAAGAGGCTAAATATTAACTGGAAATTCTTGAGGTACACCCATTAATTATTAAAATGTAGCTAAAGCACAATCTGCTGTGACATCAAGATTGTATCCTCCTTCAAGAACAGCTAAGACTTTAGGGCAAATTTATGATAATTATTCAGTCATATATTAATAGCCTTCTCTAGTATTTTTAATACAACCAAGTGGATCTCCCATGGCTGAATCATAACCAGCACTTATAATGATGAAATCTGGTCCAAATTGTTTGATTATAGGACCTAATAATCTATCAAATGCATAAACGTAGTCATCATAACCTGGAGCATCATCTGTTTTCCAATTTACATTCCAACCAACATTAATATTTTTAAATTCTGCATTTTTTCCTCCTATTTTATTAGGATCCCCACTGCCAGGATAAAAAGTTTTATTATCATATCTATGAATCGAAATCACTAAAGTATTAGGATCTTCATAAAAAATAGCTTCTGTTCCATCACAATGATGAACATCCCAATCAAAGATCACTATCTTATTGACATTATATTTTTATCTTGCATATTTTGCAGCAATAGCAACATTATTAAAAATACAAAAACCATTTGGTTGAGATTTATGTCCACTATGATGGCCTGGAGGTCTAACACTGCAAAAGGCATTTTTCCATTCTTATGTTAATATCTTATCAACTCCTTCCAATACTGCTTATACACATTTTCTAGCAGTTATAGCTGATGTTTTGCATAAATAAGTATCACCTAAATGAACAAAATCCTTTGTAATTTTTTTATCTCCTACATCTTTAAATAATCCTTCAACAAAATCTATATATTTTTAATCATAAACTAATTTCAAATGGTTGATATCGCTTAGTTGATTTATTAAAATGAATACCACTATTTAAATTATGATAATTGTTCCACTTATTTTTTTATATTTTTTGATTATAAATAATCTTAAATGGTTTAATCTATGGATTGAGTTCTCTATGGATTTTCATGATGTTCATTATTTGAGAAGTGTTTATCAAATTCTTAACAATGAATAAATCCTGTTATAGATGTATCTATCTTTAGTTTAGCAAATTCTTCCTAAATTTATTACATTTATAAATATTAAAACAATATAAAATTTTCTATTTAATTTATTTGGATATAATGATGGAATTCAATTCTCCTAAAGTAATAATTATTGATTTAGATAAAATTTGCTTTGATCATTATTAAAATTAATTGATTTTTATTAAATTAAACATAAGTAGAATAAAATCGATCTTTATTCATAGAAAATTCAATTGTTAAAATAAAATTAATGTAAAATAATTGAGAAATAAATTAATATATTTAAATTCTAACATTTAACATAATTAGATCATTCCCAATCTTCCAATAATTCTGATTAAGTTTTTCTTCTTCTAGTCTTTTCAATAATAGGAGCCTTTGTAAATATAGGATTGGCTGGATCTTTATCATTTGGATGATTAAAAATATCTCTTATTGTCATCAACACTTATGTTAATCCTTCATTACCTTTCCAATTATTTGTCACCATAGGCATACAAAGTAATCCATCTAAAATATTTATATTTAGAACCTCCATAAATATTTTCATGAATTATTTTAGAATTATCTCTAAAAAACCAAAAATAGAATTTTGGAGCAGCTGTAGGATAATCATTTGGTAGTATTAAATAACCTTAGTTATTAAAGATATGCAATACCTTGAATCTTTTTATCTTAATACTCTGTATTTTCATCTCCTCTGAAATTAACTTCCCATACTTAATTTCTTAAATCATTATTTATAATTGCTTTTTCAATTTTAACAAATTCATCATTCCCTTCATCTGTAAGAATTTGTGAAGCTTAATCGAATAATTGAGAGAAATATTTAGCTTTTTCAACAGATTCTTTTGGCAATCTGCTAATAATTTCTTATATAATTCTATCTGGCATCAAACCTTTATCCACATCTTTTAATTAAAATGCAATCATCTATTAGAATAAAATAATTTGGATACTTTAATAATTAAATATATTGAGTTTAATATTATACAAATTTCATGATACTACTCTAATAAATTCTTTGCTAGGCATCTATTCTAATCTATCTAATAATTTAGTTTCAATCTTTTTCTTTTCTTTCTCAGCTCTTTTAACTCTAAGAGCATCTGATAACATTTCTTACCATTTAACTTATTATTTTTGATCTCTTTCTAATTCCTTGAGTTTCTCTCTCTTACCAATTTTATTTCTAAGATAATTGTGTGAATTTTATACCTTCCTCTCATTTTTTTCTTTTGTTTCTTTATTTTTTTGCTTGCCTATTCTTCAATTTATTTTTTTTATTCCTTTTCAATTATACTTTTTGAAGTTCTATCTATTGTTCCAATCCTATATGATTAAAGAGATATAGATTCTGGTGGCAACTATAAAATTAATTAAATTAATAGCTTACTTTTTCAATCAATTATCTGACATTAGTTTCTAATCTCTATTTTTTATTTTATAATTCTGGTTATTCATAAGTATCAAAAAATGGTTCACCACTTTCTGGTACTACTGTTTGTTCATAACTATCAAAGGTGCTCATTGCTAAATAATCTTCATGTTTAATGAAATCAATATCACAAAGCATTGAAGAAGCCTTATATCTTAAATAGGGTGTTTTTAAATCTCCAATTAAACAGTTTTTCCACATAATAATATCTGTTCCTCTCCCTGCAGCTAAAACTCCTTTATCACTTAAAGCTAAGTTAGTGGCATTGACTCCAATTTAAGATTATAATTTTTAAGTTCTAAGATCCCAAACCTTTATTGTTCCTTCTGATCCACTTGTAATTAAGTGATTACCATCACGTGAGAAAGTCATTGACATCACTCCTCCTTTATGACACAACATAGAAGTAAGTGAAGTTCCAGTATTAGGAGCATACATTCTAACAACTCCCATTTGATCTCCTATTCCTAATATTGCATTGTTATTATTTTATTTTAAACATAAAGGTGATGGTGTAGTTCTATATGCTATAATCATTAAATATTTTACTTGATATTATTTTTCCTTATGTTATATCCTAATAAGTCAATTATCCATTTTAATTTAGTGCAGCCAATAAATAATGATATGGTAAATACTCTAATTTAGTTGCTTGTTTGCATTCTCTAATTTTATGAACTTCAACTCCTTTTGGATCGTAAATATAAATGCAACTTTTTTGAGCTACAGCAAAATTTCTTTAAGCAATAGAAACTATATCATAGCATTTCTCTTTAACATCGAATTCACATTCTAATTATTTGTGTCTCCAATTAAAAGCAGCTATATGACCTGATTCTCCTGCTAAATATGTTGTTTATGGTGTCACTGAAAGTTTATATGGTCCTGATTTTAATTTTAAATTGATAATCTTGTTTTAATGAATATAAGTTCTACATTTTGAACATTCTCTTCTGGTAAATAATCCTTAAAATTAGAAATCTTTAATAATGGTCTCTCATCATCTATTTCTACACTTTACTAAAACTATGGCTCAAGCAATTAAGCTATTTTTTAAGTCTTCAATTGAGTCGATTTTGTTTTGAATTCTTATTACTTAAGTTTAGCAGAAAGTATTTTATCCTTTGCCATTTCACAAATTAAAATATATATAATTTAGTAATTTAATTTAGTAATTTTATATTATATATATTTATTTACATAAATTATAATATGTTAAATTATTTAAATTATGTATAAATTACCATCAATTTAACTATAATCATTAAATACTGTTTTATTTGATAAATATTTTAATGAAATTAATGTATTTCATAATTCTAATAATGGGGTTAAGATCTCTTGTAATTATGGTTATTCATCAACAAGTTTATTTAATGCACTTTTAATATTATTAGTGAAATTCTTTTATTCCTCAAGTTTCCTAATAATAACACTTAAATTTACTATCTAATTTATTGTTCAGGAAAAGGTAACTTTGGATTATTTAGTAATTCCTCATATTTTTTGGCTTAGGATTATAATTGACTTATTTTAAATACATTCAAAAGTTTTTCATTTTTTGCATAGTATAATTTTTATTTATTTTCATATGTCTCTTATTCCATTTATTATTATTTTTATGTAGCTTCCTAGATTTATTATTAGAGCTATACTTTAATTATATAATTATTACATTCTCAAGTTATTCTTCTTATGCATTAATTCCTTATTCAATCTTTTATCCATTCATTAATGTTTGATTTAATGTATTTTTTAGTGTTTATATTTATTTATTAACTTATGATGTATTATTGGGTACTATAACAGGAGGGAGTTTGAGATCTTTAGATCCTGATGTAGATTTATCCTTATTTAGATATTTTAATTGGATAGTTTCTCTCTTAAAAACAGTTCTTTCCATTTCTTTTATTATTTATTCTTAACTCTTCTTTTATTCTTTTTATCTTAATTCCATTTTATGTATCTCTTTTTATAATAGTTTCAATTCACTTTATCCAACATTTGGATCCAAAGCCTCTTGCATTTCTTTTTCCAATTAAATCTTTCTTTCCCATAATAAGATTTGTTTTTCTGCCTCCATTATATCATTTAATAAATCAGCTTTGCTATCTTTTAATTTATCAATCTAGACTTCATATCTTACAGCTTCTTTTTCTAATTCTTTTAACTTTTCAAGAAATTCACTCTAAATATGATTATTTTCATTTGTTAATTTTTCTTATTTAAATTAATATCTAGCTAAATCATCATTTAATTTATTCATATCATTCTATAAATTTTTAAGACTATTTTTGATTTCTCTTATTTCTCTTTCATGAGATTTATATTATGAATTCAATCTCATTTTTTTATTTTCCAAAATAACTTATTTATTTGATAGTTCATCAACCTCTGTTGAACATGTTTCATACTCTTTAGTTTTTTCAACTAATTAAGTTTGCTTCTTTATCCAATCTCTATGCATAGCTTCACATTATTAAATCATTTCATCAAATTATCTTTTAAGATTAGATTTTGTTGCTTCTAAAGGTCCTCTACTGACTTCTGAAGAATTATTTGTCAATTCATCATGAACTTTGTTTAATCTACCAACTTCATGTTATTTTTTTTCATTTAATTCATGACCTTATTTAATTTATACTTCATAAGTAGCAACAGTAATTTTCTTATCATCTCTTTCTTTAATAACAGCAGCCTTTTTTATTTTTAATTATTCAATTTATTATTCTGTATTCAATTAATCAATTTTAACTCTTGCAATTTCATTATTTAAATTTTCTAATTCAATTTCCTTTTCCTCAATTTCAGATTAGATAACTTATGCCTATTTCAATAGATTCAATGCAGTTTTTTCAATAGTAGTATTTTCACTCTTTGAATCTAATAAGTCTTCTAATAAACTTTTAGTTTCTGTATGTAATTTCATAATATTAGTTTCAATTAATTTCATTTATTCATCTACATTTCTTTATTCATTATCAGTTTTTTTTGTTTCATTTTCTGTTTATTTAAGTGATTCATTTAATAATAGAACTTAGGCATTAAGTTTAGCTTATTCTTCAAGTAATTCCTATCTTCTATTTTCTAAATTCAATTTTTAATTTTCTAATTTTCTTTTCATAGCAATCAAATCTTCAGATCTAGTATTTTCTTTTCTAATTTCATTATTAATTCCTTATAATTCAGTTCCTAATTAGATATTGACTTCAGATTCTTTTCTATTTTAATATTAATATAGAATATACTTATAAGCTTCTCTAATTTCTTATAATGCATTATCCATTCTTTACATTCTAACTAAACTTTTTTACCATCTTTCCATAAGGTTTTTTTTAGATGCAATAATCTTTTCCATTTCATCTTATGCATCCTTCATTGTTTACCTAGCATTTTCTGTTTCTTTGCTTTGAGATATTAATTGATCCATTAATATTGTCTTTTATTCTGTTAATCTCTTAATTTCTTCATTCATTTAATCAATTAAGTAATCTTATTTTTTCTTATCCTTTTCTAATGCTTGCACATTTTCTTCTCCTCTATAGACAATTCTTCTAGTCTATTAGATTTCTGCTTGCATCTAATTATTATAATTCTCTATAGTATGTAAAGTTTTTGTAAGTTTCGATAATTCATCTTAAGCTTTTAGATATTTTTTTCTTAATTCATCTACTTCTTTCTTCTTTTATTAATGAAGATCATTAATGGTTTTTAATTTTTGTTCACTCTCAATTCTCAATTTTTATACAAAATTAAAGTTTTCATGTGCTTTTTCAAAATTTTATTAATTCTCTGCTAATTATTATTATACTCCATATAATCTAACACCTTATATTTTTATAATTAAAATTACCAATATCTTCTTTTTCTCTATCAAGCTTTTTTAATTAATCTTCAACTTCAACTAGTTCTAATTCTACTCTTGAATGTTCATCATTCAATTATTTTTATAATGCAATTTACAAACGGGCCAACAAATGCTAATCTAATCACATTAACAAATTACATGATCTGCTGGTAAGAATGCCATAGGATCTTCCTCCAAATTCACTTAATCATCATTATCTTCATTGTCTGCCATTTTAAATAATAAAATATTAATAAATATAAAAAGAGTATTATCAGTTGTTAAAATTTTGTCTTCTGAAATCCAATATTATTTATAAATGAACATAATTAGCATTAAGAAAAATGGTTGTACTCAATAACCCACACTACATCAATTAATAACTTACATACTTTATTTTCCAAACCTCCTCATTTGTTTTTTACTAATATCTTTACTTGATTACTTTGTATATTGATTTATCAAATTTAGGCAATTCATTTCTCCATTTTAGGTATCTTAACTTTGATATCTTTATTTTCTAGTGCGAAAACTACTTTGAGTCATCCCACTGATAAGTTTATTATTAAACAATTCTAGACTCATCTTTAAGGGTAAGTTTGATCTTTATTTCTCAGATAAAATTTCGATCATGCAGGTTATAAATTAGAGTCATTTTGTGAAATATGTGATGCCTATGTATAAGAACATACTAAGCATTGCAGAAATTGTAATAGGTAAATTTCATTATAATTACTATTAGATGTTGTTAAGGTTTTGATCATCACTGTAAATGGATTAATAATTGTGTAGGAAATCTCAATTATAATCTTTTTATATTAATGATTACTTCAACTTTGCTTCTTTTCATGTATACAATGCTTATCTATATCTATATAATTGTATTATATCAAACTAATTATGAAACACTCAATATAGACAATGAATTATAGAAATTTGTACTATTTTATTATATTTATCATAGCATTTTACTTCAGAAAATGATCTAAATGTAAAATATGTACTATCCATAATAATGTTGGGAGACTCTGCTTTTATTGTAATTTTACTCTTGTAGTTACTGATCTTCCACATTTACTTAATTATAAAAGGTATTACAACTTATGACTTTTTAATTAAAAATGAATACAAAAAAATTCTACCTCAATTTCAAATAGGACCTTAAATGTTTTAAAGTGCATCCAAAAATAATTTAAAGGCTAGTAATGAAATATATGGATTAGCTAATAAAAATACAACGTATCATCTCATTTATCATTTTTAGAGTTGATATAAATTTAAATTAACATAAAACAGTCCCAGATAAACCAACAAATCAAGATGAAACTATTATAGACAATCAAATTTTGACATGAAAAACTAATTATTCGTAGTATTATCCACATAGATATGATATTTTTAATTAACTATTAATTTTTTTATTCTATTTCTATCTCTTACTTAAAGTATTTATTTAGATTTTATGAGTCTTGAATATGAAAATTAATTTAAAAAGGTTTTTAGTATTTTTAATTAATTAAATAATTAATGTTAAATAGCTCGTTATATTAATCCCCTTAAACAAAAAATTTGAAAAGTTTGAATGCTCCACAATCATCTATTACAGATAGGAATGGTAAATGATAATTTAAATCATATAGTTTCCCCTAGTAGAGCCAAGATTGCTTAGTTAAGTGAAAAGTTATCAGGATTATAGATTGAAGAGGATAAAACATTGAAAAAGGAAGCTTATGAATAGAAGTTGAAGCTTTTTGATGAGAAATTTTAGAAGGCTTATTAAAATGATTTAAGCAGACTCAAAATTATATAAGACCAATTAAGTAAAATAGAAGAAGGATTAACTAACGAAAAAATAATTAGAGATGTTTGAATTTAAAATTTATATTATAGACAAGGGATGATAATTTTAAGTAGAGAGATCTAAAGAGTTTAGAGCAGAATATAGTTAAGGAATTACAAAAAGATAAAACATTGAGAAGAGAATCAGAGTTGAAAGTGGCTAGATTAATTGATGAAAAATCATATCAATTTAGATTGGAATTAGCTAAATAAAAAAAAATGAGAGAGGAAACAGAAGAATAATATTCAAATGAAATTGGAGAAAGAGTCTTAAATTTAGCAGAAGATGTTTAAAATGAAAGAAGAGAAAGGTATTTTTTATAATAATTAATTCTTAGAGAAGCTGCTTGTTAAGAGTTAATTAGAAGATTTGGAGAATCTGTGTTTTAAATATAAGAAACATTAACAAAGGAGAAAAGATAAAGACAGGAATCTCAATCTCAAATGTATAGAATGATAGATGAGATGAATAATATTTTAAATTTATAGTTATAAGAAGAGAAAGCTTAAAGAGAATCCACAGAAGAAACAATGCTTCGACTATTGGATGAGACATGTAATAGAGTTGAGAACTCTCTAAGAAGATGATAAGATTTCAATTATATATTTAATTATATTATTATAAATAGTGAATATAATATAGTATATACTCAACCTTTTACACTATTTAATAGTCGAAGACCCAGTTTAAAAAATAATTAATCTTCATCTTCAGTTATTTAATTCAAATTTTAATTATCATTATTAGGTTATAAATCTTAAGGTATTTGCACATCTTTGGAGGATTCTTATTTGAAATTTTTATTGTTTTATTTTGATTATTTATTCTCTAACTCAATCCTTTATAATCTAGTCTTAAGATTTAAATTCTTATTATCAATAGTAGATGCACTTCGATTAAAATAAGAAATAAACCAATTTTTTGTTCCAAAAGCATATTTAGGAGTATGTTTTTGTTTTTAATTTTTATTCTTTTTATTTTTTGAAGTCTTTTATTTTGTGATAGAATATAACAAATAGGCACAAGAAATAGCAGTTATTCCATAAACGATTTATTATTAAGTGGATTACATAAGTATGTAATGAGAATGAATATAAATATTAAATTGAATGATAAGAATTAATATGTAATTAATATCTATATATATAGAAACTTAACATAATCTGATTTAATCTAATAAAAATTATTATGAATTAGAAAATTAATAAAATAATTGTAAGGTTTATTTTCATATTTGTAATCATAAGAAGATGTTCTCAAGGTTTTCTGTAGGATCCTAGATACTCAGTGATTTTCAATAATTTTCTAGTCATATTTTTCCTTAGTTATAATTTTTTGTTTTTTTCTTTTAATATTTTCTCTTGTTTTGGTATTTCAAGTTATTCATTGCATAATGTTTTAATAGGTTATCTATTTGTATAATATGTATTTTTAATTTATTTTGAATTTGATCCTTATTAGACTTATTTTACAATAATTGGTTTCACAACAGGGAAGTGATTTTATAAGAGAATAATTCTTGGAGAACCCATAGGTAATTAAGAAGGACATCTAAAATGAATTTTAGAAGGATAATGAATAGAGTCAGTTTATTAAGATCCTTCTACAAGTGAATAATGCATGTAAATAATAATAATGTTTTATTTTGTACTAAATTTTGATTATTTTGTCAATACAGGACTGGTGAATTAAAATGATTTTTTTCTAATTCTGATGAAACAGCTTCTTGACTAGCATACCATGGATTGGCAGTATAAATATTTTAGACAGGTACTGCTAAGGAATATTGATAACTGAAATATAATGAAATAATGTTAATACGCTGCTTTAGCACAATTTAGATAATCTCTTTTTTCTTTGTAACACTCTCCACCCCTAAGATAGAAGTAAAGAAATACCAATGATCTAAAGTTTAATCGATGGCTTAAAGAGCTGTTTTGAATAGATTATCTGTTTTGATTTATTGGCATTTGAAGAATGGAACATAAAAATTAACACATCTATCTCTAAAAGGTAAAGGAATTCTATATGCATCCAATTCTTCTGGTGTATATACATATCCATCTTAAAATATATTAGGAGGAGAGACTTACCAGGTCTTTCATAATACTTTTGATGATGGTGAGACATTGTTTATTACTTAATTTTAATAATAATTTATAATCATTTACTTATTTCGGCTATCCATTCTTTTGATTTAGCTAATTATTCTGCATCTTGACTTAGAGGTATAGTGTACTTAAGATACTAATATAGATTTTTGTTCAATTAAGTTTAATTGTAAATTCCTATCATTACTGTTTTTTTGAAATCAGGATCTTGAGACCATTGATTCTCATTACTTTATACAGCTATACTTAATTCTTCAATTTCTCCAATTTTATGAATATAAATCAAAATAAAACAAAACTACTTTCCTTCATTGAAATGTTCTTTATAAATTCTAATTAATTCTGAAACTGAATAAGTAATTATGGGTTCTCCAATCATTTAATCACCATACATACTATTTCCAAATCTTTAGGCAACCTATATAAATTGAGTACTTGGAATTAGACATAGTATATTTGGTTATTATTTTGGTAATTCATCTAATCTAATTTTATTAGTCCATTTTCTTTATTATTTTTTAAATCTATGATCTCTGATTTTAATATGAAATTTGTGTTCTAAATAAATTAAATATAAAAATACCATTATTATCATCAATATTTGGTAATGAAGTTTTGGATTAAACTATTGATACCAAATTGTTTCTAAATTTACTCATAACCCAAGGACTAAATAAAACACTTAATTATTTTTGATCTTAATTTCTTTTACCTTGTATGAACTTATTTACTTCTTTATTTTTATTAATGATATCATGAATAGGTTATGCTCTCATATTATCGAATCTCTAAAATTATCTAGGTTTTTATTAAGGAGTAGTAAATTATTTTGGTATAGCATCAAATCTTGTATCTTTATCATTCTGTAATTGATCACCATAATCTTTAAGAAATGGTGTATCTGATTATACACTAATTTGACTATATTTATCATAATGAATATGATGATATCCAATGTCAAGTATAGTTTTATCATGATCTAATATACCTTCATTGTAGGCTGTTTTCAAAGTTTATTCAAGTAATTTAATAATATCATCTTGAATTTATGGGAATTATATAGTATATTTAATAGCAATTTCAACTTCTTTAATGATATCTTAATGTTAGATTTATGTATTTTCAAGTGATTGTGCATTTGAATTAGCAGCCGAAGCTTATGCAGATTATGGTATAGATTTCAATTGGATAGTTGATGCTAAAGAATCAGGATTATTAAATTTTGCAGTGTATTTTTATAAAGGAGATCTCAAAGATTTATCATAAGTCATAGCTGGAGAAGCTAATCTTTTAGCATTCCAAAAATAATGATTTACATCAGCTACATTTTTTGTAAAAGTCAAGTCTACCATTTATATGTTATCACAAGATTTATCACTCTTTTTACATAATTAAACATTGGTTATCAATAAAATAATTATGTTATCACCATCAGTTTTATAATCAATTGATAGTAATTTCTTACATAAATTGATCATAATTAATAACATTCTTTCATTTTCATTTTCATATTCATCTTAACAATATAATTTCATTTATTTTGTTGAACATGGATAACTTATAGATATCTCTAAATCATATTCAGATTTATCCAAATAAACTTAAGCTATTCTAACATTTATAGTTAATAAATCTGATTTCTATTCAACCAATAATGCACTCATTAAATATGCATATAAACTATATAGAATACCATGTTTATTTCCAACAAGTTTTTCAGGAATACCTTCTTCAAATTCAAGTTGAATTAGATTAAAATGCTCTTATAGTCGATTAACCATTGATTCAATTACATTCACTACATAGTTCTTTACTAAATCAATCAATTTACTTACAAAAAAACTCATCATTTTATACTGACTAGTATTTAATTTATTAAGAATCATGATTTAAAAGTGTCATGGTATCAATTTACTATTTTAATAGTCTACAATCTGTAGTGCATTATCCTAATATACTTAAATCACTCTCCTTAACTACTTTAAATGCTCTTAAATTATTCCATTTCTAATAATCCTAACATAATAAATTGTATAATTAATCTATTTATTAAGATAATTTTGTAAAAAGTTCTACATCACCACAACTAAACTAAGATTATTTCAATATAAAATCAGAATTATATTATTCTAATGTATAATATTTACTATTAATTATTATTTAATTCATTTTCTTTTTTCTTATAGTATTTTCCAATTTACTTTACAATTCATTATCAAATTATTTGACATTATTATTACTATAGATAATATTTGCTTCACTATTTATCATAAATATATCTATAGGTAATTTCTCTAAAACAATCTCCTTTTAATGTTATACATATTCTTAAATATAAAATGATATAAAAAATCTTCTCTTTATAATTTCAAGATATCTAGAAAACATTACTAATCCAAATCCTAAATATAATCCATTCATTGATCTAACCAATACCATCAAAAATGGAATTTAGTTTGGCCAATAAGGTATGAATATTTAGTTAATAAAAAATGAACTTATTAATGCATGATTCTAATTTTAAAAAAGTAGCTCTGGAAATAATAATAAAACCTATAATTATCTTTGATTATAATACTCTTAAGAAATAAATTAATTTATTATGATTTTTTAAAATAGCTTTTAAAATCAATGTTATCATAATTGTTCCAATATTTATTATACTCCTATCAAATACTATTGATAGTACTATAGATGGATACAAACATAATCCACTAAATTTTGATCTTTGATATGCTGTTTCAGTCTTTATTTAAACAAAACTTGCCAACAAAGATATTTCATCAATCATCTTCTGAATTTAATTTATTTATGTAAATTAATATATATATATTATATTATATTTATTGATCATTCTTTTAATATCTTATCCCTCTTATTATAAGTATATACTACTTCTAACAAATTTAGTATTTATAATTAAATATTTTTATATTATGACATCAAAGTTGCCAGAATTAATAAATTTAAATGATTCAGTTGCTTCTTTAACGGATTTCCTTAAAAAAATACCAGAAGAAGTAAATACTTCATTTGATTATAAAATACCTAATGGTATCATTTTAGATGAAATTATTACCTAACTTATTAAAAATCCTAAGAAATAAGAAGATCATAAAATAATATTCAATGATTCAGGATATCAGAACATATAAACAATTTAATCAATTTTAGGCATTGAATTTAAAATTACAAAAGACATTGATGAATTACTAAATGAATAAACATAAATCTATTTGAATTAATTTTTATCTACTTTACCATAAGAGAAAGAATCTTAAAGTAATAGTATTGCTACTGTATAAATAAATGAATTGGAAAATGCAAAATTATTACATTAAAAGGATATTATTTAATTAACTGGAATGTAATCTAAATTGCATAAACAAGATGTTCGATAAGAATTGATTGAATAACTATTAGAATCTAAGAAATTTAATATTAGAATTACATAATAATCAATCAATTTATTTAATGATTAGTTGATGTTTAGAAATTAGTTTTAATAATTTAGACAATAATTTGAAGAATTAATTTATTGTGTTTTAAAATTAGAAACTACTCTTACATTTAGAACATAAAAATTAAAATTAGAATTATAAATGAGTTAGAATGAAAGAGAAAAATTATAAATTAAAGAAATAGAAAAATTAAAATCAATTATAAAAGAGAAAGATGAATAATTAATAGATATAACAAATAAAATATAATTTAATGTAACTCACTATCAAAAATTAGAAGAATAAATTTAAATTGCTAAATAAAGTATCTAAAAACAAATAATGTCTATTAAATAAACTAAATAAGAAAAAGAAGATAAATAAAAAACAAGTTCTCCATCTGCTATGAGTGCTTCTAAATCTAATATATCAGATTTAGAAATCTTAAAATAATAAACTAGGAAAGTTAGTAATTCCTATGCACATAGAAATAGATTTAAAACTGTATTTTTTAAAAGATGATATATACACATTTATTTATAAGTTATAATCTAATTAAGTAATAGGTTTCTCATTATCTATTAATTAATAACACTATCTCTTGAATTATAATTTATAATGAAAAATAAAAAGATTTTTAATTTGTATATGATGATATTACAAAATATTAATAATGTTTATCATGAAGTCATTCATATTTTTACTTGTATCTGTAACATTTTCTTTTGAAATTGATGACGGCAAGGTCAAAGGATCAATCATATATAATAGAACTGGTAATTCAACTGGTTGGAACTTTCTTTAAATAAGTTTAGAGAGTATTGAAAATGATGAAGATGTTTTTGCTGCAGCTGGAAGATTTGAAGGAGAAGAATCAAGAGAAGAAATTTATAATGCTTATAGGAATTATGTCTATGGACTATAAGGTGGAAGACATTTTTTACCAAAATCCCTTTAGAGATATGTGCATAATTAATATAATTGGTTAAAAGAATAGAGTTAAACTTAAAATACATCATATTGGAGGATGGTTAAATATCTTTTGATTTAGTTAGAGAATATGTATGAAGGATATAATTATCATTATGGTAAAACAGAAAAAGCTTTGTCTTTTGATTAGTTCTATTTTCTTAGTAATATGGGAGATCTTTAAGATTTGTGGCCAAGTGTTGGAGAAGTACAAACTCAAGGAATTGGAAATTGCAATTCATTTTATAAACCAGGCATAATGGCACATACTACTTTTAACGTTTATCAAACTATGCTTCGAATCTATAAAAGCTATAATTTTAAATTAAAAGATAAAGATGTAGTCAATCAACATTTATCTTTTACAGCAAGACCAGGTGATTTAGAATCTAAAGATGATTTTTTTGTTCTTTGGGATACTTAAATGGTTGTAACAGAAACATCATTTAATAATTATAATAAAGAAAATTATGAGTATTTTCATTATGATTCAGTTCCTTGTTGGATTAGAGTTAATATAGCAAGTAGATTAGCAAAGAATCCAAAAGAATGGATGGATATTTTTGGATTACATAGAAGTGGAACTCACAATAATTAATGGGTTGTTACAGATTATAATAAAGTTTATATGGGAGAAGAGGCTTTCTTTATTTATAAAGTGCATGATCTAACAAATACATTATTAAATAGCTAAGGATATGTTGCATCATATAATGTACCTTTAGATTAAGAAATCTTTGATTCTTTAAGTAAAATTATATTGTATTTTAGAATATCCAAATACTACTTCATATAATGATGATGTAAGAGCTAAATAGTTTAGAATGTATTAAGGAAATTTAAGAACTGTTAGAGAGATTGGAAGATTACTAAGATATAATAAAGTAACAGATGATTTTGATATTTGTGATGGAGCTATATGTCCAAGATGTGATTTAGTAAATGAAAATGAATATCCATTTGGAGGGATTGATGGAAAAGTCATAAGTTAGGATATGATTAAAGTTAAAAAGGTTCATTTGATATCTAGTCCATCTTATTAAGAACATCAAATGTTCAATTGGAAGGCCTTTCCTAATATACCTCATTATGGTATGACTGATAAATGGTCATTCCCATGGTATGAGCTTGATGAAACTAATTTTACAATAAAAGAGTTATATTAAGATTATTGAAATTATAAATTTCGACATATATTTGATTTAACTGTAATACTTATCTAATGATTACCTTCATTTTTTATAATCTATTATTTCATTTATTTATAAAATTTATATATTATAATTATAAGGAAATGGAAAAAAAAAATAGTTAATATTTAAAAAGTTTAAGAGTAATGAAAGAATGATTGTTTATTATGTGTATTTTTAGATAATAATTGATGTCATGTCAATATAATCATGCTACTTGTAATGAAGCAAAATATTACAACTACGTAAATAACGACTAGTACATATCCTATTCGACACTCTTCGAAATCATGATATGTTAATGCCCAGACTGCAAATAATTAAACAACATAAAATAGACCAATCATAAATTAATCAATTCTTCTATTACATTTATAGAGTATTCCATTCATCAAAAAAATAAATCCAATTGGAAATAATATTTCAGCCATGCATTATTGAAAAAATAAAACACTAAATATGGACAATCCTACAATCAAATCAAATAAGCTAAATTTTTAGGGTTTTTCTATTGCTTGAACACTTGATACAGGTTATTCACCATCATCACTTTGTGAATTTATCATTTATTATAATATTTATTCTAAATATTCAACATTATCATGTAATTGTAATGTTAACAAATAGTTTCTTGTATACAATCAAGTTTAATTAAATTATATAAAAAATTAAGAGTGATTGATTTTCAATTCATTCTAAAATTTATGTTAATATTAATTCTAATATAATATTAATATGATTATCTGAATCAAAACACTAAGAATTATAAACAATCTATTGTTATCAACAAACCTTTGAACTGAACTGAAAAAATAATAAATTTAAGTTTAAAGTTTTTAAACGATTTATATTATTCAATTCGTTATAATGAAATGACAGATCAGATAAAGAATTTATTTTACTTAGGAATAGCTTTGAAAACTTTAGGGAGTTTGAATACTTACGAATTTTATTTTGGTTCTGGACTATAAAATGTGAAAAGTTGTTTATCTTCTTTTTGTCGCAAATCTGAAATATTTTGTGGTTTTTAGTTATTGAAAAAATATTTCTTATTCTCAATACTATACATATTATTGAGAGTTTAGACTCTTTAGGTTCTTAAAACTACATTCTTATCTATTTTAGTATATAATCTGCCAATTTACAAATCCTATTCAGAACATTGCTCTAATAACTTTAAATTTTCTTCTAATAATTATTTGATTCTTCTTTACTTTTCTTTATTAATGTTCATAATCATAGCTATTAATAGAATCATATATTACATTAAGATGATTGACTAGAATCAAGGAAATGTTGAGAATGCTTTGGAGATATATGTTTTTTAGGAGTAGGTTCTGTTGATTCTATTGTTTAAATACTCATTCCCTTTTTCTTAAAAATATTTAACTAGGCTTTTGGTAATATATCCATATTTTATATAGTCTGAAAAAGAGGATTAGTGTTAAAATCTTGATTTTATTATAACAAAACACAAATATTGCAAAGAAATATCATTAATATACAAGCATGTAATACAAATTAGTATCTTAGTTAAATAAAATTCTATGTTTATAACTAATCCATTATTCAAATAGCTTAAATCAGATTAAATAATATTGTCTTTATTTTTAATAACCATTTAAGCTTATGTATAAAAACATTTTAATTATTTTATATGAGTTTATATGTCATATTCTTAATAAAATTAATGAGTTATTGTTTCCAATATTCATTATTCTTAATCATTTATTAGTAACCTTATTATTATACAATTTATATTAATTAAAAATAATCATCAGTTCTTTAGATGTTTTAATTTAGAATGTCCATAATATTATTGTAATCTCACTTAAATTAACATAATTAATGTTTTTAGTTATGAAACAAAACAAAACTAAAAGAGAAAAAAAATAATTAGTAATTTAATATCCTAGGGCAAATTTAGGATATAATATACTGATTATGATATATACTTTATATATTAGTGTTTGATTGAAAAGATATTAATAAAATTGATAATACATAATTGAATGTTTGAATTCTTATTAACTCATATAGCTATATTAATTAATAGTGTAATTTAATATATGGGCATTTTGGCAAATAATGAAACTAATAATTTTATATTTATACTTTATAATAATTTCAATAATCATGTTTGAACAATTCTATACCTACTAAAGTTATTAACATGGTATATATCATGTAATATGGATTTTAAATGTTTTAACTTTCTTCAATTGTTTATCCCTGAATATCACCATATAGATTCACACTCAAAACTTATGAAGTTTCTTATTATTATTAATCATCTAAATTATTTATTCAAAAAAATACATGAATTATAGATGAAAGCATTTTTCAAAACTGTTCCAGTTAGTATTGATTGGAACATCATGATTGCATTTATGAATAAATTAGAAATAGCCAATGAAATAGATGCTCCATGACCAAAAATGATTCCAGTAAATAAAACAGCTATAGTACACTATTTATGTAAAGTATAGATACTGATAATAGATTGACAAGTACATAATAATTTCCTTGTCTGTTTTTTAATGGAAAATAAGTATATGAAAAATTTTCAAGTGCTATTTCTTCATCTGGTTTATTTTTTCTCAATTAAAAGGATTTTTCATCATAAAGCTAACATTTAATGATTTAATTTTACAGCTTCCTCACAAATTGTTTTTACTATAAAGATAGTAAGTCCTTTATTGTAATAGGCTAATCCAAATCCAATTAAAAAACCAAAGAGATTATAACCATTTAGTAACAAAATAAAAGTCTTACTAAAAAATATAGCAGTTCCAATAATTAAGATAGCTGCAATAATAAGAGCTCCTGCATTTGTAATTTTTAACCAAACAATATAATTTTTAGCAGCCCAAGTTATGGAATGCAATCGATCTTTAATATTATTAGCAAATTAGGCTAAGAATGATAATTTGAGTCCATCACCTGATAATGTACCTAACATTGATATTCCCATTAGAATATAAATATTTAATATGTATCCCAAAAATAATCCAAGAATTCCAACCAAGGATGCAAGTTTATAAGAAATGAATAAGGATAAAGCAATCAAAAGGGCAGGTACAATTTAACCAATATTTCCAATAGAATATGCTTATATAATATTAAGAGTAGGAGCTTTGTATGAAATAAATGCTACCTTCTGTGCTACTGAATAACCATGACTTGTTAGATATTCATAATAAATGATTAAAATGGCAGAAATAACAATTCCAATAAAACCACATCCCATAAAATCTCTATTAAATACTTTTTCTCTATAAATTTATGAATGATCTTTATCTCCAAATTCAAATTCTTTAGGTATTGATAGTAAAGAAAAGATAACAAAACATAAACTTAAAAATATTGACATCAAAATCTAACATCTTACATTATTAGCAGTGAATGCAACTGCATCATCATTTTTAAGGATATGACTTAAAAATGATATTAATAATTAACCAATCCAACTAAGTATAAATACTAATTGAATTCCAAATATTTTGCCAATAAAATTATCTGAATAATGATAATCAACTGAATTTACTAATACAATTGATGGCATTGATACAAATAATGATAATACTAACATTGAATCAAAGAAATTAACTTCTGCTATTAAAGAAGACATTCCTGCAGCAATTTTAGTTGTATAAGATAAATTATTTCCAATATCACCAAAATATTATTCTTTTTTAATCATTAAATCACAAGCTGCTTGAATTCCTCTACCTGTGACTGACATACCTTCTCTAAAATATATTCCAGAAATCAACATTCCCAATGGAAAACCACTTACCATAATAGCATAATTTTCAGGTTTTGTTGATTGAACTGACATTGCTTTCATTATCAATACTATAAATAAGGAATTCAAGGTTATGATTCCACCTATAAATAATGCTGAAAAGAATCCATTTCCATAAATCCATTTTAAAACATCTTCCTAAATATAAAATTGATTCTCACCTTCCCAATATTAGCTTTAATAGGAATTTTTAGTAATGTACCTATTTTAACCGCAATAATCATATAGGCTATAATACATGTTATTATAGTGCCCCACAAAAAACTTATAAAGAAACCCCAAAACGTTCCCGAGGGTGTTAACCAAGACTAAACTAGTTGTGCTATATATATACGGCTATAATCAATAAGAAGCCTGCTGATGTTATTATTGTTATAATTAGTTAATTTAGGTACAACTCTTTAAAACTGATTTCTATAGTTTATAAATATGTTGCCATATAAGCAGGTAATTCTTATTTCCAATTCTATTCATCTATTTCTTATTCATCATATAAATTTCCATAATCTAAAATCAAGTTTTAATAATCTTCCTCTTATTTTATTGAAAAGTTCTATATAACTATTCAATAATGTTTACTGTTCCTAAAAACCCTAATAGAAATAAAGCTATGGCTAAAACACAAAATATTGATACTATTAAGTATACCGATAAATCTGTGAACATATAAATTATATTTATAATACAATAAAAACGTAAATTTTATTAATTAGTTTCAATTACTTATTAGATAACCAAAATAATTTTACATACTAAATTTGCTAATACTATCAAATAGCCATTTTTAATTGACTATCATAGGAATACACTGGATACATGTATAATTCATTTGAGGATCTTAAACTATTTTAATTATAATAGTATTTTAAGTCTTCTCTTTTAAACTTACAATGTTACCACCACAAAGTTCAATTAAAGTTTCAATATAATCTTGATTAATAATTGTTTTATTAATATTTCCTACTTCAATACTAAATTCATAATCTCTTAGGAAATCATACATTCCACCACGAGTTCTTGATATTTTAGGAGTAAGTGTAGGAAATTCATCCCCTTTAATTTCGAAATCTTCTTCATTTAAAATAGTATCACATTTAAGACTTTCAATTACCCAATCTATATTAATAATCCAAATCCCTCTAGCCAATGCTTCCAAATATTTTAAGGTTCTTCTGGCTATAAATGGTTTATTTGGATTATCAGGTCCTGAAATAAGATGTGTAATCTTAGAATTAATGTTTGAATTTGATTTTATTTTGAATTGTTTTTAAAATCTTTCAAGACATTCCTTAATTTACTAATTTTGGTACCTTATATTCATCAGATAAATTCGAAGTACATATAAAAAAATTAGTGGATTTAGATTTTTTTCTACTCTAATCTGCTTTTATTTTAGTATTATCTTGATCCATTACATTCAAGACTGCCTGAAGTGATATGTTAAGATTTATTTTGTTTAGATTGAAAGGCTATTTACAAAGCGGGCATTTCGTAGATTTAGTTGCTTTTCCATAATTTTGAATGCAATCGCGGCAAAAACTATGTCCACAAGGAATTACAAATGGAATACTAAATAAACTTAAGCTAATATAATATTTATCAATGCTTACCAAATTGAGCATTGTAGTTCATTTGCTAAATTTTCAATCAGCATAAAATATTATAATTGTGAATGAAGTTTATTAAAATAATATTTCATTTTCCCAATTTGATCGTTATAAAAGTTTCAATAAATTCCTATAAGATTCTTATAACAATATATAAACAAATAATGTTCTTAATAACTTATTTTTCTTTAAGTGAGAATAAAGAATGTTGAAGTACAAAAGAGTTATTTGAGAATTTACATTATTGATTATATATTTATTAAATAATTATAATAAATTCATGTTCAATGGATATCAATATGATAAGTAACTTACATTTACAAAAGAGATTGATAAAATAAAGAAGGATTATATTACAGAAAGATAAAATAGAAAAGGTATATGAATTTATATAATACATAGATATGAATTTAAGATTGTCAAAGAATTATAAAAAAAGAGTTGAAAACTTTGTTATTAATATGTTAGAGAACCCTGTAGTTTGTAATGAATATAAACCACCTGAAAGTTATAAATTTAGAGATGAAGATCCAACAAAAAATTTGGGAGATCCTTAAATTTATGTTAAAGGTTTTAAACATGAGAAAGAGAGAATATTAGAAGCCTAAGAGAAAAATAAGGATTTAGATTTTTTACCAAATTTAAAAGTAGGAAAACATTCCTTTAGAGAAAGAGATCCATCTAAAGATATTAAAAGAGATATATTTAGATATAGAGATAAAACAGCTTTGGCAAGAATTGAATAATATCTAAAAGATCATACATAATCATAAGTAGAGAATATGAAAATTGATCATAAAAAAATAATAAGTTTAGAAAACTTTTCAGAAGGAATGTCACCTTTAGAAAGAAGAGCATATTTATCTAGATTGATTGCAAAGAATTTATTACCATCATTACATAATAAAACTCATTTCTAAGCAGCATAAACAATGTTCAATAATTTACCATGTATATATATATATATCTATATTTAAAGTAACATTGATGGAACATACAAGATCATAACCATTATTACATACATAAGAGGAAAATAGAAAAAAACCATTGTAATCTTCTGAAAAATAAAGATTGATGTCTTAAGAGGCACCAGCAAGAATTGAAGATATTGGAAGTGAGAAGGATAAAAAATAAGGAAATGAAATGGAAACATTTAATCCTGTAGAGACATCTAAAATGATATTAAAAAAATGTAATGTTGTTAAAGATAAGAATCCTAAAGTAATATTTATTATGAATATAAGGTACCTACATTACATTAAGGTTCTGGTCATCTAATATCTACAATGGATAAATCAATATAGGATGTTTATAGAGAATTATATCATGTAGATTTTAAGAAATATGATTGAAACATAATAGATTAAGAATTACTATGATTGATTTTATTATATTAAAATTAATTTATGAAAAATTGTGTAAGATAAGCATTCAGATCAAATTCAACATTAAGAGGAGCATGGTCATAAAATTATTTATAAAGACCAGGAGAAGGACAATTAAAAAATGTGACTGTGCTTCCAGGGGATGGAATAGGTCCTGAAATTACTAGTATCTATTTTTAATATCAAAAAAAGGAAGTGTTATGTAAGTTTTTGATGCATTACATGTACCTGTAAAATTTGATGTTTTGGACAATTTTAATTTTGATAATGATGAATAAAGAAATTTATTAAAAAAAAATGAATGCATATTATTAGGAGTCATGACTGAAAAAAATTAAAAATATACAGATAATTACAGATTTTATAAATATTTAGATTTATATGCCAATATTACATTTGCATTTTCAGTTGAAGGTATCAAATAGAGACATAACAATACAGATATTGTTGTTATTAGAGAGAATACAGAAGGTATAATTAATAATATTAAATTAAATAGGAGAATATTCAGGAGTTGAACATGAAGTTTATCCTGGAGTAGTTGAATCAATTAAAGTTACAACTAAATAAGCATCTTTAAGAATTGCTGAATATGCATTTGAATTTGCTCATTTAAGTGGAAGAAAGAAGGTTACTGCAGTTCATAAAGCAAATATAATGAAATTGGTTGATGGATTATTTTTATCTGCTCATAGAGAAGTTGCTTAAAAATATCCTTTCATTAAATATGAAGAAATGATTATTGATAATTGTTGTATGTAATTGGTAAAGAATCCTACTTAATTTGATGTTATGGTTATGCCTAATTTATATGGATCAATTGTTTAAAATGTAGTAGCAGGAATTACAGGAGGAGTAGGAATGGCTGCAGGTGCATCAATAGGTAAGGATCATGCTCTCTTTTCACAAGGATGTAGACATACAGGTAGAGATATAGCAGGTATATATATATATAATTGAAAATAAGGAAAAAATATTGTAAATCCTTCAGCTTTGCTTGTGTCTTCTTCGTTATTATTAAGACACTTAGGATTACCTAATTTTGCTGATTAAATATGTAGTGCTGTTTAAGAAACTATATAAGAGAGAAAAGTAATTTTTATTCTTAATTATTAGCTTAAAACTAAAGATATTGGTGGTAAAGCTAGTACTGAATAATTTACAAAAGAGGTTATCAAATGCTTAGGAAAATGATTATATTCATGATTATCATACGCATTATCAAATCCACATAATTTAATTTAAAAAAACATCTATGTTATATTAATCAACATTAAATAAATGGATATTATTATTATTAATCCAAATGTTAAAAAGATTGAAATAAGACAAATAATGTCATATGTAGATAAAATTAATAAGAATATAATAATTAAAGTTCATTTGATAATTAAATTAATAATCATAATTATTAGACTAAAAAATTATTAATTTGATACTATTTTTACAATAATAATTAATAAAATTAATAATTATATAATCAATTTATAAAGAAAAAAACAATCTCATAAAAATAGATCTATGTATAATCAATATTTAGATTTAAGAATAAATATATCATAATAATTCTATTAATTAATCTCATTTAAAAAATAACTAGAATATCTAAGTTTTTTTAATAATATAGTATTAATGATTTAATTAGTATATTCATATTAAATGCAATTAAGTATATTCAATTTTAAAAATTACTTCACTCAACTTTTTTAAATTATAAGTAGATATTTCTTTATTTTATTAGGTTTTATTATTATATTTCTAATAATGATTTAGAAGTTATTTCTATTCATATTTAATTTATTTCATTTTATTTTTGTTGAATTTCATCTTATCATTTTAAGTTTCTGATGAAAAAGTTTAAGTGATATAGATACAACTATTTGATATATTTAATTGCATTTTTAACATAAAATTAATTATAATAATGATTCATAACTTATTAATAATAGTATTTTTTGCCTTATGGACTGTCCTTTTTATCGTTTTGATATTGATAGGTTATTTCTTAGAAAAAAAATATAAGTTAGCAGCTATTAATCCTGAGGTTAAACATTAAACACCATAAGATAGTGTGATTTTTCTTAATCATATGTTAATTTCTAACGTTTAGAAGCAGTCTTAGTAGAAGAATGATAGTTAATTGGTTGAGGAAATAATAAGTAACTAAAGAACATAATCATAATAAAAGATTTAAGAGTAGATTAGTAAGAATGAAGTTAAAATTGAATACACATCAATCTAAAAGGAAAAAGCTGTTAAAGTGTCTCCACTTAAGATTAATCGATAATAGAAATAGATACAAACATAAACAATATTCTCAAGAAAACCTATTATTGGAATTTTGGAAGGAATAGATACTCTATAATCAACAAATCGAAGAAGTGTACGATCAAGATAGTCAGCAAATAATAGTGAGAGAAATAGCATTTTTGGATCGAATTAAAATTAAAAACACATCAATCATGCAAAGATACATTCAAGTTCAAATTTTTAGACAAGTGGAAATTTACTTGTTCTTTAGAATGGTAAAATTCCCAAACCAACCAAGGACTATTATGTACTAAAATTTTGTTTTAATTAGAAATGTAATTCATTTGCTAAAATATTTTACACTCATAAAATTGGATTATCAAGAATTTTTATGCTCTCATAAATTTATTTTAGACAGATGCTATGTTTTGAAATTTGTGGAGTATTATTACTATTTGTTTAACAATTATAGTATTATTATATTATGGGATCTTCATGTGGAGGATATTTGGTTTTAAAAATATATGATTATTACATAATAAAGTCTATATGTAAGGATAAAAGAGGTTGCCTTATTAGATTGATCAGTTATATGATATGGGCAATTGAATTGTCTATTTTAATTTTAGGAATTATGTATTATGAAGTTAACAATTTCATTTGTCTACAATATTATGCACCTAGTTTAGTTATGGAATTATTTATTGTTGATCCTATGAGATATTTCTTAATTAAAAATTGTTAAGCAAAACCAAGAATCATAATAAATAAGAAATCATAGATTATTAAATGAATTAGATTAAATTTTATATTAATTATTAAAATTTTGATGTCTCATAAATTAAATAACATAAGTACAAAAGTGTCTAGTTAAGATAATGTGAAAATTATTAGAATATAATCTAATAAAAATCATAAATCTCATAAAAATCTTATCAATACAAATAAAATTGATCCTGAAATATTGAATAATTAGAATAATTAATTAAAATCTTAAATCAACTCATTGTCTGATGAAGTCTAATTTTGGAAATTAAAATATCAATAAATTTAAGTATTGATTGATTTAAGAATAGAGAGACTCTACCCAAAATCTTATGTTTGATAATAGCAAAACATTTTTAATAAATCTAAAACAATAATTGAAAAAATCAGAATTAGATTTAAATGATAAAATTAAATAGATAGAAGAATATAAGAAGATGATTAATATTACTAAATATTAGGAATTGCAAGTATAATTAATATATTATGATTATTAGGTTGAATTATTTAATTATTAATAATAAGCCCTCCTTTATTAATAGGAGATAAATGATTTAAAAGAGCAATTAAAAGAATATTAAAACTATAAAATAGAAGATTTATATTAAAAGTAAGAAAAGAGAATTTAGAATATATCAAAAAAAAATCATGATCTTAAATTAGAAATTATAAATATGAAAACTCAAAGACATTTTTTAACAAGTTAAATTGAATCATTAAAAATTTAATTGATTATTAAAGATAAAGAAATTAACAGATTAAACTCTTTTTAAAAAAAATTTGAGGAGAACTAATTATATTAGAATGCAGTAACTAAATCAAGATAATAAATTTTTAGAGAATCTCTCGAAAATGTTCAATTATAGGAATAATTAAAAAATTTAGAATTTCGCTATTCTTCTGATATCAAAGATAAAGATTAAGAAATTAATGATTTAAAAATTTAATTATTAGAATTAGGAGAATTAAAATAATAATTAGAAAAATTCCAATAAATTTCTTAAGAATAAAACATAAATTTACTTGAAATTCAAAAAGTAGAATCAAGATAAGATTCTAATAGAAAATTAAAAATATCACTTAATAATTCAGGAATATCTTAATAATAATAAAATTATTCAGTATTAAGATAATCTAGTTAATAATATAAATAGAGTATACAAATGGATTAATCAAAAAATACTGAATTAACTAAATATTATAATGAAATTGGTGAAAGTGAAAAATAGTTATAATAAAGCAATAAATAATTAAAAAAAATTATAAGAGTTAATTAATATGATGTTATAAATTTTGGTTTAGAAATCAAATTTAAATTATTAAGTAAAGAAGTATCAATATAAGATGTTGAAATGTTATTTGGAAAGTATGAATAACAAATAAAAATTCATCAATTATTAGATTTGTTGCTATAAGAACCATTTAAAATTTAGAGTTATGAATAAAGAAAACTTATTGCAAGATATTTAATTGAGGATAACAATTAAGATTATATTGTGTATGATGCTTTAAGAAGTAACGATATTTAAATTGTTATGAGTGTTTTCAAACAATTAATTGGGAAATATGAATTATTTACAAAAAAAGAAATTAATTCTATAGAAAATGAATTGAAACATATTTTTGAGAAATACTAATTTTAATTTAATGATGCAATTTAATAAATTATTATAAAGAAAAAACATTTAAAACTTGGCTAATGTGAAAAAGCAGATTATGAATAGGCTATCAAATTTTCAGAAATAAATTTCACTCCTAGATAATTGGAATATATTTATTTTATTAATTATACATTTTTCCAGGATTTATCAATAATATACTATCAAAATGTGATAACATATTTTAATAAATCTAAATGAATTCAATTCTTTAAAAACTAATAAATTTATCTTTTTTTTTAATATTAAAATTTTAATTTAATGTTATTTTTACAATATATTTATTTCTTTTCCTTTTTTCATAAATTAAATTAATTAAAAATGAAATTTCAAGATTTTACAAAAATGAATTAGAAAAACATTCTATATGGAGGGTTTGCTTTAGTTCTTTCTAGTGGATTTAGTGCTTGGGCATTAGGTAAATTTATTGGTTATCTTAATCATAAAAAAATGGCTAGGATTTGTAAAAGAAAAAGATAAGCAACAATTGAAGCTATAAATAATTATAAATTAAACCATCAACCATGTTAATTGAGTTAAGATATTTAAAACTAAATACTTAACGGTAATGTTGCTTAAATAAAATAATTATTATTTGAAGGAAAAACGACTGTTTAATAAATAGTGTTAGTTTTTATTGAAAGAATACTTAAGGTGGCATGTTCAGACAAACTTAATATTATAACAGAAATCAATTTTAATGAAGCATTAGAAGAAGCCAAGTAAGTTTGATTAATAATTTAGAAAATAAGACGAGGAAATATAATAAGATAAAAATATAATAAATTAATATGCTTTATTTGGTATTCCTGTATCAGTAAAAGAAACATTTATTCAGAAAAACTTTGACTCTACTTTTGGATTAGGAATTAATTGTTTTAAACCTGCTTAAGAAGATGGAATATAAGTTGCTTAAATTAGATAAGCTAAAGGTATAATTATAGCTAGGACTAACATTCCTTAAGTGGCTATGACATTTGAATCAATAAATCATATTTATGGAACAACAAAGAATCCATGGAATCCAAACAGATCTGTTGGAGGATCTTCTGGAGGAGAAGGAGCTTTAGCAGCTGCAAGAGGAAGTGTTTTGGGAATTGGATCAGACATAGGTGGGAGCATACGTATACCAGCAGCATTTTGTGGTGTATATGGATTCAAACCATATAGTGGTAGGATTCCAGATTATGGTGAGGCTAAGATTTCATTTGCAGCTTTTGGACAAATGCAATTAAAAATATCTAGAGGACCTATAGCTAGATGTGTAGATGATTTAATTGTTCTAACAAAGGTTCTGTTTGATAAAGAAATTTATTCTAAAATTCCTTATTAAATAAAGGATCCTTATTTTGAACCTTAAGAATTAGGTGAATTACCATAGAAGTAAAAATTAAGGGTTGGATATTTTGATATATTTAATGGATTAATTACACCTAATTGTATGAGTAGAGCAGTACATGAAGCTTGTTAAGCATTGTAACTTTAAGGACATGAAATAGTTGAATTTAAGGTAAATAAATAAATGTAAAGTATTATTGCTAATTGTTTTTTAAAAATAGTTGTTGCTGATGGAGGAATGAAATCTTATATTGAAGCTTTGAATGGCTAAAAATTTATAGAAGAGTATGATCTTTTAGTATAAGATTCAAATACATCTTTAGGAATCAAAAGATTTATTTTAGGTCCATTATTTAAGTTATTAGGATAAAAGACTCTTTTGGAATATAACTATAATTCAAAAGTAGATGTATATTAATATTTGGTTGATTCAGCAATTAGAAAATAAACTAATTTATAATTTTGTTAAGCAGTTCATGATTAAGGAATAGATGTTATAATCTCTCCTGCTTTTGGGTTACCTGCTGTGAAACATGGAGATTCTAAAGAATTGGCATTTGCTGCGTATATTAATGTTCTTATAATAGATTATATACTTGGATGTGGAATGTTTTAGATTTTCCTGCAGGTAGTTTACCTGTAACAATAGTTCAAAATGATTAAGATTTAGAAATTAAAGGTTAAGAAAATTCAATTGATCTTTTTTATAGATTTATGAAAAGCGATTTATAAGGAGCAATAGGTCTTCCAGTCAATGTTTAAGTATCAGCCTTACCTAATAAAGATGAAATGGTTTTAAGAGTAATGAAAGAAATCGAGGCTGTTGTGAAATTTAATTCCAAACATCCATATCCTGAATTAAACTGAAGGAAATGTTTAATTGAGTGTTATAAATATCTAAATAGATATATAATAATAATGATTTCTAATCTTATTAAAATATAAAGAATCATTTCTTAAAAATTTTTTATTTATTTATTTAGTTTTGCTTTATATAATTTAAGAGTATTCATAACATTGTTGTAATAAACACATTATTTTATGGTTTTTACTCAGAATTTTTTTATTTAGTTGTGAATATTTTAATAAAATTGTATAATTTTTGATGAAACATTTAGTTATTACTCTTATCATAGATATTTATATATTAATTTGAGATCTCAATAATTTTATTTGAGTAGGTTTATTATATTAAATTTGATAATTAAAATAATGAATTAGTAACAGAATCCACAACAAACTCCTTAAACTCCTAGGTTCAAATTTCTTCAGGAATTATAGAACAATTCATAATCTGATAATTGGTAAGAAGGATCTGGAGCAAAATACGGAAAATTATTGTTTTTGATATTTCAAATGATTTTCTATTGCATATTAGTTTATAGTTTTGCATTTGGAAATCCTAAAGAGCTTGGATAACCTTTTGATATTGACAGTATGTTTATATTAAAAATTTAAAGATTCTCCATGTGGGGCAGGTACTGGAAAAGAAGAATATAAATTTGCATATTTTGTTAACCCTGATAGTGAAGAATTCTTATATAGAACATTGTGTCTTAAGGAATGTCCTTAAGTAGAAAATAAAATGGCTGAAGCTGATGGTAATGGAATTGAATATTATATTTAGATTCTATTGTATTAGATTGTCATCCAAATATAGAGATTGCATCATGTGATGTTCGTATTCAACCTGATCATCCTGAATATAATGTTCTATATTATGATACAATTCCTTTTATTAATGTTTGTGCACCAACTGAAAAATAACGATTATAAAATGTGATGAAAGCTCTTTATAAGCCCTTCACTGTAAGAGTATTATCAGACTTTTATAATTCAAAATTAATTTTTATTGGTTTAGCATTATTAGCACTTGGATTAAAGTATATACAGTTTTAATATAAATTTATAGTTTTCTAATTATCTATAAAATAGATGATTATCCACGTCTTGTAATTTGGATAATAGTAATAATAGCAATTTTAGGATTTTTTGGAAATGGTGTTTTAGGATTATTATATGCTAAAAATTTATAAATTCATGGACAGATAGAATAAGAAAATAAATTATCAAAAGAATAAGTTATTGGTTATTTGCATTCAAATTATGTTAATTCAAATACTATATTTATAATTAGTATTATTTTTATGTTGTTTGGCTTGATAGTTTTTATTTTTACTATTATTTGGAGAAAGAATATAACTACAGTTGGATAAAAGGCTGAAATTATGAATAATTACTATTTAATTTCTCAACCAGATTAAGATGTGAATTATTTAGAATCTTTATTAAAAGTGTTTTTAAGTTTAACTGTGTTATTGGCAGTTTTCTTTATGTTTATATTGATGGCTCTATTTTATTTATTTACAACTAGTTAACCTAAAAATGAATAACATTAATTAGCTTTTGAATCATTTTAGATTGATATTATTGAAATTATATTCTTTACTATTATAGCTATAGAATTAGTTTTGGTTCCATTTCTTGTAATAGGATTTAGTAAATTGTTAGTAATTAATATTATTATTGAAATCTATAAACAATAAATTTTAGAAGTAGATGAGGAATATTTAAGATAATACAAATTAACTCTTAAATAAAGATCTTTATAAGATTGTATAGGAAAAACTGTTAGATATCATTTTGGTGAATTGATGTGGGGTATGTTTAGATTGTACATTGCTTTTTGCTCTAAACCAATATTTTTGAGTGGATTTAGATCCTTTATATCTGTATGTTTGACATAAAAAGGTTTTTTGTAATCAGCATAAAATTAATTGGATTATGATTAATAATTATAAAACAAAAATAGAAAACACTATTAAGGATTAGATTATTAATTAATCATAAGTTTTGGTGTTTCTAATACTTGTATTTTAGTATATATGGTATTATTACTTTATTCACCTGTTTGTCTAGCAATACATACTCCTCCAAATTAAATTTTGGCAATTTACCTCTTTACTTTTATGGTAAGACAATCTTTTAATTTTCTAGATATCCTATTTGTTTTCGACACTCTATGGTATGGGCATGGATACACTTAATTTTCTGCTTTACAAGGATTTACATGAAGATCCTAACAGAAATTATATTGGATCTAGTGTCTAAGCTTAATTTAGAATGATAGCACTTCCTTAGATATCTATGCCAGCTTAAGAAGTAGAAGAATTTTTAAATAATGAAATCGATAAATTTTAAGGATTTTAAGAAAATTTAAATTGATTTAATCTGAAAATTTATTATTATTATTATAAAAATTAACTTATGATTAAATTTTTGGAATATAAAATTATTATATTTCATTCAATTAAATCAAATAAATGAAAACATTCTAAATTTTGTTAACTTTCATTATTGAATTACTCTGACTTATTTAAATATTGGATCTACAATTTATATTTTTTTTTTATTCATCATTAATTTTAAAAGTATTCTCAAAATAAAGCATTCTCATTTTTTATTCATTTTTTTTAATATTTAAAAAATAGAAATCAACATAGACTTGTAATCAATATTGATACATAATTTTATTACTATATTATCATTTTTTAAAGAGAATTATTATAAAATTAAATGAAGATACAACTTTTTGTACTTTCAATTATTTTAATAAGTGGAAATGAATGTGTTTTAAAAAGATAATCTTGCAAAGACTTAAATACTAAAAAATAATGTAATAATACAGACGATAAGGCTTTATAATGTTACTGGAACAACTCTTGTTTCAATAATAAATATTAATCTTGTTATTTATTCTTGACTGAATCAGAGTGTTAAGAGAGTAGTGAATATTTATGTTATTGGTAAAATGGATAATGTATAAAAAACAAAAAGTATTATTATTCTTAAAAAGTTGAACTGAAAATAATATATGTGAAAATATTGATAATTATATTGATTGTAGTCATACAGAGAGAAGATAAGAATAATTTTGTACATGGAAGCATGGACGTTGTTAAACTATTTAGAAATGTTCTGAAATAACAGACTTTAAATAATGCAGAAATGCTCATATTAGAGAGAGGTATACAAATTGATAATTAATAAAAGATGTCAATATGTGATTAATAATGTAGCCTCTAGTCAAGAGAAAGAATATATCTATATAGCAGATATTTTTGATTATAATAATTGCAGAGAAGAAGATTGTTTATTTAAAACATATACTTCTTGTCCTGAATTTATTAATGGAAGAAGATGTTTCTTAAATTCAGGATAATGTACATAATGTTCTTATTAAACAAATCCATAGGATTGTATAGTCACAAAATAATGTACTTGGTAAAGTTCTGAATGTTCAAACATTTTGTAATATTTTATATCCATATTATTTAAGGTGTTATTAAATCACAAGTAAAAGATTGTGTAATTAAATCAACTATTGTCAATATGATTTTACTACTTAAAGTTGCTAAATCAAAAATATAGATAAGACTAGTCATTGTTATAATTATAACATTAGTTCTGATCCCATTAAAACAAAATATAATAGTTTTTTTGGTTTATGAAATCTAATATTGTATATTAAAATCATTAAAATTGCTATAAAACTTATTATTTAGTTAAAGTAGGAAAGACAATTGAATCAGAAGTCTTTTATGCAGTATTTTGTCTTGTTGGAGTTAGAGCTTGACGATAAGTAATTATTTATTGATTTTGCTATAATGGCTATAAATTTTATAATGATTTCTATTTATAATATTCGCATTCTTAATTCTTCTTCTCCAAAAGGTGTGTTAAAGCTTGAAGTTGATTGGCAAGTTCCAATAATTATTGATTCTAATTTTAATAATTGATTGGTTATTATTGTATTTAATTGGATAATTATTATATCTATATCTTATATTATTAAATTTACTAATTCTATTATTAAATCTATTATGATAATAAATTAAACTAATTTATTAATAAATAACTTTACTTAATTGATATAAGAATTTAAGTCTTTTTGTAATTATTAATTTTGATTTCTTAATTGAGAATCTTCTTTACTTTTTTCATCTAAGATCTTTCTAATTGCAAATAATTCATTTTCATATGATTATTTTTAATTTATTAATTAAGTTTCTAAATTACTTATACGTTCTATATGATGTTAATCTTTCATAGCCAATTCAGTTTCTTTTTATTTTTCTAATTATCTATATTTTTATTCCCAAATATTATCTGTGTTTTGAATAGGAGTGAAATAATTTTTTTGTTGTAATGTTTATATCTATTATCTTAAATCCTGAACTAATTATTATAAATAAACTTTTTCTTGCAATTCTTCAATATTATTATTGCTTACACTTCTATAACTGTATTCTCGATTATTTTTAGGTGTGTATGAATTATATGAAGATTGAGGCTTTTAGCTTTGTATTCTTGATGAATATTTAATTTCTTCAATTTCTTATTCATATTATTGCTTCTGTTATTTTATTTCACTTTTTAATTTATTTATTTCTTCTTGTTATTCGTTGTTAACTTTTTATAAGTTCTATTCTTATTCTTGCATTCTTTTTTCGATTTATTATATTGTATTCCACAAATCAGGTTTATTATTGTTGTAATTTTATTTATAATCCCTTATACTTGGTTTCAGATCAAGCATTTATTCTAATTATTCTCGATATTATTCAGATGAACTTTACAAGACATCTTCAGTTAGAGTTTCATTATTTTATAATTGACTGATTGGATTTTACTATAATTTAGGTCCTTTGTATGTTTGCTAAGAAGGTGGTGTAATTTTATACATAAAGAAATTACTAATTATATTTATATATCAAACAACCTCATAAGCCATTCCCATTCTTCTTAATTTGAGTCTCTAAAATTATAATCCTGATTCTTCTTCCTTCTTTAGAACCCACTGAAACATTCTAAACATAATATACAATATTCCAGCAACAAATGAAGCAAAATAAAGTTATTCCCTTGAGACTTCTAAATAAACTCCTTTTCTATGATAGGCTTCTACCTTTTCTTAATATTCTCTCATTTGTCTATCAGATATGGGAATTAATGGAGTATGTCTGAATTCTTCTACAGGTCTAAGTTTCAAGAATCTATGTGCATGCTCAGTTTCTATTGTACCAGGTATAGATATATTAAGTGCCCTATTCTCTCTTATTTCTTCCATATATTTATTATTATTCAATAAAGCATAGGGTATAGCATCTTCTTTTAATGTTTCTTTCATTTCATTTCTTACTTCATAAAAGGGTCTCACTGCATTTCCATATAAGCCTTCTTTAAATTGTTAAATTGCATTTTCGTACTCTTAATAAGAAGTATGTTCATTTAATTTAAGAATTTCAAACATCTTCATCGTCACTGTCTTAGGAGGTCTGCAAATTAATATTGACACAAATTCATTACTCCACTTTCTCCACTGTAAGATCCAAACCTACATTTTTAATAGGTAAACCATATTTTTATGGTAAATCTTATCTAGTAGGTTGTTTTGGTTCTTCTTTGGGAGTAATTTCTTATTGGGCCTTTTTTTGAATGATATCTAATAGTTCATTGATATTGGATTTCTCATACAAAGTGTCGATAGTAACTTGATTATCCAGATTCTATTGAACATTATTAGTAGTAGGCTCTTCCTCTTTAAAAAGTATTTTCGATATTTCATCTTGAGATAATTTAGTGGAATCTTTATAAATTCTTGATTAACTATCATGAATACTTCTGTGTAGCATATCTCCATAATCTTCTATTTGTAAATAAGAGCATAATTAAATTATTAATAGAGATGAATTAGATATTGATAACAATTTTTATAGATAAATATAGATAAAATCCAAAATTATTCATAAACTATTTAATTATTAGTGCAATTGATGCATTTCACAAAGTTTTTTGAATCCCTTTAAATTAATTTCTGTATATGAGTCTTCTTCAATTTAATTTAAAACAACTTCAATAGCCTACAAAGTTTCAAAGTCTAAATCATCTAAGCTAAGATTATCTTTGCTTATATATCCATCCTTATCACTATCTAATTAATTAAAAATCCTTTAAATATTTAAATCAAATAAAGATTATGAACTTTATTAAGATTGAATTCTTGTTTCAGATTAACTAAAAGAATTCTTACTATATAAACGTGATTGCATTTTCTATAAATCCTAAGCAATTTGAATATCTTCATATTCTTTCATTTCACTAACCTTCTTATAAGTAGAATCTTTATTTATATTTGGTTTAAAAGTGACTTAATTTTAAATTTAAATTTAGTATTCTTATCTAATAAATATAATATAATTAAATTACTTTTTTTTTTCAATTCTTTTTTATTTTTCTTCATGTTCTTTTACTAATTTATCTACTAATATCTTTTAATATGCTGAAGTATGTTTAATTTCATTATTTTAAGAATTAGGATGGAATGGATGAATTTTCTAAAATTCTCTATTTTAAAATTCTTCTTTCTTTTTCTTATCTTCCTTAGCTTAAAAATATAATTTATCATGAATTGGAGTATTTGATCTATTTTGAGAATGATTTCTACTTGTATCCGTAATTCTAGGTTAAAAAGGAGATTATTTTCTTTCCTATTCTTATATTTACATACGATGTTTTTCTTTCTTTAAATTTAAATCTAAACCCTTTTAATATAATTGATTTCCAATATTATTAATAGAACAATCAGGTTTACTTAATTTCTTTTACTCTACAATTTATCTTGATCTAGGAGATATTAAAGGTTAAAATGTAGCTTATTATTATTCCAATTAAGATTTTTAGAGTTTATACTATTCAGCCTTTTCCATTTTGTTTTTTTGTCTATCCAAACCATCTCGATATAGTCTTTCATTAGTTGATACTTTTTTATTATCGTTGAAAGCTAAAATAAATTTAAAATTATATACATCTAGCTGAACTAGGAACATTCCATTATACTGTATTTTAATTTACAGTCCTTATTTATTTGAGATCTGTTTTTTTATTTATGATTTATTACCATTTTTCATAACTTTTTTAAGCTGAATTTTAATTTTCATCAATACTACTAGCTTAAGTAGTAATGCCATAGTCACTTTGTTAACTTGGACTAGGATATAGTAATTGATGAGAAATATTATTCTAACCAAAGCTTTCTCCAAATCTAGGAGAAGATTCTCTTTTCAATTATTCATTAATTTGATTAACTAAATAGAGAACACAATCTTATCCCAAATAATGGTTTTAACAAAATACTCTAACAATGTGTTCTACATCTTCACCTTCATAAACTCTTATTTCTTCATCTCGATCATTCATTTGTAGACTAACAATAGCAATTGGTTGAGGTTCTGTTTTAATTGAATACATAATAATTATACAAATTATTAATATTATTTCTTGTATGAACTTCTAATTAATATTTCATTATTTCAAATTAGTTCTTCATATCAATAATAAATAAACCTTTTATTAAATAGTAAAATAATAGTCAACATTAACTAATATTTTATTATACTTATTTAAAATTTGAATAATATAAGTATATTAAATAAATAATAAAAAACATATAATGAAATAAACTCAACAACAACCATCACTACTTTTTTTAGATTAAGTCTTTGTTGTTTTGGGTTCTGACAATACTACATGTTCTGATTCCACTTAAACTACCTTCTTTACTATTTTAGACCCAATTGTATTAAAAATATCTTTTGATATTATAACAATGCTATACTTGATACAATTTTATTGAATGCAACATCTATATTAGTACCATCTAATGCTGATGTTTCTATGAATCCAATTTTCTATTATTCACAAAAGTTTGATGCTTCATCTGTTCTTACAGTCTATATAAAAATTAAAGTTTACTCTTTAATCAACTGCATCTATTTTATTTCCAATCATTATAATTACAATGTTTCCATCTGCATGTTCCTTTAACTCTGTTAACCATTTTTCTGTATTTCTGAATGTGACATCTCTTGTTACATCATAACAAATAAATGCCCCCACAGCTCCTCTATAATATGCATTTGTAATGGCTCTATATCTAAAATATTGTTTTTCACATTTTCTAACCTTTCTTATCCTGCAGTATCCCAAATTTAACATTTAACAGATTTTCCTGATTGTTATATTGTCTTCGTTGCAAATTCAACTCCAATCGTTGGCTTCGATTCAAGTTGGAATTCATTATTTATGAATTTCTTTAGAATATTTGTTTTTCCTACTCCTGAATCTCCTAAAATCTTTAATCATGAAACTCACCAATCAAAACAATTTTAAATAAGAAATCATATTCTTCATCATTTGTTCTCGTCATTAATAATTAAATTTATAATAATAACAATTAGAAATAAATTCATTGTATATCTCTTCAAAATTAATCAATCCTCATTCATATTTAAATAACATATAATTCTAACATTTTAATAATACATCCTCAATCAATTATCTAAATACTATGTAACTATTTAATGAATGTTTATTTAATTTTTTCAATTTGGCTAAGTTTTCTTATAAAGCATTCAAATTTTATAAAACAAGGTTAAACTTAATCCCAATCTATTCATTTATTATATAATCTTTCATCTATGCAATTAATAGTATTATAATACTGCTCTTTCCATCTAATAAAGCAATTATTCTTAGTTTATTAGGATTATGAATTTAATGTTATTAATTCTTGTAAGGAGTTTGCTCATAAGTATTCAAAATGTTATTTATGAATATCTGCCTTGTTTGATAATTGAGTTTTCTTAAGATAAAAGTTCTTTTGAACTATAATTCTTAAAACGATTTTAATAGACTTTTTATGTTTATTTAATTTACTATTAAGAGTTAAAATTAATGCTAAATATTTTCATTAATATAAGAATCATTCATATAACCTAAAACCATTAAACAGAAAAAGATGATGAATTTCATTTTCTAATTATTAATTAATTAATAATTAAAATAATTCAAATTTTATCTTATGATCCTAGAATTTTTAACAATTTATAGTGACTTATTAAAGCATTTAAAAATGATGGGAATTCAAAATATCTAATTAATTTATATATATATTTTACTTGATATTAGCTTATTTAGCTTTCTCTTTAATAATATTTTATATTTCTTTTAATCTAGTGTGTGCAAACTATGGAAATAAATGATGTTCAATCTATGTAATTATTATATATATACTTAAAAATTCAGTCCACCAGATAAATGAGTCCAAATAAAAGAATCAAGAGCAAAATTAGAAGAATTTTAGATTTACAATTTACCCCAATTTGTTTAATTGATATTTTGATTATCCACAACACCTGCTTCAAGAGTCCAATGATTAACAGAGAAATACAAAGCATAATTATAACTGTGAACAGCATTATACACAAACCACATTCCAAATGCAATTTTGTATGAAAATTTTATTGAAGGATAAATTAATGTTAATGAAATCCATAAAATTTTTACAATTATTTACAAAAAGACTTACAATTTAGATACATATCCTCTTCTGCAAGGATAATTACTGAACCATTACATTTCATCAAAAGTTCCAAAAACATCAGTAAAATTAACAAATGTATAAATAATCCATATATACAAATGTTAATATTTATGATACCAAAATCTTTATTAAAGAGGATGTAATCTTATATATGGAAATGTAGTATCAAATGCTCTATCTAATTCTAAATGATTAACACAACTATGATGTCCAAAATTATGAGATCTTCTATAAACAACACTTGTTGAAAAAGAAAGATCTAAAACATAACCAGCTAAAAATGATAATGTTTTATTTGATGAAAAAGCATAATGATTTCCATCATGCATTATATTTACATCAGCCTAATAATCAATTTATTAAATTACTTATGCAGCAAAAAATCCTAATAATATTGCAGACAATAAGGTACAATAATTTATATAATAATATAAGCATGCTAAATATCCAGTCAAACATAGAAATCCTTTTAAAAATAAAATCCAATGATTTTGCCATTTATTTCTTGGTATCATTTATTCAACTTCTTCTTTTATATTTTAATAGAAATCATCATCATATGAATAATATTATTAATAGTCTCTCACCTTTCCTATCATATATTGTTAAGGAGGCTCTTATTTTGTCAATATACTAGGATGATAAGAATACCAAAGAGCTGTACAATCTCCACCTGCTCCATCAAGAATCATATTACCACTTGATTAATTATATATTAAGTTACCCTGGATGATATTATAAGAATGATGTAACATCATATATTTTATCTTTAATTACTATCCAACAATTATTAGGAGAATCATGTTTCACTATTTCACACCAACTAAATTCTTAAGTTTTTTATTTTATTTATCTTTGCTTTTCTTATTATCTCTAGTTTATTTATAAGAATCTTAATGATTTTTATTCTCTGATACTAAGAATTTCACAAACAATCACAAAACAGAAACTAATAGAAAATATACGTAATTTCATAGTATCAGTAGGTAATGCAACTTTATCATAAGCAATTATTGAAACAGGTAATAAAAACATCATTTATGATAAAATGACAATATTTACAATTTTCCAGAGTACATTTTATCTCCAAATAAATATTTTTGGCAATAAATCTATAGTATATAACATAATCACTGAAATCTCCAATGTTTTCATTAATATCTGTCTTAAGTATAGATTTTCTTCAGATAGCATATCAAATGTAGGAAATGGCCATAAATAAGCACCTATTGCAAATATTATTTTTAATATTGGCCATGCCGGTATTTTAATCTCAATCCATGGTACAAGTAGCATAATCATATGAAACAATAACAGCATTATGAAAAACCCTCTGAAGACCCGATGACTATGAACCATCAAAAACAGTTAAAAAGAGTTGCTGTACTTTTTAGTGAGGTTAAGAGTCGATATTTTAAAATCGCCCATTTAAATAAGTATATAATTTATAATCAATACACATTTTGTTATTAAATTCTTTAAATTTTAATTCAAAAGATCTTTATTAGTTAGAATATATTACATTATAAAAATCAGAATATATGAATAGAATACATTTTATATAATTATAGAATATAAATATTTTTATTATCTGATGATATTGTTATAAACAATAATAATTAATCAATAATTCATTCAGGTTTACTTTAAAATTTTAAATTTATATGATCATGCAATGCTTTTTCTGCAATTTTACTCTATTCATCTTACCAATGACCTACTACTGCAATTAAAGGAAAACATGCTACTAACCCAACATTATATAAAATATGCTTAGTAAATTTCTTTTTTGAAAATACTTAATTAAATGAAAATGCGTACCTTTTGCACAAAATCCAGCTGTAAAAGTAAAAGCTAAAGTATTCGATAGCATTCTTATCTATCCATATTAACGCAATTCTGGAAGAGTATCTTATAAGCTTTTATGATCATCCAAGTATTTATGTCTTGCCTTCATAAATATAATTTAATTATTTTATAATAAATAGATTAAATAAATTTTAACAATATTATACTAATTGTATAAAAAGTTCTGTATAATTTTTAGATTCTTTAACTATTGAAAATAAAATTTAATTTCATGTATTTATTCAAAGTAAAATAGCTGTTGATTCTAATTTTAACTTTAATTATATATATAATTAATATTTTAAAATTTTTGTGATAAAACGCATTGCATAACAAGAAAAAAAAGTGTTATATTTATATTTTTAATGGATGAAATCTGATTTTCAGGTCTTAAATCTTATGGTTATTATTAATATAGATATTTTCATGTTGAATAGCACAAATAAATATCAAAGGATCATTTATATAATCTTTAATAAAACTCGATAATGTAAAATTAATAATCAATATCGCATGACCTAATTTAATTAGGATCCTTGTTACTAATACAAATATATTGGTATGAACATAGCACAAGGATAAGCCATAGGATATTAGATAAACTAATTTTGATATAATGGCATAAACAATTGCATGTTTTATTCTTTAGGAACTTGTTAATAATTAGTTTAAAACGAAGATTCTTATTTTATTGGATTAGTTATTTGCTTTTCTTATTTTTATTCACAATAATTGGATTCATTTAACTTTTATTTTTTTTCAGGTACAATGTAATATGGGTTTTTAATGTTTAGATATTTGTTTCTTAAGTAGGAATAGAATCTATTTTTTATACTATTTTCTGATCTGTTATTTAAATGCTTGCTAATCTGACTCCATTTACCACCAAGCTTTTTATAAAATTCTACTACTATTTCATCTTCTTCCTTATTCCATGGTTAATTATTAATATCTGGATGTAATTAGTTAAGATAATGTTCTCTTATCTGCTTTCCAGTTCTTTATGGAAGAAAAGAACTAATTTTACTCCAATGATAACCAAATTTAGCAACTAAGTCAATAAGTTTTTGATTTTCTTCTTCAGTCCATTACTTTCTTAACTTGAATCCTTTTATTCGTTTCCATCTCTATGCACATTATGATGGATTTCTTCCATCAATTCTTCTTGCCACCTCAATCCAATCTAAATTGTTGTTTTTTCTAAGTTCTGTCAACAGTTCATCCTCCTTGGTGGTCCATGGTTTTCTTTATGGTATTGGTGTGTATGAATTTGATGATGAAATTGACATTTATTTAATTTTTGAAAATTAGAAGGAAAGGGTTATTAAAATGAATTCAGTTTTTTCTTTAATTCAGTTATTTCAAACTATCACCATTTTAATTGATATAAAGTTTTATAAAAATCTTACTTAATACAACATCTTTTGATCTATTTTATTCAAATTACCTATTATCTAATAACAAAACAAACCACAAATTCTACATTTTATCATATTACTGAAACATGTTAGTTTTTACATTTCAAAGTAATTTTTAAAATTTATCTTATAAAACTCTGAATTCCCTTAAAAAATGTAATTGCAACTATTTAATTCTGTATTTAAACTCTATAGTAATGATTTCAGTCTTTTTAAGGTATTTTTTATATATTTAATTTTAAAACTAAGCATATTGATGTAAATGTCTTAGAAAGTAAAGTTAAACAAAAATCTCAAGCTTTAACTCTAACTAATAAAGTGAGGCAATCTAAATTTACAAGTTCAATAATGAAAAAAATTACTAAACAAATGTAATAGTCTAATCTTTACAAATCAATAAAGAGATGTAAAATTTATAAATATCTTAATAAACTTGTTTGTCATTGCTTATTCATCTACATATATTAAGATTTGGAGTGAATTTAATAATATTTGGATTGACTAATTGAACTTTTCCAAAATTATGTTTATTATTAGTAACAAATTATTTCTTCTGTACTGCTTTTCACATTAATAAAATTCATTTATATTATCATATGGAATAAGGAATTTTCTTATAGTAATAATAAAAATGAATGATATATTTGAAATTAAAATACTTAATTTTTGAGAGTATTTTTAAAAAATATTTACAGAATATTATATTATTAAATTCGATAATAATAGAAGTTCATTAATATATCAAAATCTATTTTTTAATTCAATTCTAAATAAAATTAGGAGATTCAAGTAAATGACATTTATCATCAATTTGAACTAAATCAGGTTCATCTTTTGCATGTATACTATTAGCTTTATTTGCAGCTGCTGCAGCTAAAAACATTTCTTTGTTTTCAAAAGAAATATAAACATTACTACTAAGTTTTCTCTTTGTACTTAATAATTCTTATTCATCTGTCTCAATTTTAAAATTAGTTTTGAGTAATTTTTTAACTTTATTTAATTTTTATAATCTATCATCTAATTCAAATATTTATTGACTACTAGAACAATTATTAATAGTTTAAGTATGTCCTTTTAACTTTTCCTTATATTTCTAATATAATATATATATATATTACATTCATTATTTATTTAAATGGTTTAATTGACATATTATTAAGTATATTAGATTCATTTGATTAAATATCAGATAAAATAGAATTTAATTCATTTTAAACTTCATAAACTTATTGTAAATGATTCTATGATTGTAATTACTATAGTAATTTCATTGATTAAATATTTATCATATATAGCAATTATTATAATTCTGTGTTTAATGTATTAAATTGAGTTTAATATGTATTTCCTTTTGCATTGTCAATAATAGATTAACATTCTTATTATAATGAAGATAATGATTTCTAAAAGTCTTTTAATTCTTTTGCTTTATCTTCAGTATCATCTGTTATACTAGTGAATGTATCAGTTGACTCTAATAAAAATGGAGAATTTGATAAGAGAGAGTTTTCATCAACAGACCAAAAATTAGCTCGACTAACAGATTGATTTTCTCTTTTTTTATTTGAAACTTATTTAACTTGATAATTTTCAACAGGAAAAAGAATATTTCCTTTAATCAATTTTCCAACAGAACATTCTGAACAATAAAAAATAGCTCCAATACTACGATTATATTCAAAAAATTTTGCCTATTTTAACAGTTTTTTATACTTTCTTATTTGCATGATAAGCACATCTAAATTAGTTTCCTTTTGTAAATGATTTTTATTTTTATTCTATTGGTGATAAACTTAAGACTTTTTATCCAACATTTTATGAAACACTAACTTTATTTCTACTATTAGTTTTTCTAGTTTAAAGTACTTGCTTTAAAAATATATCATCCATCATTTTCTTAGGAGATACCATTGATGTAGGCAATGATGTTTTTTCTTTTTATAAATAGATTGAAATACTTTTAAGGATATTTGAATTTTGATAATATTAGAGAAGGGAATTAACTTCATTAAACAAATTTATATTTTCCTTGTTTTTGTTTCTTTTTTTAGTTGATTAATTTGTAGATTAATTCATTAATGGGCTGCTTTCTTCTTTATATAATTCAATTATACCTTATTATTAGGATGAGAAATGCCTACTTTCTGACATTTTTTTCATAGCGTTCATTAAAAATATTCGTTAAATAACAAATAATAAAAATTTGATATCAAAAAATTGAAAAAAATCAAGAACATTATTATCTTTTTTATTTCATAGTTTCTCTAAGTTTCTAATCCATTTCTTTAACTTTTTATTTTCTTGATTTAATATTCTCATTTTTTTCTTATTCATCCTTTTTTTTCTTTACTTCTGGTAATAATTCATAATTTTTATTTGTTAACTCTTTCATTTCTTTCTTATCTACTTTTACTTTTTCTCCCATAGCTAATCTTTTCATTAATGATGCTCTTTTATCTTCTTATTATTCAATAGGTCTTAATTCTTATTCTGATGGTTCCTACTATGATTCTTCTTATATTTATTTTTCTTTTTCTACTTATCTCTTACTTTTAAGCATTTCCTTTCTAATTTATATTAATTCTTCTTTAGATTTTCCTCCTTTCTCAATTGTTTTTGAATCTTATCTATTTTCAAATTTCTTAGCTAACATAGCTTTTCTTTTTTAAAATATTTCTCCTAATGTTTCTTCATATTCTTATTAAACCAAATCCTATAATTATTCTGATGATTATTAAAGTGAATATTTCATTTATTCAGAATCAATAGAGTCTTTCTTTAATGAAGATTCATGTTATTATGCAAGAGGAGGTGAAGTTTATTAAAATTCATATTTTTTAATTGGAGAAGTGACATTCTTAACTTCACTTAAGGAATAATTTAATTCAGAATTAGGTGAATTCATTTATTATAAAGTAACAAACTAAGATTATTTCTATTAACTTGAAATGGTCTATTTTTATGAGGATTAAGGATCAGCAAATAATGATAATTATTTATTTTAATTATTTGTAGTTTTTTTTGGTTTTAAAAATTATTCCATAATGTCTTGAGTATCAAAATTATCAATAGTTTCAAAATAAGAACTTTTTTATAAATTTTATGTTTCTGGACTAGTTTAATCTTAATTTTAGAATTAAGATTATTATTAAAAAGATTATTATTATCTATCACTTTCTTCTTGATTCATTTAAGATGGTGATTATTAATAAGAAGATTCATCTTCTGATTCTTCTGGGATTGGTTATTTAGAAAATTATTATTTTCTTGTATTTTTAAATGATTAAACTAAATTTGATTCTTCTTCTTTAATTTTCATTTTTGTATTTATTCTTTATTATTCTAATTTTTATAAATATTATTCTTATTCTTTAATATATAATCTTATATCTTATATCTAATTAGATTTTAATTAAGGTGGAGAATCAACATCACTTTATTATTCTTCATTTTAATCTTCTTAATCTGTTTCATTTATTTATTCTTCTTAATTATTTTATTCTTCTTCTTCTTCACTATTCTCATTTGAATGTACAAGTTCATTATTAAAATGATGTTAATAAGGTGATTTTGAATTTGATATTTTTAGAGTTTATTCAATTTCTTTATTCTAAAAACTTTAAGGTGATTCATTCTTCATATCACTAAATTAAACTTTCTTTTTTTGAGAAGTACTTTAATCTTCTGATCCTATAGCATATTTTGTATAATCTTCTTTAACTAATGATTCTTTTTATGGATCATTTAAAAGATTTGTATCTAAAGGAGCCTTAGTAAAGATCTTAACAGATTTTGGTCTTTATTTTTCTTTATTTTTTGTTGTTAATGATTTTTTAGGTGAATTTGACCTAACTCTATGATCTCTGACTTCTATTTAAGAATTATTACAATTAAACATTTTATCAAATTCTGTTGATAATAGTTTTTAATGATTTTTATCAGATTTAGGTTTTCTAGTTGGAGGTTTAGTTTTTTATAATTAAATAATTTCTTATTTTTTAATGAATTTAGTTTCTTATTCTAATTATTCTAAAACTTTTATTTATCTCTCTTTAGATAATGCTTTTTAACTTCTTTATTTTTATGCTCTTTCTTATTCTCTTTTCTATCTAGCCTATTCTAAAAGCATTGCTTATGTTTCTATCATTGTTTAATTTGCTTTTTCCATTGCATTTTCTTTTTCTAAATCTATATCATGTTTAACTACTTAAGGATTATGAAAACATGTATTAGCAAAATCTTCAGGCTTTAAAATTTATCTACGAGATATATTTTTATCAAATTTCTCATAACTTTCAAGATCTTATGTAAATGTAGATTATGTTTTATTTTTTGATGTTTCTTTATATATAGCTACAGATTAAGCTTCTTTTTATTTTTCAATAATTGATGCTTCTTTTCTTTAATTCTATATTTAAAGTGCCTTTCCTTAAGATGTTTCCAAAAATGATTATTTTTTCCATTCTTAAGCTTCTTGATATCTTTTTTATGCTTATTCTTCATAGTAAGCTTACATTTTTAACTTTTCCTACTATAATTCATATTCTCTTTATCTATATTCTTCAGCTTCTCTTGCTTATCGTTATTATTCAAGTATCGTTTATTAACGTGCTTACTCTAATTATTCAATCTAAGCCTTCTTTTATAAATATTCTTAATATTTTTATTTCTTCATTTCTTCCTCTTATTATTTTTACTATATCTATTATTATTGTTGTATTTTCTTTTTGGTTAAGTCTGTTTCTTATTTACGAATCTATTATATATTTAATACTGTACCTATTACATTCTTTAAGCTCTTAATTGAGTGTTTTATTGTTAAGCAAATAATTCAGCTTCAAAAGTACCAATGAATCCTGTTTTAGTTGA